GTCAAGTCGTAGTTTGTCATTGAGCAGTGGAATGGAGAAGGCGTACGCAAAAAAAGCAGAACAATTGTAGATTGCTGTAAGATCGCTTGCGGTTGTTAGGTTGACGGCGACATACCATGAACCACCAGCAACGGTCAGTGAAGTTGCAACCAGCGCAGTGGTTCGGAGGATATATCGGACTGGCGATTGATGGAGGTTTCGTGTGGTGAGGTGGAGGTTCCGGGATTCGACCATCTGTGCCGTGGTTCGGACAATGTATATATGCCGTCTCCAGAATGCATCCCATGAAAGTTTACGTTTCTGGATTCGGAGTAGTAGTAGCTGCACGGGCCAAAGGAATATCCACGATCCATGAGTTAAATAACTATAGACCAAAGATTAAAAGGAATAAGATTAGAATTTGATTTTAAAAATTCCGTGCAGAATAAAATATAGGCAGCATTGGAAACACCTTAGTAGCACGAATCATAATTTTTCTCTTTTTCTTTCCCCTTTAATTTCTAATTGAAGACTCACAGCATGCAGTACGGTTTCTCCCATCCTAAGTCATGCTGAATATACACAGCTGTTTCGGTCTGCACGACGAAACTCACCAAACTCACGACGAGGAAAAACGAGGCAACATAGTATTTCCTCCGCGTTGCATTGTTGGCGGAATATTCGGGAGTCCTACTTCTTAACGTTGACCTCCTCCTCGTCATATAAGTAGGCCGAGTCAGATCATTTCCGTCAGCAGAAGTTGGGCGACTTATCCGCCGGCCACGCTCCTCATCCTTCAACAAAGGCACCTGTGATTTGGACCGATGACCCCCAATCCAATTTTGCGGAGGTCGGTTAGTCGCCATCATATTGTCATCGTCAGACGCGTCATCCGTGGACGAGTCCTTGTCGTGATGTTGACGGGAGGATCCTACGGGAGCCCTTGGTGTTGAAGAGTTCTTCGGCTTTACTGCATTCAGTGCGCTGTTAGAGGGACGAGAGACGCCCTGGCGCTGAGAGGTCCTCGAGGTCCTCGACGTGTGACTATTTACGGAGGAGTGTCGCGAGTGGAAGAGAGGCCGCGAGGAATCGAAATCGGGATCAATCCCGGTAGAGTCATTATTAATTTCGACTCCTGTGGTCTTTTGGGGGTTTGACGAAGGCATACATGCGGATCCCGCGAGGCGAGGGCCCGTGGGAGAGCCAAGAAAACGGAAAAATACTAGTAAGAATGAGTGACCGGCTCCTGATAGAGGTCAAGGACAGTTCCTATGTATCTTATCAAAATTTAAATCCCTGTTGGTCGTGACATCTGGAGATCTGAAAAAGACGGTGGAAATAATCAAGCACACCAGGTGCTATCGTGACGCCAAAAATGAAGCGTTACTGGGCCAAACTGAGAGCGGAAATGCGAGATCAAAGGGCTAACCTGGACACAATATGCTCAATTACCCACTCACATTAATAAAGAACATTGAAATGAGTGTGAAAATATGAAGGACAGTCCTGGTCTGTTGAGCGTGGAGGAGATCTTTTTGAAGAGCTCCAGTGGCCATCCCTTGTCAGCCACAACAATCAGGTGATTGGATTCCACGCAGGCACTACTATGTCCACTTGGTGCGTTCCGGTTAAGCCTCCACGGGATTGGCCATGTAGGACAGGTTATGCGTGGGACAACTGCTGCCTCGGCAGGTACTTGACCCTGAATTTCTTTTTCGCCCCTATTTGGCGTTCATCCATGGGTTTCCTACAGATTGCATTTCTTTTGTTGTTCTTGTGCTCAAATTCGTTCGACTTCCAGGAAATGCATTAGCGTTCGAGCCAGCCCATGGCGGGGCTTGGCGCCACGCTTTTTGTAGCGTCATCTTATTGTTCGAGTTATCGCTAGTTAATGCTCACCAAATATTAACCACTCTACGGAGTATCCGAAATTAAATAAATAAAGATTTACTATCGCCAAGGAGTGTTCAAAAGACCAAAAGAAAAAAATTCAGATGTTCTAAAAGCAAATCTCTACTGAGAGCATTTGATTGTCTTCTATTTGCCTACACACACGCAGAACCGCTATTCGATACCAGCTTTCCGATAGACGAATCGATATACGCCTTGCCCAGAAAGTAGTGAAAGATCGTGGGCTGTCAGGAGATGAGAAGGCGTCAAACACATTGTACCAAAGCGCGAAATTGTGCGAAGAAATGCCCGGTCATCATGACAAACAATGATCAGGGCGACTGCCCCAACATCAACTGGTTGTCGCTATAGCACAGCGGATCTCTGTGTCCAGTGCATTGAATGTGGTTCAGCACGTATGTATGCAGAGTCCATACATATATCCATACATATATATGAGTGGTCTCTGCAAATTGATGATAAAACGAACGACACTGGCACAGGGTCATAAACCCTATATTTTGGAGGGATTGGATTGACTATCAGATGTTACTGAGCTCCTTTGGCCCATCGTCGTTGCATCCGCGACCCCACCAAAAACGTGACCTCGCGCATGAGCCTGCCGTTTTGGATAAATTTTATTTCAACGCCTCAACGAGACTCCGTTGCTGGCAGAGGAACGCCAGCCGTGAAAATGAATGGCGGGTTTGGACTCATCCATGACCGTCCATGCCAGCAATGCTACACATCGGAATACCCAGAAATAGGGTTTGTCCCTCCGTGCATCGGGGGAGCGACCGACGAGCTATTTACTCGCGCAACAGCAAAGGGCCAACCAAGGGCCAACCTCTGACATTCTCAGAACGCATTTCGGCCGATCACATCGGTCAATCTACCAATTCCCTCATCGCCATGACCACTCTAGTCGCGACGCGTTAGTGTTGGCTCCGTTGACGAAAAAAAACCTAAGCGAGATGACTAAAAGCATGGCGAAAGCTGCACAGATTGGTGTCCTGCAGGTGAAGAATATCAGCGCAACATAATTAGAAACATATATGGTGATCCTGTACCATACAAGCTAACTCCTTCGCCGTGCCCACCCTCCGATACCGCTATCCCGCGCACCCTGCCACAACGTGTACAACGCATAAAACCGCATTAGTGTGCGCTGGGAATCGCCTACCTTCTCGAAATCGGCGACTTGAATCACCATAGATATATGGCGACACAACTTGCTGCCAGGCTGGGAAGGTAAGGCTATCACACGTTCTTGTTGAATCTGTGCAAGGCTACCACAACCTAGAAGACTTAAATTTACTTCCAAATTTTCCGCGCAACTGCTTCTAGGAAAGCGCGAATTTCACGATCCTCCCCGGCTCGATCCTGTGGCAGTCCCGAAGAAAATCCAATCGCGTGAATACCTGGAGAGCGAAAAGCGATATCTTGAAAATCCCAGCTGTCTCGCAAAACTGACGGAAAGCATCTGTCGGACCGTCATCAACCGATGACTTCGCCGCCTATGACCCATCCAACGAGACAAAGGCAAATGGAAAAAACGAAAAGTGCGACGTCGCCGGAAGCTTCCATCCATATACGGGGTCGGATATATGTGGCCAGGAAAAATAAAACCGGCTAATGGCGACAGTCACTTCAGCAACCTCTGAGTTCCACTGGCCTATCAAGGACATCCGAAGCGAAGAGAAGATCTCGTGATCAATGGCAGACTGGCAGCTCTAAAAACCGCCTTTGGTCAAGAAATTTCCAGCAGACGGTGCACACACCGTATCCAGATTCTTAAGAATGCATACTAGCCCATTACGGGAAGTGTACTGTAGGCGACACTGAGACTGTGGAACGTAACTATGCAGCAGCGCTATCGCAGGACACAAAGAGCTTACAAAACAGAGGCTGTCCTAATTGAGGATCCCGCATCCTTATCTTATATTGCTGATAAAATATACCTTTTAACATGTTTCGTGGTTGTGCCTAGCTTCCTTCACAACTGTTGAGCGCTGGTTTCTTAAAGCCTAAGTGGCTGCTCAACAGCTACTAACGCTTCAGTGCTTTACAAAATCACTCGCCAGGTGTCCTTTCAATATTATTATGGAATAACGTGCGAAAATCATGCGCGCGCTTAGTCCTTGATCGAGAAATATCTTGGCGCTGTTCCGCGCGAAGCTTATTTTCCGCCCTCTGCGGCGGGCACGGGCTGACTTTTCCCCGTCTCTTAGGCCTGGCCTCTTGACAATTACCCCGCATATAGATTCCAACAAAGATTAAGATCCAATCATCCCGCAACATGATCAAACTGCTGTCGGAAATCCAGCAACTACACTAAACGCAGTTCGAACTTTCGTCACCTCCCACTTTTCCACTTATCAATATGCCTCTGATCGTGCAGAATGTCAAACCTCGCGTCATTCTGGGTTTGATGACTTTTGGTCCTGATACTGAAGCAGGCGCACGCATCACTTCCCTAGATGACTACAAAAAATGTCTAGACTATTTCCAGCAGCAAGGCTATAACGAAATTGATACTGCCCGCACCTACGTTGACGGGAAACAGGAAGCCTTTACAGCCCAAGCGGGCTGGAAGGAACGGGGCCTCACCATAGCGACCAAATGGTATCCTAAAGAACCAGGCCACCACCACGCCAATGTTGTGAAAGAGAAACTCAATCAGTCTCTGAAAGAGTTGCAAACAGATTGCGTTGATATTTTTTATTTGCATGCAGCGGATAGATCGGTCCCCTTCGCAGAGACGTTAGAGGCTGTCAACGAGCTCCATAAGGAAGGGAAATTTGTGCAACTTGGATTGAGTAATTATTCAGCCTTTGAAGTTGCGGAGATCGTCACTATGTGCAATGGGCGCGGTTGGGTTAGACCAACAATCTATCAGGCAATGTATAATGCCATCAGTTAAGTCGATCGTTTCCTTTTTCCTTTCCCTGCTTTGTCACACAGATGGAATCAAAGCCCCACTAACTGCCTTCCAGCCCGCTCGATTGAATCAGAACTCATCCCCGCCTGCAGACGCTACGGTATCGACGTGGTAATTTACAACCCGCTAGCCGGTGGCCTCTTATCCGGTAAATACAAAACCACCGAAATGCCAGCTACCGGCCGTTTTGCGAACCCGTCCTTAGGCGCTATGTACCGCAAACGATACTTCAGAGATGCGAACCTCGACGCTCTACGTATCATTGAGCCGGTCGTGCAGAAGCATAATCTAACGCTAGTCGAGACCGCACTCCGCTGGGTGCATCATCACTCTGCGCTGAATATTGGAACCGGACCGTCATCGCGCGATGGAATTATCATTGGCGTGGGCAGCTTTGAGCAGCTGCAGGCGAATTTAGCGGATATGGAGAAAGGGCCGTTACCCAAGGAGGTTGTGGACGCACTGGATGAGGCGTGGCTGATTGCGAAAGCAACGAGCACAGACTACTGGCATATGGATTTGAAATATACGTATAATACGGTTGAAGCCTTGTTCGGACCTAAAGCTTGATTCATTATTTTTTGTGAGGTTATATATCGGTTTAAGGATCCTCTGCATTGTATATACCTATCAGAATTTTCCGGAAATTCTACCATTGCTTCATTACTTATGGAATCATGACACCTGTCAGCTGTGGGTCAGTCAAGCAGAGTTGAACGCGATTTCCACATTTTTCGCTCGCGCTTTCGGAACCACGGTTGATAAAAAAACCTTCATACTATGGCACACATATTAAGGATTAGAGTTATTTTGGGGATAAGGGTCTGGGCCCACAGAGATTCCTGGGTCCAAATCAGATCGCTCTGTTTCCCCAACCATTTTTCCACTCACGATGACCGTTTTCCATCATGCCTGTAGTTGACTAGTGACCACCAATTCGATGACGTAATACAACTTAATCTAGCCCAATGGCCTGTATAACAGAACCATGACCAGCCATGGTTCACTCAATCCGAAGGTTTTCCCTCATGGCGATTTATTCCATGCAATTTCAGCTGGAAGATTTGAGAATATTCATTCCGGGCCCACTGCAGTCGCAGTTCATTTTGAAGCAGCTATTTCTATTCATATATACCTTCCCTTTCCCCTCGAAAAATCACGTTCTCACTGCATCTGGTAAATTTTGCCACATGGACCTGGGAATGCGATTCTGGGCGTGATTGCACGTTTATTTTTTTTTTGTATCCGGCCGAGAAGGCAAGGAAGGGTGAGAGAAGGAGAGATTTAAAAAAAATAAAAGAAATAAAAAGCAAATGTCTTCGTGCTGCGATAAAAGTTGCCCATCGCGAATGGTCAACTCATCTCATCTCTCCCAGGAAGACACTGGTGTGGAAAGTGGTGACAGCATATGCCCAGATGGCAATGTGGACAATAATGTCGGCGAAGAGAGTCAGGGAGAAAATACTAGAGATCCGGAAAACCAACTATCCGATGGCGACTTTGAAGCACTATCCAAAAATGATCAGGGGTGGAGGAAAATAGTACGGAATTTTACACCTTCGTACGTCCCCCTTCTTTCATCGAATTTACCTCTCTGTACTGGTTGATCAAGCTTCGATTCACTCAGAAAGGATGAGAGTTCTCGCAATGCCATTATTGCCAAACCGAAAAGGAAACCTTTCGCTAATTTGTCTCTTTATCTCTCCCGCTTTATACGCAGATGGTTCACCGTGAATATGGGGACTGGGATAGTCTCTATCCTTCTCTTCAATCTCCCATACAACGGAGTGTGGCTCTACTGGATATCTGTTGTCATTTTTGGGCTCAATACAATTTTGTTCAGCACGTTTCTGACAATCTCCATCTTGCGATATACCCTTTGGCCGGAGATCTGGGGTGTTATGCTCAAACACCAGGTTCAGTCACTTTTCATCGGGACATTTCCGATGGGGTTTTCCACCATCGTGTCGATGATTTCTCTGGTGTGTTCGCCTGTGTGGGGCAATTGGGTGCAGATAGTCACCTGGGCATTATGGATAGTCGACTCCGTCATTTCGCTTGCGTGTGCTGTCGGCTTCCCGTTTATGTTGTATGTATAATATCTGCTCTATTTCTTGATTTCTAGCCTTCTACATCCTGGTCGAGATTTTTTTTTTTTTCCAAGCTACCGTGGACTAATTGGATTGTGGACAGAATGATACCTGGGAGACAAACGGATTTACCTTCAATGACCGCGGTATGGCTGTTGCCCGTCGTCAGTACGATCGTTGCGGCGTCTACCGGTGCAGTTGTAGCCGATTACCTACCAACGCCACAACTCAGTCTGTGGACAATCATAGGTTCGTACATTTTACGTTCATCCGTGATTTTGATGTTGAGAATGCATTGGGTTATTGAGAAATTGACTTACTTTTTTCTAGCTTCGTATATTCTCTGGGGCCTGGGGATATTATTTTCCATGATAATCCTCGCGGTGTATTTTAAGAGGCTGGCGCTGTACAAGCTACCACCGAAAGCCATGATCGTCAGTACTTGCATTCCTCTTGGACCAATGGGTCAAGGGGGTTTTGTGTGAGTTAATTTCCCAAGTCCGTTCTTGTTTAGAAACAACATATAGGTCCCCTTGCTGGTTTGAGCGATTGTGGCATTTGAAAGCTGATTTCATCTCAGTATCCTAAAACTCGGTGTCGATGCGAAGAAATTCTTCCCGCTGAATAATACCCTTGATGCAACTGCTGGTGACGTATTCTATGCAGTCGGATTCATGATCGCATTGATTCTCTGGGGGTTCGGTCTCCTGTGGATGCTTTCTGCGATTATTTCTATTGCTCAATGCAAGCGAATTCCCTTTTCAATGGGATGGTGGGCCTCCATTTTCCCGCTGGGCGTTTATGCTAATTGCACCATACTGATGGCGAAAGAAATGCCATCTCAATTTTTCAAAGTGCTTGGTACAGTATGTGTCATCCCTTGTTGAAATTAACACCAGACAAACATTCCAGACTCCGCTAACTTGTTGATAGATCCTGTCACTCTGTGTATTGATTTTGTGGATTATCGTCTCCGCAGGAACTATTAGGGAGGTCATAACTGGGCGCGTTTTCTTTGCGCCATGTCTTAGTGACCTGCGGGTACAGAGAAAGAAAAGGCTGGGGATTAAAGCTAACTAATCAACTTGCATATATATATAACTACAGTGCATCGACGAACATACATAGAGTTATAAAATATCTAGAATGGGACAGAGAGCAACCTCCTTCATCAAATATCAAAAATATATCATACTATATAGATATGTACTTTAACATCTAGCTAGGTCATTTATCAACATTATATTATACTAATATAAATAAGGAATATCAGAGTAGTAACCTTCAGAGTTATATATTCAATCACTAAATGAGATATATAATTTATAAATGTAATTATAAATGTCTGGTCAATGACCCAACCAAAATTGGATCCGTACTAAAGGCGTCGTGGGTCATGAGTGTATATATCATGTGACGGCGGCAGGTCTCCAGGGCTTCAGGCGGTAACGGCAATCAACTCTCGACATACGATATTTAGCATGTGCTGCTGTGGTGGGGTTCGTAATTCGATGGCGATTTGGGGTTATTAGCAGTATCTGGATCTTTCCACTTGGAGGCGTTGGAAATCGAACAAATCATTACCGTCTCAAGAACGTTCCTCGAAACGAATGATGGAGAATGGAGGTGCTGGTTTCAGATCAATCTTTCTCAATCCTCATCATCAATCCTAATACCTCCACACATATGACTGATGGACTCAAACCCCTTCTCCAAAACCTTGCTTGTCCAAACATCCACATTGACTATTTCACAGCTCCACAGGAGCCATCACTGGGGCCAGACGGGGAGGAAATCAGAGGAATCCCTAGCATCAACTCCAGCGTTGATTCATCACTTTCGGCCCTCCATTGTTTACCTCATTTGACACCTTTGATATCCAAATATGACGCCTTCCTAGTCGCATGCTACTCAGTGCATCCGCTGGTTGGAATGCTGAATGAGCAGATTGGCATCGTTACACCAAATGCAAAGGCTCAGTTTAGAAAGAAGTACGTGACTGGTATATTCGAGGCAAGCGTGTGGAAAAGTATTTCCCTACTACGTTCTATTTCTGCTGTCAATTCCAACGCCGATGCTGGCAAGGGACTTGGGCCAGCATTCGGAATCATTTCCACTGGGGATGTATGGAAGGAGATATTTGAAAACGCCGTGCCGGAGCTGCTGCGACGGCGCTCAGATTTTGGGACGGATAACAATGTGGACCTGGAGTCATTATTTGCTGGGGTCGAGACCACAGGGCTTAGTGCTGTTGAGTTGCATACTACACCTGCAGAAGAGGTCGAGAAAAGAATGGTAGAAGCAACGGAACGATTAATTAACAGGGCTGGGAAACAAATAGCAGCCATATGTCTCGGATGCGCGGGGATGGCAGGCATGGACGGAGTTGTCCGTCTAGGGTGCATAAGAGCGCTTGGTCCAGTGCTGGGAGAAAAAGTCGTTATCATCGAAGGAGTCGTTGCCGGAGTGGAACAACTGGTTGGTGAATGTAGTAAATTAGGCGGTTGGTCGTGAGCTTGACAATCATAGTTGAATACTTATCGACATAGTGCCTACAATCACAGAGGCTACAGAAGTAATTGATATATTTACAGTTCGTCATTTGAAGGGGCCCCAAAAGTGTTGGAAGTAATAACTATGTTGTAGTTTGCAGGGCTGGAGTTCGGCCCAAGCTGCAGGAACCAGTTTGCTCGACTTAATTTCCAACTTTCCCCTCCACCACGCGAGGACGCGTTCTCCACATCAAAATCAACAACAGCTTCAAGCAAAGTCAGGAAGATGCCAAGGTATGTTAAAACCCAACTCCTATCCGTATTTAGCAGATATTACGTCGTATCTCCTTCTATTAAGTTTATTAATCACATTCTGCTTCTAGGGAGATCATCACAATCCAGGCTGGCCAGTGCGGCAACAATGGTACGTCAGACAATTCAGAGCGAGCCGGAAACCCACAGTGTTTTCCTATCCCATATATGAAAAGCTCTCTTCAGTCATTTCCAGTGTTATATCAAGCGGCACGGCTAGACCCTGTTCAATTAGTCAGAGGTAAATGGTGCGAATATTAGATGTGGAGACTGATATGTCGTTTAGTTGGTAGTCAATTCTGGCAGCAGCTATGCCTCGAACATGGAATAAACAAAGATGGGAATTTAGCAGAGTTTGCGACTGAGGGAGGAGATCGAAAAGATGTCTTTTTCTACCAGGTTAGTTGCTCTGCTTGTTTGAAATGGATTGATTAAAATTGGAACGCGATTGCTTGCTGATAACTCGATCTCTTAAAATGGAAAACAGAGTGACGATACACGATACATTCCTCGAGCTATATTACTTGACCTAGAGCCAAGGGTATGACCTACCTTAAGAAGTCAATGGTATCTCATATGTGGTCCATTTGCAACGGTTTGCTGATGACTTGGTTCCTATGCGCAATTCAGGTTCTGAATACCATCCAAACCGGCGCCTATCGCAACATATACAACCCTGAGAACTTTTTCATTGGTAGGCAGGGGATCGGTGCAGGGAATAATTGGGCTGCCGGATATGCGGCCGGTGAGATTGTTCAGGAAGAGGTTTTCGATATGATAGATCGGGAAGCAGATGGCAGTGATTCATTAGAGGTACATCGTTTTTGAAACTTGCTCCTCTCTGCTGGTGTGAGTGGCTAACGGGAGTAACATAGGGATTTATGTTGCTTCATTCCATCGCAGGTGGAACCGGGTCCGGATTAGGGAGTTATATTCTCGAACGAATGAACGATCGATTCCCTAAAAAATTAATCCAGACCTACTCCGTGTTTCCTGACACACAGGCAGCCGATGTTGTTGTCAATCCCTATAACAGCCTGTTGGCCATGAGAAGATTGACACAAAATGCAGATTCAGTGGTATGTTAGGGTGAGTCCTCCGCTGGATATTCATAATTATTCATGTTTCTTGCTTAGGTTGTCGTGGACAATGGTGCCCTTTCCCGAATTGCTGCAGACCGATTACATGTGCAAGAACCTTCATTTCAACAAACCAATCAATTGGTGAGTAAACTAGAGTAGTGTCATTGTGCTATTATTGATAATCTGTAGGTTTCTACTGTTATGTCCGCATCCACCACCACCCTTCGATATCCAGGGTACATGCATAACGACCTCGTCAGCATCCTGGCGAATCTCATACCAGATCCTCGTACCAGATTCCTCATCACGTCATACACGCCTTTTACCGGTGATAATGTCGAACAAGCAAAGACAGTCCGAAAAACCACCGTACTAGATGTTATGCGTCGACTCCTCCAACCTAAAAACCGCATGGTCTCAATCGTACCCAGTAAATCCAGCTGCTATATCAGCATATTCAATATCATTCAGGGTGAAGCAGCTCAGACGGATGTTGATAAATCGATTCTCAGGATTCGTGAACGTCGCCTGGCCACATTTATCCCCTGGGGGCCAGCTAGCATCCACGTCGCTGTTCCCAAACGCTCTCCATACCTGCCCAATACTCATAGGGTAAGTGGATTAATGCTGGCAAACCACACCTCGGTGGCAACCCTCTTCAAGAGGATTGTTAGTCAGTACGATCGGCTACGCAAGCGCAATGCGTTCTTGGAACAATATAAAAAGGAAGCCCCATTCGCGGATGGATTGGGGGAGTTTGACGAAGCCAGGACTGTGGTTATGGATCTCATTGCGGAATATGAATCTGCAGAAAAACCTGATTACGCAGGTGGCGGGACGGATATAGAGGAGAATTGATTAAAGCCTGCCAAGTGGCTTCTTTGCTTCTTTTCCTCCTGCCGCTTGTCTATTCTTGATTCTAATTTGTTTCCTTTGCCTGGCGCCAGGTTTTTGGAGTTGGTTCCTTCGGGCTGTTACATACTTTATCCATGATAACCTGCATCTTAATTTCGTCCCTTTTTTGAAATTTACCGTTTAGTTTAAAGGTAAAATGCCTCTGGCGAAGGCTCGAGATCTCATTTTACCTGACCTTTTGTATTGCAATAGCAACAGAAGTATCCAAAGCTCACACTCAGCCGCCATTGATTCACAATCAGAGGCCTCGGGAATCAGCTCCGCTATGGAGGTCATTTCTCCCGAATTTGATATATTTGCGACCAGGCAGAGGGTCGAAAACGCAGGTCAACTCTCTCCTTTTTCTCTTTAAGGGTTATCGGCGTCAGCTTCTCTACATGCTCATTCTAAAGCCAGGCTAAGAGACCTCGTGAGCAAATTGCGTGGCCCATCCCGCTAGATAAAACAAGTACTGACTCGTTCGAGTTGTCCATTCCAAATCACATAACACAGGGTCTGAATTAAGCTTGATCGTTTCGGATGATCCTTGATGTGCAGAACCGTAGCTATCATGCTTCACTTTCTCGGCCACTTTGTACCACCACGCCAATATAGTATGAGACATTACCTGCTTGTGTTTGTCTTGTTTGTCTTGGAGGCTCTCATACTAGGGTCGGGGCATCAACGTCACTGGTTTCTGGGATAAATCTGGAGAAGCGACATCTCCTACTCATCACATTACCATATATTGCCATATAGCCACTTCCTGTTTTCCGCCATCATACTCTCAAATAGCAACATCCGTAATCTAAATATTATAGTTATATTTACCACCCCACGGTCAGTGAACCATCTCCATCGCACGCCATGGCAGACCAAGGCTCCAGTAACATTAGCGATCAGATAAAGAGCGCCACCCAACCAGGTAGGTGAAAAATTCACTAGATTCGCATACCACCATTATTATCGATAAATCAATATGACAAAAAAAGAAATGGCCCGAAGAAGTGGCTCTTTCACGCAAAATCCAAATACACTCCTCTCCAGAGCTACATGGGTTAATGTAACTGTGCTTGATACAGGAGATTCCAAGACTACAACCCAACCGCTTTCCGAGACGGTGCAGCAGGGTGCTGAGACTGCGAAAAAGAGTGCCCAGTCAGGGATGGAAACAACAAAGGATGCTGCAGCCAAGGCATCAGAAGCTGCCTTGGGAGCACCTGGTAGCGGTAAGCCCATCGTCTTAAGCCTTGTTGATGGGGACAACTGGCTGACGGGATCCGCTTTTGTTGTGCTCATGATGTAGGAGACAAAAAATAATTGTACCTTGGGGCTCCAAAGGATGCCACATGGTGTGGGTATGGATGGTTCCGTTCTAAGAAGCAGGATAATTTTCTTGTGTCATTTTTGTGAGAGCCGCAGCTGGTGTATGCCGTCCGAACCGCTCGAATAATTCAGTGTTCGAGAGGAGCGTGGGAAAATAAGGCAGTAAGTAATATTTACTTTCGGTCTGCGATGCGGGTTTCGGAAGCCATGCGCGAAGATGTGTCTTCTATTGCCTGATGTTGGGGTATCACAATTGAATTGGGGTGACCCGAGAGATGTACCATGAATTTATAGTTATTAAGCTCGTAATTCCGTTGAACCGCATCCTTTCCTTCATATGTGAATATCTCCATCCGTTCGGAATATCCATCGCATTGATATCTCAGAAAAAGCGCTGGAGAATATGGTCTCGCAAAGCTAGCATCAGCAACTTCGTGAGCTTGGTTATAAAGGGTGAGGCCATAATCAGGCGAGGGAAGTGGTTGAATGCTGCGTCTTTTTCCTTTATTTTAAATGGTAATATGAGGTAAGGGGCGACGCCGGATACATGTAATTCACACCTTTAAAAGGCTTGCGAGCGGGGTATCAAAATATCAAAACAAGACTGCGTCTTGTATCTCCACGCGCCTGCCAGGAAGAAAGGAGATCTGCTCCTCACGTTATCTGCTCCGCCAACCTCCCAGAGCCAGATCCATGTCCTCTCACGTAATTATTCTTTTACCTACTAAACCCTCCTCCCTTGCCGCCACCACCTGCAGACCCGCCAGAAGCACTCAAAAGATCATGCACAACACAGAGCAAAAACTTCCGATCCGGAATAATTATAATTTCATGAATCTTTGTGCGCAACCGGAGGAGCTTCAGCTCATCATCCTCTTCGCGCTCATGGGTTCCCTCGCTCTCTCTACTATCATGCCTCGCATGTCCGTTGCTGGTCGCGCCGCCTCCTGCCGCCGCCACAGCCATTCCAGATCCACCATAATCAGTCTCATTACCGCTGCCGCCGCCGCCGCCGCTCCTCTCACTTGATGATTCTGATGGTAGTGGTGGTTTCGATAACGACGCGCCCAGAGCGGAGGCGGAGGAAACAAAAGCAAATATGTGTGCGGCCAGCGTTTCCGCTTGGCTGGGTTTGTAGGGTGCGGCTTGTGGTTGTGGTTGTAGCTGTTCCTGTTGCTCTTGTATTTGCTTTTGCGCAGCTTCTGCTCGTCTCTCATCTGTGCTCGTGCTCGTTGTCTCTGGGTGAGTCGCTTGCTCGTCTGGAGTTTGGGAGGTGGGAGAAGTGGAATCGGGTATCGACGCTGGCATTGGAGGTGAGGCTGGAGCTGGAGCTGGATCTGGAACTTGACGGGTGGGAGATGGACTTGAACGTGTGGCAAGGAGACCAGTTGTTCGTATTATAGATCCATCTTTCCGTGATAGGATGAGGGTGGATTGGACACCGGGCCGGGATGTGAGACTTGACAGATGGGCAGAAACATGCCGCGGAAGTTGAGGGGACTACATACATAAGTCTTTTGTTAGTTTCTACAAAATTTCTTTAATTCGCTCGTTTGAGATACTCACTGTTGCCATTGGGACTATTCCTAAGGAGTGAGGATATTTGAAGTGTAAGGTCGAGAGGGAAATTTCGGGTAGTGGGCAAATAACACTGACAATACGTCCACTTCTAGTAAGAAAAACGATTTTATAAATTAACCTAGAATGTTAGCAAAGCTTAAGTTTAAGGAGTAGGTTCAGGAGCATCTTTTCAATGCGCGAAATTGGTGCTTTTGCTGTGATCTCAACACGCGCAGGGGAGATCCCGGACTTAGGTTTTGCCGGCGGCTCAAGAATTTTGACGAAGAATATACAGCTATGGCTCTTTGAAACATATATATTGGTTCCCAACGGGTGAACAAAGTTGCGTTGAATGATATTCATCTCTGAACTCACATATCCCAGAGCACGTAAAAACAGTCCTTTAAAGCATAAAGCTGGTCGCCCTTATATCTTGTCACGGATGGAGGAAGGGATATATAATAATACGGCCTAGAAGAAATCTAATACCACCAGCCCCTCATTATGGGTTCCAGCCAGAAAAAGAAGAACGAAAGGAAAAAGGACTTCCAGGTATTTAGCTACAGTGACCCAATTAGTTCCTGTTGAACGACAGCAATTGCTAACTCGCACACGAACAGAAAACGAAGTTGAAAGTTGGGAAAACAAAGCCAAAGCCTTCAAATTTTACAGACACCAGTTTCCGGTCCCAAGGTACATCTTCCCCGGCTCCGACAGGGTGAAATAGGATCATTTAGTGTTTTCAACCAAGCCATGTTGTGCATAAATCTACAATGCACATTTTGTTCCAGCTTTTGCTAATCAGGGTCTTTTCAGCTATTGTTTTAAATCAGCAATCGCTGACAACATCCGCTCCATCGGCATCATCTCAGTTCACTCATTATTTATCTCTTCTGAATTCAAAATCGGATTCTCAACGGAAGGACTCTCTTTCCTACTTGACAACGGCCATTGCTTCCCGCCCAGTCAACTCCCCTCTACCCCAACCAGTCAGTGTCATATTACCGTCTCTTGTATCTCTGATCCTGGACGGTAGCAATGGGGTCCGCAATCAACTGATTAAGCTTCTGAAATCGTTCCCTGCGCCAGACATGGAAGGACATATCTCTCAACTTCTACCCTACGTCCGTGCGGGCATGACGCATCTTGCAGTTGATATCCGACTATCTTCTGTCGAAATCATTTCCTGGCTTGTAGCCATTGCGGGCCGCGAGGTGGTCTCATCACCTGGTGGGTGGATAAAAACAATCAATTGCTTCCTGTCCATTTTAGGGTGGCATACAGAAGAATCAGTGAAGTGGTCGTCGAATAGAGCCTCATTCGGAAAGACTGGTAGTGATGGGAAGCCGATGGTTCGAACGCTGCAAGCTCTGGCCGAATTCCTACGAGCAGGCATTGGCGCTGCTGAGGACGAATCTGAGATTGTGGGGCCGAACGTGATGGGTGACAAGGAGTGGAACTTTCCCCTTACCCAGACAAACCATCATATTTTGCCAACTAAGTCTGCACCGTTTGCTTACCTCAATTTATTCGGACAGCCAAAAAATGAGGAGGGTGAGATGTATGAAACCAGGGAAGATAGGTTTAGAATTTTCTCTGATAGATTTCTACCTGTTATAGAACGCGGAATAAACATGGCAAGACAAGAAGGTGGAGAGATCGGTCGTGCATCCGCAGGTGTAAAGAAAATTCTGAATGAAGCTCGGGTGCTCAATTCCGACCCTTGACATAACTACTTGCCCTTATCAAGGTTGTCGCTGGAAAAAGTCGGATTGTTCGGGCAATAAAAATGGTCAGCCATACGATGATATATGTTATGGGCTAAATAGCAGTCATATCATCGGAATGCATGCCTCCCTCCAGGCTTCATCTCCAGGCTACTAGGACAAAGAGCTCAGTCACCACCAGCGCCAGTTGACCCAATCCAATTCCTCCAGCAATATCATATCACATGGATAATAGATGGCAACTCAAAACTCCAACTTCGAACCATTCGAAGATTATGATGACGGTTGCTGGAGAGCTCAATAAACACTGAATCGACGTTCATTCGTTCGAACTTTAGTCGTTTCGGGAGAGGACAATCCTTTTCAAATTGTTACATGCCCAAAAAGACTTACTCCAGAGCACAATCTACCACTTTCACCTCCAAATGTCTTACAATGTCTACCTCATCACGTCCAACGGCATGCCACGCAATCGTCATGCCCTCTTTGTAGAAACGAATTCTGTCACAGGCTCCGGCCATATTTTTCAAGTTACCAGCAATATACAGAACGGCATGGCCTTCGAAGATAAACCAGGCCATTCACCCGACTAGCAACCTACTTTTCATGGCAAGACGTTCCTTGGAACTGTGCAAAGGGATTATAAGAAATCGTTCAAGGAAGTTTGCTTGGGTATTCAGCCACCGAAGAAGCAATTTGATGGGCCGCGGCGGAGGTATTTGGACGAGCCAATTCGTCGGTGCCAGGAGTGGACTGCAGAGGCAATCCAGGCTTTGACTAGTGCAGGCGTCCTTGTGGTTGAAGAAATATTACTATCGACTGTTCGCGACGACGAGAGAGGAGTCTTAACAATATCGTATCACCATTGGACACGTACATACATCCTTCTTGGTCTGTCACGAAAGAACTCTTCTATGATTTCACAGGTCGGTATATAATAAAGCCATTGCGCCTAGCCAGCCCGCAAAAGTGTGGGACAGAATTTTCAAGCTCTGATATTGAAAGTATCATTTCTATTCCAGCATATGCAAGGGCTTTGCTCACGCCTTTACGACTCATTAGTGCAGGCAACCCGGCGCTGTGGCGGTTTAGCCACATGATGGGATTGCAGTTAATGTTACGTCAAAGAAGCACAAGGCAGACCGTAATTCATGTATACCAAGATGTTTTGCCATTTGTCGGTGCCAGCTGAACTTCTGCTTGCTCTATAAGGTCGTTCGCTTTGTTTACCAACAATTGTATTGGTGTGCTTCCCCAATATCCAGTAGACCCAAGTCCTTAGGCTCCTGAAAGCATGGCTGGCATTGAGGAGTTTCTGCCCAAATTGGGCTTTCCCTGTCGAAAGCTTTCGTCAAACAAATCGAACTACAGCCGAAAGGCTACAGGATATAGGCAAGCTTGTCGAGAAAACGCTATAACGAACGCAGTCATCTCAGAGAGTATCTAGAGTGCGATCCGAGCTTCGGATGAATGCGCATAGGAAATTCGAAGGCTTCACACCGTTTTGGGCAAAGGTGGATATACGCATTCCCCCACTCAAGTTCAGAAAAGGGAAATCGACATATCTTCATTTACGATATGTAAATGGCCGTCTGTCAAGTTCAAACTGGAGATACCAAGGGCAGAGTTACAGAGAATAACAACAACTCTGCCACTCCTTAGGGTAAGAATTATAAAATCAACACCCGGAGCAGTAGCAAGAACAGGAGATCGAAGCCTTGAACGAAACTGCCCTCGTGCCGTCGGCACTGAACTGGCTGACAAGATATCAACGCAGTGAGCTCTACCCCGGCTGTTAGCAACCGTCCAAACAAGGCTGCGTGCCAACAACAGCAGTTTCCGCTTATGCTCCCCTCCCGACCACACTCCCCTTGACCTAGGCCCCTCTGGATATATCCTCTTCCACCCGATCCTCCCTGTGCTCCAAGCAACTGTGCAGAAACGAAGATGGATAAACAAAACGAAGGGAATGAGGAACCCAGACGGCGTGCAATTCACCGCAACCACCTTCAAGGTCGCAGCTGCGCTATTCCGACCAATAATACTAACCGTGGCCAACAGCGCATGATAGCCGCGTTAATCCCTGACCCTTGAACCCTGCGACAGTCTCCCTGCCGCAGCTAACTTCACGTGAACTGTATGTGCCTTGTGGTTTTATTGGCCATACTCCACCCATTGGAGCCTCATCCTCTGCTGCAAGTAGCGGCGATGAAATTGCCCATTTATGGATTAGAGATAATACAGGCGAAGAGTCAAAAGGATGATAGTTATCACAACGCGAACGGGTTATTTAAGTGACTCTTCCATTTGCTGATCTCTGTGGGCATGTGGTATTTATGGAAGCATGGAAATTGGTTTCAGCCTGATTATCTCTCAACGGCTATTCTGCCTTTATCTAACGCATCATTGTGGATATTCATTCAATACAGATTGTGGTTCCCCTATCTCATTTCGTCAAAAAGATCAGCAATGCTCAAGCGTTTATGCCCTCTTACCGGCAGAGTACTACGATCAGTAAGTCTGGCTCCAGAGGCCGAATATTCATAACCTCTCAATAAATATATGTATCAAAAGCGTATCAAAGGTTTTATCGCCACCTCACCACCCTTGCCAAGAAGCTAACTCCACCGATTCCGTTACCAAGATGGGCACATCCGGCAGTGGACTATGTCTAAGTAAAGTCCCCCTGTTACTCCCCAGGCAATCTAACATCAGCCCACCCTCTATTCCCACTGTTTCCATCCCGCCTCACCAACTTCCAAGTTTCAGGATCCAACCACCCAATCCGCGCGCGGTCTCCAAAGCCCCCAACCCAGAATGCCTCTTCCACAACCAACTTCGCCCAATAACCGCTGTGCACAGCATTGTCGTGATCTGGCAGCCAGAACTTAGCATCGGGGTGAGCATCCAGAAAGCACCTCTCAACCGCGATGCGGGTGGCATCCGACAAATGCTCCAATGGAACAAGGGAGCCCAGGAGGGACAAGCGAGGCAACTCAGCCCCGCCCACAACACCATCGCGCCCAACACCAAAGACACCAGTTCTCCCATCAGCCTGCCGATGCCACCAGTCAACAGACAGTGAGATATTGGAGCCAGCCTTCGTGTTGCGGAATGTGGTGCCGATATTCAGTGCGAGGATCAGCGGGTTTCCCGGCCCGAGGAGGGCTTCCAGTTCGCTCGATGGCTCGTTTGCGCAATCCGCGATGTAATCCGGGAGGCCTATGGGGACTCCCGATAGCGAAGTCCTGTGCACGGACGAGCTAGGGGGGTAAACGGTTGATAGGACGCCAGTAGTTGATAGGGCAAGAAGACGACGCGCGAGGAGGTGGGTGGTGTCCCAGCTCGGGAAGGTATATTCCGGCTTGTTGATAGGATCATCCTCGTTGCCGAGGCTGGCAGTATGTGAGCGTCCTGTGGCTACTTCTTGAAGATTGGGGGGCTCTGCTTTCTCGATTGGAGTAATTGGGAATTGGGATGCTCTACCAATAGCGTCGAACCCGGTCGATGGGGGAAGCGTTGCGGCGAGAGAAAAAAGGAGGAGCTTCATGAACGCGAGGATATTCAGCGACCACATGGTGTGTTCGTAGATTGATTGTTTTGTATCCTTGTGAAGTATTTTATCTTTGAACAGCCAGAGCGGATACTTTCAAGAGCTGAGGGGGTGGCTTTTCTTTTAACAGCGGGGAAGTCACGCGGATTCAAATGCAGATTCCGAACTTTAACGCATTCAAGAAAAAGTGGAGCCCGCGTGGAGATATTTCCTCCGCGTTTACAGGACCATGTAGTCAGCGCTATCTATCAACAGATGAGAGGGAAGTTGCTGGTCGAGGGCTCAATGATGCTGATTGTAGACCAGATGATCAGATAAGATTACGGCGGCTTATACAGCGAATAAGATGTTTGTTTGTTGTACGGAGTTAGATTAGAGTTCGGAGGATTAATCATCCGTCTTGGCATTAGCAGCTCGGCTTTATCCCATCCTCTTCTCAGTTTCCCTGCTCCCCTCAGCGTCACGAATTCCAATTCCACAACCAAACGAGCAAGGGTGTTTGGAATACAATCAAAGAAAAAGAAAGAAGAGAGGGAGAGAGAGAGAGAGAGAGAGAGAGAGAGAGAGAGAGAGAGAGAGAAGCCAGCTTATCCGGTTCTAATCCAGCAATGCACCAGCTCCTATACTATAGGTATTGGGGATTTACAGAAACAGCAACGTAACCATTTTGTTATATGGTTGTGCCCATAGTGATACACATATATTGTGGTTGTTGATGTGGCTCGTATACATAACATATATACACTGCAACCGCTCACAGTGCACTGTGGAAACCGCAGTCCTCGCCAACATTTAAGAATGATAGCAATATCGTGGCTAGTAACTACCAGTAATTATTATTGATCTATTTTATGTAACTACACAGTAAGAGGTATATCGAACTGCTATAAAAGAGGTATCTGTGCTCGTACTAGCTGAGTGCTTTTACATATATAGACTAGTATAGTATTACCTTCGACCATTGACGCGGCGTAAAATGAGAAGAGGAAGGATAATAATAATAATACAAAATTAATTACGAAGAAGAATTAAAAGCTGCAATACTACTTGAATTTGAGTGCAATAATTTTATTTGAAATAAATATAAATCCAAATAAACTTTTTATCACAGCCAATTGATCAATAATATATAGTTAAGCATTCATTTTATATTGTTTTTTGAAACAATACAGAAAGTGGAGTTTTATCTCAAACCTCTCCTCAGTTTAAACCAACTAAATAAACCTGATAAATAAGCTAGATTCTAGATTGCCATGTTTTAGCTAACTGGAAGTTGAACTTTATCAAACCGAAGGCTGGATTTTTATTAAAAGTTCTAGAACCCTGGTTTATAGTTAACTACTTCTGTTAATTTCTCAGTAGTAAGTAGTATTATGTATCACTGACATATACAATCCCTTTTCTCTGTTTCTTCCTTTCTGTTCAGACAGAGTTGAGGGGTATAGATATATATATATATATATATATTTCTTCTTTACCTCAGTTGCACAGTACGCTTGCATCTCTGCATTGATGTCTGGAACTAGTAGTTATAGTCTGTAACGATGAAGTCAAGCAGGTCAATCAGTAGTTTATATCACATGCCAGGTGGCTGAACCTTAGGTTTCAGTTTGCACAACATTTGATTCTCCCACTGAAGGAGAGTAAGTAGTTGATTTAACTAATTAAGTTAACAAAGATTAATTAGCCTATCACAACTAGACTTGATAACTACTGTACAGAGTACAAACATTGATTTCAAAGCGGAGGAGGTATGTATGTATGTCCCTTTGGCATGTAAAAGAAAAGAAAAGAAAAGAACAGAGCAAAATCCTGGGACAAGGGTAGAATGTAGGACAGAGACGTAAGATGAATAAATCAATGTGTAACGATTATATGCAGCCTCACTCGAAATTCCCTAACAACTCCTCCCCACCGAATCAAAGGGAGAACGGCTCAATGTCTCCTGAATGTAATTCAGAACGTAAATTTATATTTACATTTATATTTATATAACAAAAATAAATAGATAATGAACAATGGTATGCATTGACTAAGATAAATAAGATAAAGATGCAACAACTACAAATCACAACTACGACCACCCCTCCCAACACTCACACATCACACACCCACACACAACTACAAAAGCCTCCATTCCTCATCGTGCAAACTTAGTCCACAATCTCCCCGCCCTCCCCTCCAGCGACTCCGACTCCGGCAACGCCTGCACCAACCCCCCACAGATACTTTGCCACCTCCTTCGCACAGCAGGCACGCTTGATACTACTGCTCCCAGCACTACCGCCACCACCACTATTACTATTACACGGTCGCGGCCGAGGCAGCGGTAGAGCAAACTTCGCCGTACCATAGCCGGCATTCATGAACGAAGAGGGAGTGGAGGGCGGCGGTGACTGTGGCTGCGGCTGCGGCTGCGGCTGCAGTTGCACTTGCATCTGTATCGGTTGTTGTTGTGGTACTTGAGAGACGAGAAACGAGTCAGCAACCTGTGTATCTGGGGCGACAACGGTGTTGCCATCATCCTCGTTGCTTCGGAGGGTGTGGAGGGAGGAGGAAGGCGACGAAGAAGAGAATGAGAGGAGTTCTTCGCGCACGGTGGTGTGTAGGGCGAAGTCGTTGGAGGGGGTGCGGGTACGTTTGCGGGAGGTTCGGGTGGTGATTGTGGTTGTTGATGGAGTGGAGGGTTTTGAGGGTGGTGCAGATGAATTTGCGGTTGCGGTGTTGTTGTTGGTTGGGTGGGAGATTGCGTGAGAAGAGGAAAGGTGGAAAGAGCGGGGCAGAGCACCGGAGAGCTCGCAGAGGCCCTGAGCAGCTTCGTGGGCTAGGTCAATAGAAGACGTGTCCAGCGCGAAGCCGGAAAGTTGTTGGTCTCCCATATTATTTAGCTCCGCGCAGACGGAGGTAGAGAATGATTCTGGTGATGCGTAGAAATCTGGCCAGCTTCCCTCATCGATGGTGGGTACGCTCGTTACCGTGGTAAACGACGAGGTCTTCCGGTATTCCTTCGCCGCAGGAGCGGCGAGCGAATAATTCTGCATGTTCGCGCATCGACGAGTCGCCCGCATAGCCAATCTTGGCTGCGCAGGCGCACAGGTCCCTGATGCGACGGATGAGATGGAGGAAGATCGTGACGAACGGGATGAACGGGACGACGATGATGCAAGAGAGGGCACGTCAGAGATCATGGACTCTGGTGACGAAGTTGACGAAGCAGATCGGGCCAGGGAGGAGCGGCGGCCTAGGTTGGAATAGGTCTCGGTAGGGGCAGTCTTATTAAAAGTACAATTGGGGCGGGAGTCGAAGGCAGTACGTTGTGCGCAGATACTGCGCGCTTGGGACATGGCGGCACAGATAGAGGGTTTCCGAGACAGAAATCCACCAACGCTCACAGCAGGAGTGTTGACGGTGTTTGTCTGTGGGGTCATCTGAGGAGTAGGGAGAGAAGGGAGCTGGGCATATGGGTTTGGCTCGAGTGTTGGGAAAACAGTTCTCGATCCCGGGGTTGTCTGGTCATGAGTTGGTAGTGGTGCTGCTGGGGATGGTGGTGGTACATTGGACAATCCGTCCGGGATCGGCGTAGGAATTTGTGACGGTGTGACGCTGATGCCAGACATGACATGATCGGTGACACCACGATACCGGTCGGAATCCAGATCGACGGTGTCAAGTTCCGCAGTGAGCACAGGGATAATGTTCCGCCAGGTGAGGCCTTCGCCGTTTGGAGAACCACCCGCGCTGGGCGTGTACTTGAGAACAATGTCCGTCCAACGCTGGAAGATGGCTTCCGAAATGTGAAGTTTCCAGCCCACAGCCTCGAGGAACGCCAGCTCATTTTGATTGATCTCAAGTGTATTCAAACCCGAAATTTTGCTCCACGCTCTGGCGGAGTAATTTCGATCCTGGAGATACTTAGAGGCCAAAATAAGTGCAGAAAGGAACATTCGCCTGCCACATTGCATAGCACGAGAGCACGGGTGGTTCCTGGGTTGCTCCATGGTGAAATCTTGTTTAGGTACATAAGGCTTAATCATGATAAGATAGTAAAGGGCAACTTGAAGAGTCGAATAGCTGGTTCTTGACCGTCGAAGGGTTTCCTGGATGAAAGTGCGCAGTGGCAAAACCCCCCTTGAACCCAAGGGAGAATCATTGCGGAGCGCTACCACTGATAACGGCCAGATAGTTTCGACGATCTGAGACGCAGAGTCTTCCAGAGCACGAAAACAAGTAGGAACAGAAAAGCAAGATCAGAAACGGAAAACAAATAAACACGGCAGAATAGAATGGACGACGGGGATTTCAGCATCTTAACTTACCGACAAGATTGTCAACGAAATTGACTTTCCGATCACACTGGCGGACCAGCGAGGGTGGGGCCCGCGAACAGGCAGACGACAATGAGGTGTTACTATTGGTACGTCGGGGATTCTGCCGCAATTCAGGAGCAACCGCAGCGTCAGCGACTTTAGGGCCACAACCTCTTCCAGAACGGAAGCAGTGGAAGTTCGATTCACTTGACAAGCTCAACGTTCTAGCTCCTCCAGCCGGTTGCTGTGATGATGAGTCACCAGCTCCTAAGACCTCATTTTCCCAGATCACGTCGACAGAACTAGCTGACGACGAGAGTGAATATTGGGAAGAGGAGTCGAGGGAGAAGACTGAGGACGAGGAAGACGCGGCAGACGAGGCGATTGACGAAGTGCACGGGTGCGGGAGAGGTTGCAGGACACTCTTTGGAAGGCTCGGGTTGGCAAGGTTGAAACCCAAGATGTCCATTACAGGCATATTTTCGAGGGAAGTATATCAAGAGCGGTCGCAAAATGCACCTGCTGATGAAATGAAGGAAAACAGTAGGTTGGCAGTAGAGATTTTCCTTTGTTGCGGCGAGGGGATGGGGGAAGGGTAGTGGACTGGGAGTGCAAAGCTTTTTAAATATCGTTCAACAATGTGGCCGGACGATGGAACGGGCGATTCGGTCAAAACGCCAGTGCGTTTATTGTCTGTTTTGCGGAAGAGGGGGAAATAAACCGTTTAGATAAAGGCCGTGTAAGATATGCAGTAGGATAGTCCCGTCTTGGTAATTGTTCGAGAGGAGACGGGGAGCCCTCTCTATACTATGGCAGAACCCAGGGTGAAAGCAGAGGTACTTCCTAAGTTTGATGTAAGGGATGGGCTAAGGGATAAGCCGCAATTAGGTTTAGGTGAATCGCGATTCCAGGCAGGAAATAAACGAGAAAAACGAAGGCAGGTTGGTGGACGATGTAAATTGCGCCGCAAGAAAAAAAAAGGGGAGAGAGGGTAAGAGTATTATTGGTGTCAAGGACGATATCCGATCACCAGCAGTAGACGATTCCAAAGTTGTATGTATGTTGGTAGGCGATATGTAGAGGTAGGCATAAGGGAGTGGAAGGGAGGAGAGGCAAGAGGGAGAGCTGAGGTCGGGTAGGGATGTGATAAAGAGGGCAACAACAGGATTATAACTGGATCTATATGCAGGTACCAAGCAGCGGAGAGCGCAGGTTGATATGTATACCGAGGCGGGTGGCGTGCACTCGGCTCATCATACAAGGGCAACGTGACTCTTCAGGGGCGGAGGCACCCGATCGACTCTAGACGCGGCCAGTCATAGTCACAGCCATTATAGTCGTAGTTGTAGTAGTAGCAACGCGTAGGAATGCAACTTTGGAATCTGCTGAGATGGCGATCGGATCGGAGGAATATGACAGAACAGGGTACATCGTCACCCTGCAGCCAACACACAAACACGCGGGAAGGGGGTTGGAAGAAGAAGAAAAAACGAGGCTGGTGGTTGAAGCAGGCAACACCAGCTAAGGCTTGCGCTTATCCAGCAGACCTCTTCGCTCTAGCTAGGTAACAGGATGGTTTCTCTGGCACGGTAGGCACGCGCTGTTTCAAAGGGTCGTCAAGGGAAGTAAAAACCAACCCGATCTCCCGACCGTTGTGGCCAGGCAGATCGAGAGTGCACGGGGGTGGTGTGAGCTGGGTATTGGAGACTCCGGATACGAAGGAAAGTTGAGGCGAGGCGAGGCGAGGCGGCGAGGAGGAGGACAGGAGGAAGAGAGAATAGGTCGGGGGAACTGCTGTGGAAGAAGACAATCCGATCAGTGAGACATGAGGAGGGCTTCTTGAGGAGGAGGAGAGGAGAGGAGAGAGGAGAGGACAGGAGAGGACAGGAGAGGACAGGAGAGAGGGCGATGAGTAAGAAGGGGACAGCCGAGCGGAGGTTGAAGTCGGAAGTTGTGGTAAGGAAAGAGCTTTTTTGGCTTTTGGGGGGGTTTGGGTTTGGGCTTGGGCTTGGGATGTGTATGACTGTGTTTCCAGAAGGTGGCAACAACAAACACTGTGGCGAGTGGGGATCCAACTGACCTAGAGTGCAATCAAATAAATATACAGAAAAGATCAAATCAGAAGAAAAAAAGAATTAAAAAAAAGAACGAAATAAATGACAAATAAAAAGTGGAAATATTAATAAATCGAAAACGCAACAATGCGTAAGGGAGCGAAACTGATACTGGAGTGGATGGCTGGCGAGGGTGAGTTTGTTCGTCGCTGTGGAGAGGGCCAGGCGGAGTTGGCGATGACTGATAGCACGGCGCTGATTTTGTTAGCGGAGCTTCCAACGGCGAATAACAGCCTGACGGTGACTGCGATGATAGTTGATTCTCTGTTCTGTTCTTCTTTCCACCCAAACCCCCAACCCCCAAGAATCAAATCATAAGCTAGCTAGGGGAGAGAAAAAAGGAGGGTGGGTAGGTTCAACGGAATGAATGCGGGAGAACTCTTTTTCTATCTTTCTTTCTTTCTTTCTTGATATTTTCAATTCTTGTGCTCGATAGAGACATTAGCCCATTTTTTTTAATTTTTTAATTTTTTTTTGTTATTGATTTTTCTCTTTTGGTGATGGGCTGGTGGAAGAGGAAAAGAAAAAAGCCTCTGGAATGGACGTTGGTAAATCCCAGGCAGTATCGGCTTGGGGGGGCAATAATCATGGGAATGGAACGCGAACAGGGTTCGTGGGAAGTGTCGCTTTGCCGCCATCGCCGCCCCCGAGACCAGGCCAAGTTTCCGGGTTCAGGGCAGATATCCACCACCGTAGGCATCGGGGTGCAGGCAGCAGAGGGGCAAAGCAACAAAAAGGGGGCTTGGAGCTCGGAGTTTCTTCGGAGAAATGTCCAGGATGGCTGGCTGGCTGGGGATGTGATGGAATGATTGATGGTAGCGGCTTGTTGCCTTTGCCTTTGCTTATGCGTTTGCTTACCTGAAAGAAACTGGAAGGACTTTCTTCTGTCTAAATAAAGAATTTCAAAGACGGCTGGTCCGTTGGGTCTGCAGGCAGGCTGTTGCTGGTGAACTTATGTCTGGAACCATCGAAAGAGGAACGAACAAGGTGGAGAAGGAAAAAGGGAAAGGCAAGGGTAGAAAGAAGAGGATGTAAGAGAGAGTGTTTGTGGCACGAATTAAAAGGCAATCCAAAGCCTGTCGGCTCAAAGGGAAAATAAAAAGTGATTTATGCAATGGGGTAGGCAAGGAACAGTGGAAGCAAGTAAATAAGTATCATATCATTGGCAAGAGAACAAGAGGGGGGATTTTGCGAATGGAGGAAGAATTGGCCGGAGCCTGAGGCAACGACTGTCCGGGCTTTTGTCTGTGTTATACGATCGATGGATGGATGGATGGATGAATGCAGAGGCAGGCTCTCTACAAGCAGCTGCGTGCGGCCGGGAGAAGCTCGATGACACGGTTCATATTGACAGCATTTCCATGAGAAAGAGAAAAGAAGGGAGGAGGAAGCAAGAGAACTCAGAACTCGACGTCTACAATCGGCGGCGGGGAATCTTGCAACCCCATGCTGACCACCAGCAAATCAGTTTATATCCCTGGATGGTTGAATACGATATTTTATTCTCCTCTTTCACTGCTTACGGATGTCGTTGTCGACGATACTAGGGCTATTGTTCTTTTTAAAAATAAACGAAGAATGAATGTTTAATACAGAGTACGTTATTCATCTACTGTTTCGTGCCTTTCTCTGGTTGAAAATAAAAGAGAGGACATGAATGAAAATCTCATCATAGACTTACTGCGTATCTAGTTGGATGTGTCAAGGAAAGAGTTAAAAAAAAATCAGCCAAAACATCAAGCCCAGAAATACATCATCTGTCCTCTCCTCCCCACCATTTTCAAGCGCACGGATTTGCCCGTCTTGCGGATGCCTCGAGGGTTATCGTCACCCTTCAGGTTCCAACGCAGCGATCACCGCCCTGAACCACGAATCCCTCTCCCCAAGGGCCCCCACCTCAACATGCAACCGCTACCAGCCTCCCTTGGCCCTGGGTTTGATTGGTGTATTATCAATAATAGTGTCCCACAGCTAGGGAAACTAAGGACAAGGGGACACTCGCACACAGGCTGCTATCGATGCCTGCCAGCATATGCGTGTGGACTTTGCCAGAGGAAGAGTGGCGTTTCAACAACTCCTCGTGCGAGTCAACGCTAGCATAATAGCATGCATGGAGCATACATTTTAACGATGTTCGATGTCCGGAAGAACACGTGATGGTGATTTGAAAGGGGGGGTTCCGATCTATGCAGAGAATATTTCCCCCTCCCCCCCCCCCAAAAAAAAAAAAAATTCACTTCTCAAACCTCCAGTCCGTTGGAACCAGTATCCAGCCGTCGGGAGGTAATCGGAACCAAGCCATCCATCATGGCATCCATGGATCCGTCATCGTCGTCATCGGGCGACGAGCCAATGACTCAAAACAAGTGGCCGCCCCGCCTACAAGACGCCAAAACAACAAAGGAAAGGAACCGCCATCCAGCGATCGGGGCTTGGGAAAGGGCACTCAAAACTGGCTCGTGTGGGTTGGCTTTTGGCCACCACTGCCTGTTCTATTCCTTTTCCGTGTGTTTTTTCTTTCGGGACTAGCTTCGATTGGGTGTGTGGGGCTTGGTAACAAGTCTGAGTTGATTAGTCCTTGTAGGAAGTCCAAGTCAGACCGTTCTCCAGTCAGCTGATGTTGCCTGCCTTGGCCGGGCAGGGCTGTGTCGATCCATGAACGCAGTCGCAGTCTGAAGAATGCTCTCGTATGATCCCAGATGTTGTGATCGAATTGTATGATGATGTTTACTCTTGCTTGACTCATTTGTTTACTTCTGGAGTTGGGGAGAACGAAAAATGAGGGAGCAAAAGGGTTTGAAAACAAAACGAAACAAAAAAAAAAATCACCCTTTCTTCGAACAGAACCTCGATCACCCTCGTGTTTTCTCTCTCATTTCTGCATGGCGCGGGCATCTAAAAATAAGAAACTGACCTACTGCGTACTAAACCCATCTGTGTTACTCTTGATTTCTAAATTCATCCCTGACTCGAGCATCACGAGCCTTGATTTGTAAAAATACAAACACCAAGCAACAAGATCAGTCAGTCAGCCAGCCAGCCAGCCAGCCATCAGCACGAAATTCTTCTGCGTAGTCCTCGTAAAATCTCACAGCCCTGGAAATGTTCACAAATCTTTTCTTTTCAGCTTTCCCCGAGAAGAAGATCATATCGGTGACGGCATTCTTCCATGGAAATGAAACAGAATATTCGTTCTGGCCAGCTCGCCGTGTGAGAGGGAACTACGCGCAGGCACCAGCCTCCCTGAGATACGCACGTCTCCGTCCTCCAACTCGCGCCGTCCTGCTGAATAAACGGACAAATATAAGTAAGCAGTTACGGAGCACTCCGTGGGAAATCAGCAAATGTGCCTCCTACTCCTCATTATTCAAAAACAAACTGGTGGTGGCTCGGATCTTGCCAGAGGAAATTTTGCACCATGCGATCGATGGATGGATCGATGATTCAAACTTGGAGTTCATGATCAACTCTGCCAAGCTAGCCATCAAGGTACAATAGCATTTGAGATTAATATCAGATTCGAAGAATAGATACAGGGTTAGTGAGAGTTTGAGAAATCAGGCAAGGAACCTTCCTCTGGAAATGTGGCTAGTATGTTATAGTTTAGTTGGGCATGACTCATAATCATGTGACGCGCGCAAGGGTTGGGATTAGTTCAGCATGGCGCGAGTGGTGGAAGAGGGGACGATCCGATCCCTCCAGCATACACAAGCCCTATCCCACGTGACTCCCACACACTGGATACATTAGCTGCCGCTAGCGGCTACCATCACCAACCAGGTTTCAACCACTCTTACAGGAAGTTTGCGAGCTCCCAGGCAACTTTGAACCCGGTCAGTCATGGCCGGGAGTTTGAACCAACGCTGAGGGGTTTTCCATGAAAACCTTTGAGCCCGATTCAGCTTGTTTGAACCCTGTATGGTTGTGATTTCCTGCGTTTCATCCATGGATATCTCCCTATGTCACGTGCTGGGCGTTTAGGCGTCAGGCACATTCCAGACGACGGAGAAAGCCTTCTTAGTCTTCTCACCTCCCCGTTTCTCTACATCGCTAGTACCTATATTAATATAATCGTACGCCTCGAATGGCTTTGTGACACCCTGCAATGCGCCTTTGCTACCTTTATATCATTCTACAAGGCAAGGTGATCAACTCCTTTTCCGCCTAGCACCCAGCAGACATCATATCATCCAATATGGCCTCTCATAAGCTTGAGCTTGCGGAATTACAGCGTCGACTGGCTGAAGCAGAACAAGCACGACTCGAAGCAGAACGAGCACGACTCGAAGCAGAACGAGAGCGCAATGAAGCGAAACAAGAGCGCAATGAAGCAAAGGAGCAACTTGGGAGAGAGAAGGAGCGAGCTGACCGAATTGAGGCGGACCAGGCGCCAACGATCCTTGAGACATATCTCCAACTCGTCCAACAGCGGCTGGTGTCAACGTTGTTGATCAAACCTGACCCTGCCAAGGCTGCATCCGGATATGTTACATCAGCAGACAGGAAGTACTATCCACTAGCACTTTATTCATGGGAAGATTTTCCGGAAAAACATGGCGAAATCTTCGGCCTGTTTATGGACCTCTTCTCGGATAAGCCACTATTTCCCTCCAAAACCGATGTTCTCGGTATCCGGCGTGACCTCTCACCCACTACCCGCAAGGATGAGCAGGACATTCGACCCTTTATCCGGAGCGCCATTGAGAAACCAGCGCAACGTGTGGTGATTGCTCACCTCCAACAGACTGGCAATCCAAATCGGTTTTCCTTCCGGAATAATGCATATAGTCTGGAGAGCAGGACCCCAGATGAAGAATCTGGCGAATACGAAGTCAGGCCACTTTCCAAGAAGAGGTCCTATGAAGGCAAAATTATACGGCCACTTCCTGATCGTTGGGGCATTTACGAATCCACGTCTGGAAATGTTCGCCGTGTGTGTGTGGGGGAGTACAAAGCAGCCCATAAGATACAGACCGAGGGAATCCAAAATGTTCTAACCACTTCGTCCTCAGAACTATTCCTGGAAGTCCTTCGCCGAAAGCAGTCCGGAAGTGTCAATTCCGATTTAGAAAACACTCGGGAGAAGGTGGCTCAAGTTCTCTGCCAGACATTCCATTACATGATCGCAAGTGGCCTTTTATATGGGTATGTTGCATTGGGAGAGAATCTGATCTTTCTGAAAATTGAAAAATTGAAAAGTCCTCGCCTCAGAACCTATATTTCTACCTCATCCGGGTAACCACAAAGCCCCCCTCTGAATTTGAAGTCCGAAATGCGGCAGCTGCCCAGATGGCAACTTTTACGACTCTGGCTCTCCGTTCAACAGAGATGGGCCGCGATTGGATAACCATGGCTGAAAACTGTGGCATCTGTCAATGGCCTCTTCTTCCTCCTAGCCCTATTTCACGGGATATCACGTTGCGACCTCGAAAGTTTGATGAAGAAACAAGTGAGAGTAGTGAAGATGAAGCCCCTGGAGATGGCGATTACAATCCACCAACTGACAGACGAGCAAAGTCTCGATCCGAGCCAAAGCAGCAAACCCGTCAACGTCATGCATCGCCTCGCAAACGAAATATGACTCAGCGACTGATTCTGCCATATTGCACGCAGGCCTGTCTTCTTAGTCTTGTCAATGCTTTGCCTCTTGACCCAAGTTGCCCCAATGTCAGCTTGCATCAACAGGGCCAAACGTGCAAGAATCGTCTTATTACCAAAGAAGACCTCTGTGTCCTTACCAAGGAGCAGCTCGCCCGCAGTCTTGATAAAGACTGTGAATGCCTGGATCGAGAGGGTTTGTTTGGGAGAATTGGAGTGCTCTTCAAGATCACCTTGACCAATTATGGATATACTTTTGTAGCAAAAGGCGTGCAGAGTGTAGATGAGCCTGACCTCGCTCATGAAGCCCGTGTTTATACTCACCTAACTCATCTACAAGGAATGAAAGTCCCAGTCTATCTGGGAAACATTACCCTTGAGCGGCCATATCCCCTTGTTAGCCTTGCACGTGTCACACAGATGATGCTGATGTCTTGGGCTGGGACAAGCATATGGAGAAAAAGCTGGCCGAAGGATATTGACATCGGAGTGGAAGAGAAGGACACACTACACGCATTGGTATCCTCTGGCATCAGTCACAACGACGCACGAGAGGCAAATCTGGTTTGGAACCCGGAGCAAAAACAGGTGATGGCAGTTGATTTTGATCAGGCTACGATTCACCGCGTTCGAAAGCGAAAGGCAGCCTCCCCTCCACTACCACCGAAGCCGAAAATGATTGGGAATGAAAGGAAACGAAATACACAAGCCGCGTCTCATACAGGGATGAGTGAGTTTGGCAAGGAGAATATGAATCCTGCGAGTCTTGACGACTAAGTACTTCATTACCCGCCCTCAGTTCCTCGGATGGCACTGCTCCATTGTTGCCAACTTTCTGTCATTTCCTTATAGTGGCTTCAAGGTAGGTGGGTAGCTAGATGGTGATGTTTATTCTCATAGAGATTGATTGGTCATTGAGCAGGCAGGTTGGGTGGTAGGTAGAGAGGTGGATAGGATAGGTAGCTCATCTCTTATTGTAATATTGACAAGCCCGTTACGACAACCTAAATAGAGCCTTGAGCTAGGAAAGCTCACTACCCTTCCTGCTCTTCATAGGCTTTGCCAATTCGAGGACTTTCCCTTGCCCCTACTCTCTCAAGCATATATTGATACTATAGCTTCCAATCATCCCAATGATAATCCTGGGAGGGGGATTCCGGTAGCGTTATAATTAGCATTCAAATATAGACCCTGCTTCGTATGGAAGATGAGCGGGTCCTGAAAATACTCAATATCATTGTATAATATGTATTGTTTACATCTCCGAATTTGGATCTTTGGTTGAAAAGATGCACTTGTTATTCCAGTAGCCAAGAGGAAACCAGAACCATACGAGATACAAGGAAGCAAAGGCACAGCCTCGGGAGTGTTTGTTGCTGACCCATAGGGCCATATGATCGATTGATTTTTTGGGGCTCTTCTTCTTTGCCTGGCTATGAAGAGTGCTTTGTCCACAATAAGGAATGGAGTATAGTCCGGTCTGATTGAAAACTATATATTGAAGAACAGTTCGACTCTATCAAATTCCAATGATATATATATTCAACATTCAATATGAACGTGGGTATTGTAGCATGTGAAATAATAACCAATGAGCCAAAAAGAAAAGGGGGTGTGTGGTGGGGGATATATTCTCCGATTGTTGATAATTTGAGATAGGGGCGAATATTAAAACAGACATACAAATACATAGTGAATACAAATTAAACGATCACATAGAGCGACAAAGAAAAAAACACAAAGAGGCAAACAAATCGATTTTGCCCATGTGTCCCTCATGTTCGCCTGGCTTCGGTATTCTGGGTTGGGAATGAGGGGGCGGGGGGCGTAAATGCACAGGATTTCGGATCACCATGGAATTTGAACGTGTCGGAGCCATAAGAGGTAAATCATTGCCCAAAAAACCCCGTTAACATCCTCCCAGATGACAGGTAGTCCCCAAATTTCGAAGGCGATGTATCGTTGAAGTGCTTCATATAAAGCGACTCCTCAGGGCTGATGGTGCGACAATCACCCAGTAAGGTAGGATCGTGGTAAGACCCCGCGTTGTTATCCCGCCGGCTGTCGAAGGGGCTCTCGCATCCTCCCAGATTGCACCATAGCGTAACGCGCATATCGCGCACTTTTGTCTGGGGGTTCGTGGTCATCGTCGCACGCACTTCCGCGTCGCTGTTGGGATAGTGGATGAAAACGGTTGAGTCCGCGCTGCGTTGGTTGAAGCTGAATTTGGAGAACTTCAGGTACATCTCTGGGATCATGTTGTCCAGCACTCCAATCTGCAGGTGGGCTTTGAAGGACGGGTTTATGGCCCGCTTCGAGACGTCGAGCTTTAGGATGAGCTGGCCATCTACAATCTTGGCGTTGGAGCGGAAGTAGATGGCGGTATTCAGCTTGACGCATGCAAACCAGCCGTGGAAGCTCAGGTCGTTGGTGGTGCATCCGTTGTCGTGACCCAACCGGTAAGCTTGCATGATCAGTTGAGCTTTCCTCGATGGTAGTCGGAACCCTGCAATCGGAGCTTCTCTGAGCACGTCGTTTTTGTCAAGTGGACTTTCATCCAGCGACGAGGTTGAGGTGCTGCGCGGTGCAGAGGGGCTAAGTGTGCCTCCGACTCCGGAAGTCATAGGCCCTTGGGGTAGACAGGAAGTTGGAGTGCTGGGTGGAGGAGAGGGGCCAGGAGCGCCTCCAACGCTAGGGCTAATACGCCTTTGAGTTGGTCTGTAGCGAGAAGAGACATTGTCGGCTACAGTCGCCGGCTCCGATGAGTCACCTGGAGGAACAGGTTTGGTGTCTCCAGGACGTGTGATACGCGATTTTGCAGACCGGCAGATGGAACGAAAACGCTCGTAAGCTCTTTTCGAGGTCTCCAAAGCTGCACCCATTTTGGAATAGGTAGAAGCTGATCTCTGTGTTTGTAGAGGCTAGTTGGAAATATTGAGGCTCAGCGCAATATTGAAGAGCTTTGTGATGCGCTGGAGATCGAAGCGTTCTTTGGTTTCTGGAGCGCTTTTTTATATCGCAGTGTCTTTAGAAGCCAAAAGCAGGCAGTAATTAGAGGCGCAAATTTGCTTGAGTTGCTTGTAAACTTGACGAACAAAGTAGAAGACTTCTATCAAAAACGGTACGGAGGTGTTAACTGCGTAGCAGACATTTGAGGAGTTGGAAAAAGGGGAAAAAAGGGAGGAAAGGAAAGGAAAGGAAAGAGAGGATAAATAGCCCCGAGGAGCGCGATACTCCTCTTTAAGCAGAGGTTACTGGGAGGCATCTTGAAATGCAAAATTGACGTCAATCGAAACACGCTTCCAACGATACTTTGAGATTGGACACTTAAGGTTAGCAACGACGTTGAGAATCCAAAAGTTTGCCAAAGGCGTTCACCGTTTCTCGAACTCTATTTCTATGCCATTTCCAGCTTTTAGTAGTAAAATAGTATCCTTGTTGTTAGCATTGTTGGACTTGTTTAAACGTGTTGGTAATATACAAAATGGGACAAGACGTTGAGACGGAGAGCTCGCTTATGGGTTTAACTAGCGCGTTTCGCGCGTCTGGCGGCAAACCCTATTTTTATATTATCAATCGACTCGACACAACTTCACGATGGCGCTGGAGTTGTTGACAGTTAATCCATATCATATCAACATATACGATCTCATATCAACCATGATCCACTGGATTTGATGGCCCGAGATTCGTTATACCGTGCATCCGAATGGGGTTGCAGCTTCCAGAGAGCTGGAACTATCTGAGTTCGCAGTTCTATGGTAGCTACCGCGTGAACCCAATTTCTAACCATGGGAAGGCTAAGATCATTTGCATATATGACCTCCGATACACAATGTAAAATATATTTTGACGTCATTCTCGCTTCTAAATGCTCAATCGACAGCATACATTCGGTGTGAGTTTTGAGTACACGTGAAAGAAGCCTTTCGTATGTTCTTCGGGGATATTGATGAACGGTACTAGTATGCATCCCGTTGTTTCTCTGCACGAACGTAAGTGCTTTTCTTGCGATGTCCATGATCCACTGTTGAAATGCCGTTACTCAGACGCTCCTTGTACAGCCTTCATATTTCCCGAGTAATTCCTAGGCTATGGAGCGGATTTATTTTTGGCAGTGACATGTTTTTGATAGATACAGGCAGTGGTACAGAAAACGATTACGACGTTTAAAATCGGCAGAAATCAATGTTGTTACTCTGGCCTTCAGGTTCTTAAAGTACAAGTACAGAATGTCTTTCCTTTCAATTTTCCATCACACTGTACCGCTAGCCCCAGGAATAGGGAAACAGAATGTGCATGCCTATCGAGTGATAAGGTATGCCAATAAAAAAAATAGTAGATTACAAAAAAGAATATTTGCCATCCCCTCGTCACCTGTGTGTTTCTGTCTTCATCACATTTTTATTCTTCCTCATTTTTAGGATTTGGCATCGTCGTCCATAAGCGCCTTTTCCTTCTCGCTTATCCCTGTCCCAGCCGCCAACCTCGTCAAGGAAGCAGCAGCTAGCTCTGGCTTCCGCCCATGTCCGAATAATCGATATTGTGCGGGAGAGTTGATGCCGAAATACACTGCTTTCAGCACTGCGAAGGCACGGAATGGATTCGAGGTGACAAGTCTATGTAAAAGGCGGGCAAACGTGGGGTTCGCGTCGAGATCGGCAAGGAGAGAGTCGCAGTAGGGAAGGAAATGGACGCTTGCTGTATGACGGTCGGAAACCACCATCTGAATTCGGTGAGCAGGGTTTATTATGAGACAGCGATTTTTGTTTCGAGATATCGCTCCAGCACAGTAGAGAGAATGGATGTACAACATATGAATGGAAAATGAAACGAGGATATACATACTGTTTTAGCTAAATTCGCCTGGTACTCTTTCACCTGCTGAGTCATCTCATCGGCTGACGGCAGTTTCACTTTGCCTGTCACTATACCCGATGCCCACCTTGCCTGGGATTCGGCAACGGGAAAGAGAGGCCCAGGTAATTCGACGTAGCCGATAAAGAAGAGATTAGGGAACCGAGGAGAAACGACCAATTTATACAGGTCAAGCGTGTTTGGGGATTTCAAAATTGGATTGTCCTTCACATGGTAGGTTTCCTTCGGTAGGTAGGGCATATCCTTATGGTAACCAGTGCAGCAAATTACTACATCAACATCTAGCTCTGTACCATTGGTGAGAACGAGAGAAGTTTCGGTAAACTGTTTCACACCCGCGCGATGGACTTTGACTTTTCCAACGTTAATGAACTCAATCAGATTGCTATGCACAGTCACGTTCGCCTGCAGTATTTTGTGGTCCGGTTTAATCACCTCTGGATGCTTGCCGATGGCAAAGTCCATTATCTTTGTTTGGACCCATTGTGAAAGACTATCAGGTAGAAGTGTCTCAGCAATTCGATCTAGAGTTGCCCCCATTAGGTTAGATAACGAAGAGGCGCACATATTACCTGAGCCTAGAGGATCAAAAATAACTAGGAAACTTACTGTCATATGACTCGACTGGCTGACCGAGTACATAGCGTGGTATAATCCACCCGCCTCTCCTCGTAACCATGTGCACCTCCTTTGCTGCTGGAACCAGTTCGCACGCCAAATCCACAGCTGAGGAGCCGAAACCAATGAGGGCAACCTTTTTCCCCTCAAATCTGGCCGGTCTCCGGTACACATGACTATGAAGAATTTCCCCTTGGAAGGAACTCATGCCTTCAAAATCAGGCGTTGAGGGGTAAGAATTATGTCCAGTACAAGCGAAGATGGCGTCATATTCCGATGTTATTTGATCCGCGCCCTTTTTCTCATGCACCACCGTCCACCTCCCGTCTGGGAGTTGGTTACAGGAGAGCACTTTGGTATTCAATTGTATGTACTTCCCCAGTCCAAAGTGGCTGGCGTAGTCCTCTAGGTAATTTAGCATCCTGCGATGGCTGAAATATGTCGGATATTGCGCAGGATCAATGGGGAAATCGCTGAAACACGATGTATCACGGGCAGAGTTTAGAATCACTCCTTCATAGATGGAGGATACCGCATCGTCCGTTTCCGGGTCCGGGTCTTCATAGCGCCACTGCCCTCCGATTCCATTGCGTCCTTCGAATACAACAGCATCCAGGCCATTGTCCAAACATTCCTTGAGTGTGGTTAAGCCCGAGGGTCCTGTAAAGCTGTTTAGATTTGTTTCGTTGCAGGAGTGGGAAGCTCAAGCAGGTAGCTATTTTCACATACCACCCCCGATGATAGCAACTTTTTTCGCCGCCATGGGTTGAAACTTCGGTTGAATTTTTGTGTTGATATAGCGCTAGAATGGAAGGCTCGACGGGGTATAGGGCGAAAAAAAAAGGCCAAGGACAAAAAATAAATGAATTAATGAATAAAACCGAATCAAAACTAATAGAGCTTCCCAGCGGCCTCAAAAATATAAAGTTTCAGTAATGTATTGTAGAGGAAAGAGAGATAAGTGAAAACAAAAATGGGTATAATGAGCGTGATATGTTACAGTAGAAAACAGACAGATAATAAAAAATGGAGCCAAAGACAGATTGCAACGGAGATTGCGTTTATTCCAGCCTCAGGAGTCAAGTTTGCCCAAGAAGGTGACCCGTATTCCGGCCCGTGTTGATTGGTGCGTTTTGCGAGCAACTCGACGCCGCTAGGAGATTGCCAGAGACTCCTTCATATGCAGGAGTCTTGTATGGTGAGGACTGAACCTGTCCGCCAGATGTCGGGGATTTTCTAACGTCAGCAAGCTGCCTATGGCCCAATGAACTCTTTTCCTCAACGGAATTGGAATTTCCGATGCATACATAGTACTATCTCTAAGTTGTTGGCGTACTTAGGTAAGGCTTAGGTTTAGTTAGCTAACTAGTTGACTAACTAACACTAACTTATCGTGATTGATCTTCCACCCTTGATATGGACCTGAAGAAATGAGCTCCAGCCGACAGGCTGCTTGTCAGCCGAATCATGAATTTGAATATGTTACCAGTTGATTTATCCAAGAGAGAATATGCACCATGTGATGTACGCCGTCGAGCGCATACGATTGAGAGTAGTTCGATACTAGTGCTATTGTTGGCATATAAGTAGCCTGGGTTGTTATATGAGGTTTCGAACCGAGATTGAAGGGTGAGATCGGCCAAGAGCTGAGAAGCAGACTGATCTTCAGGATTGATATTATTGCAGTGTCAGCTGAATTCTGGTAGTAAACAATTAATTGGTCACTAGTCAGCCATGGTCTGGTCGGAACAGTTCCTTGAGAAATGCCATCGAAGGATTGAATGAATCCCCAGGTATACTCCCTCGTCCTGCTGGATACATATAAATCTATGAGGGTTCGGCATAATATTTCAATAAACTCTCAGTCCGCAAAAACGCATCAGAGATGCCGAAATTTAATATTAATATTGGATGCAGGGTTGTTATGTATGCCGGGCATTGCCCATGTTGGCTGGGTTTGGCGAAAGTAAATGCAAATGCGATGCAGGATTGAAGAAGATCATGGGGTAACCACCTTGTTTGTGTGGGGCCCCTAGGCTGCCTAGTACGGACTAGTGCCCGCACCACATTGCACTAGAAAGGATCAATCCTTGAAGCAGGTTCCTCAGTGTTCCTCAGGATCTATATATATATATCTACATGCAAATATAGCCCCTGCAGATAGCAACCAATACAACCACTCAGATGTCCAACAGGACCACCATGTTTTCGCATGGCCAAACTTATCCGGGATGCGGTGGTTTTTGTGGAACCTGTCAGCTCCCCGCCTCTTTGAGATCTCACAGGTGGGTTATACGACATTATCAAGGAGAGGGGGACGGGCTATGGATCATGGTTTATCACACGGTGCATTGTTTCAGCTGCCAATTCGATCCGAAACCGTTGGAAAACATAATCTTCAGCTTTCCTTTCCTTCTTTTTCCTTTTTTCCTTTTTACTTATTTTCCTCTTTTTCTTCTTTTTTGTTTTTCGTCCTTGTTTCCCTTCCATCCGTTTACACCTTATCGATCAGACGTGTCGTTGGGACGTTTCTAATCCAATTTTATATATATTAAATATCTCGTTCAAAAGCGTCAATTAATCTATATTATGGCTAAAATAACGCCAACACAAGGAGGAAATGGGGAATGAGAGGGACGAGCAAAATTTTGGCATTTACCATCCTCCTGTATTTTTCTTACTATATGATATCTTTATGCCATGTCATTGCCGTGTCAAAAGCCAGATATTTTATTTATAATCCCAATATAATCGACTTTAGTTTTATTCTTAACCGGGTAAATAAAGTATCAAAAATCCTCCCTTGGCCCCTTCTACTGCAAACCACTCATCTGATCCTTGCAATATTCCTGAAGTTGCTTCGTCGGAGAAATTTTACTTAATATTTTGTTGGCTTCCCTATTGCTTGCTAGAACAACACGTGACCACACCTATTTAAGCGGTGCTGCGCCCGCTAGATAGTTACAATAAGCCAACCTTTCACCTCCGTCAATATTTTTATTTTTCGACTTCGACTTCGATTTCGAACCAAGGATTGTGCTTGGGGGGAAAGGTGGAAAGACACCCAAATAACCCAAGTGAAGGTTGCTGCTTCCTCCGCGGAAGCCAATAAACAGTTAAACGGTGGGAGTGTCTGTGAGAGAGGGAATTGCTCTATTTAAACCGGCTCCATGAGGCTTCCGGGGGTTGTTTTGGATGGGCTTCTGGACGCGACTTTCTCAAACACAAACATTCAAGACAATTTCCGTGCCGAGTCCGTATACGGAAAAGCGCCAGAGAATCCTCTGCAGCAAGTTGACCAATGCCATGTAGCAGAATTATCCCAAATGATAATAATTACTTTCTTGCTTTGAACAGCTGTGCTGATGTTTCACGCACCATTTCTACCTTCGGCAGAGGCTAGAAGGCTTGCATGACTCAGTTGACTGCCATCACCAAAAGAAGGATGGGGGCGTTTGATTGAGGGCGCCCTAGCTTCGACTGCAAAACACCACAATTTACTGCAGGAGGGAGACATCTCATCAATGGCAGGTCGACGAAGTTTTCCACTTCCGAAATTGCTGAATTGTTCAGCCAACGAGGCCTGCCTTTACCCTCAACCTGCCTTTCCGGCGTGGTTCTGGCTGGGCGTTCAGAGAGCTCGTGGTCTCTTGTCTTCTGGGGCGATTCTTCAAGACTCCTCGTCGTTGGCGTGGATTTGCGGATATTTCAGGATTCACCTGCTGGCTACGGCGGCGACGTCTTCTAGCAGGAGTTGGAGCTGGAGCTGTGTCATACATTGTACTTTTACTTGTTCCACTCCGTGCCTCGATCCTGGAGCTTCGACGCACTACTGGTGGGGATTCTCCAGTATCCAATCTGAGGTTCCGTTGTGGCAACTGTGAGGCAGTGGGAGATGAATTCGCATCGTCAGCCTGTTGTTCCTGTTGCTCAGTTCCTCTAAGATTACCCAGTGCACGTCGACGTGCGTCTGCGGACCCAGCCATATCCTGAATGCGTTTTTGCAGGTGACGCCTTGGAGGATTCCGTTTGGGGTGTTTTCTGACTTTTGATGAGCTATCTGCCCGAAGAGTCCGGTTGGCTGACTCACGAGGCACCGGTGTACCCTCCATATTAACCGCTGCGCGGCTTGATCGTTTGGTTTTCTTTGTAGTGGTGGACCCAAGGCCTGCTCCATTGGAGTCTACTACCATTCGTGGTACCGATGGGGATCTACTCCGGCCACGTTGATCGTGGTTTGCCTCGGAGGATGCCAAACCAAAATAAATACGACGGCCGGTAGAGTGGCGAGATTGTGCGTCAATTTCGGCAGCGTTAGCTCGAAATCCCTCTTCTGGAACTGCGACGGGGTGGTTCGAAATATCAGATTCATGGTTGTCAGGCTCTTCGTGGATCCAGGTCATTCCGGGCATATCACCCCACCTAGGGTTCCAGATCTTTTGTTCGATCCAGCGATTCTTGACGTTTTCATAGACCTTGGCGTCCATGTCAAAAATGTCGATGTACAATTCATCTTCAATCCATTCGCGTTCTTTGGACATCTGGAAAAGAAACTGATGGTAGGGACGAGAGGCTGCCCTTTCACGCTCCTTGGACGCCAGCTGTTCCTCGGTATAAGCTATTGGTGGTTCCTGTGGTTTCGGGCACTCCGGGAGTTCTAGTCCGAATAGCCCGAATGTAAATCTTGGGTGGGATGATGAGCGTGGCTGTGGTTTGGGGTCCGGCGCTGGTGGTGGTTCAAGAGGCTCTTCGTGTTTCCAACGTGGCCCAACAGAGTATAAGCTCCATTTATCATTCCATATCCCTTGCTCTATCCAGCGATTTTTGACATTGTTCTCCGCATTCCCAATGAGGTCGAGCTTGTCGTCGTAAGGCAGCGTGTATTTCCGTCTTTCCCGCCTCCTTCTAATCTGTTCAATGAGCAGGTGATACTCCCTCAGAGTCTGGTACTTGAACTGCCTACCAGGGACTGAACTTTTACGTTCTTCTTCCCGCTGCCATTCTAGTTGAGATTCAGAGGGAGAACGAGGAAGGCTAGGAGGCTGTGTTGTCTCGCCTGACGGGTATGGTGGTGGAGAGTCGCGGTACTGCTCTCGCTCTCGAGCAAGGAGTTCTGGGTCGTCTTGTAATCTTCGAAGGGCATTAATGAGCTGTGGTAAAGCGTTGCCTCGAAGAAGGTTAGGAGCGGAAGCCATGATCGGAACAATAGTAGAAGAAGAGTTGGAAAAGTTGAGTTTTGTCATAGAGGTGATGGATAAAAGACTAAGAAAAAAAGAGAGAGAGAGAATAGAGTCGAAAAGTCGAAAATTGTTGATTGTTGACAATTTATCACACATGTTGGTGTAGCAGAGGGGATAATGAACCCTTTCTGAAACGTATGAGTACGTCCAGTGCATTGTATCGAACGGGACACTGACCCCTGGAGGTTGAGACAATCGGTTCATCGTCTAACCCAACGAATCCGTTTGCGTCAGTTGCCTTATACAATGAATCCGTTTGCGGCGGACTGTAGTGAAAAATGTCTCATGGCTCGTATTTCTAAACACATTTCAATCTTTTCATATGTTGTTCATAAATGCACCAACTATAACCAACTAACCGGTGAACCTTATTATAACTACCTGGTAACTATTATCAAATGAATTAGCAGTTAAAATTAGGCTCCGCTCCCGCTCCCGCTTACGTTGCGTCATAAGGCTGCGTTTGGCGCCTCAGCGCTGCAAGTTGCATCCAACATTCGATATACACTACAACCTCGTGAGGGGACGAACAACGAGGACAAACAAAGTAAAGGAGGGTTGGCTCACTCTCCTCGTATATTTACTATGGAGCGACTCTCATTTGGAAGGGAAAATTGTCCCCTTCCTCAACTGTTCAAGGGAATCTCAACTTAATACTAGTACTGTTTTCAATATTTGATATTGTTCTTGCTTGATCCTTGTGAATTAAAGTTGTCACCGACTTTTTCCACAATAACAGTGGACGGCATGCCACGACCATGTCCTCATCCTCTCGCTCTATTTTCTCTCGTACCACTGGAAAACAGGGCTCGTGCTGCTCTCGACCATCCAGATAACAGTCATCTTGTGTCAACGTTCAATGACGAAAATGGCAACCAAGTTGCCGGAATAGATATTGGCTTCCACATCGGCTCAACTTCACGCTATACCCTCGCGACTCTCGGACGCAGCGGTGCCGATGTCACAGTGGAAGGCTCAAGCATCTCACGAATCCAATGCTCATTCGAGTTGAACCCAGATTCTCATGTGGTTATGCTCTATGATCGGTCAAACTCTCAGACAACCCAAGTGTTTGGCGAAGATGCTATACCATTTGAGACCGGACGCATCCGTCGAATCGCCGTGGAGCCACGGCTGAACACTAGATTCGGGATTGGCGGTGTCAGATCTGATCTAGTTCAGTTCGAGTTGCAATGGCATCGACGCACATTTGATGTGGAAGAGCAAGTTAACAATCAGGTGGACAACCCTCGTCTGACTCGAACAGTGGATGACATACCAACTGTCCTACCTTCCCAGCGTCTCACCCGAATCCATACGCCTGGAAATCGACTTCTGAATATAAGATATATGGAAATGAATCAACTTGGAGCCGGAACAATCAGTGAAGTTTGGAAAGCTGTAGATGCTGACTCTGGAAACATTTTAGCTCTCAAGTTATTTAAAGAGCCTCCACCTGGATTCTCGGAGCAGATGCTGGTTCGTATAAAGAGAGAGATTGAAGCTCTCGCTAGGACTTCTCATGTCAGTTAAGCTTTCTTTACTTTCTTTTGTCTACTAGCTAATGTCAATCAGCCACACATCGTCGAATACATACACCATCAGGAGGTAGGGGGCCAACTGGAGATATTCATGCCCTTAAAAGAAGGGAGCTTGCAGACTCTGATGCTCCGAGATCACTTCAAGGAAAACTTCTCTCTTGCTAATGCTCTTCTCCGTCAAATGCTCCAGGCACTTGATTATCTCGCATTTTTTGGTATCATACATCGCGATGTCAAACCCGCTAACATTCTTTACACATCATTGTCTGAAAATCAATGTTGCTTTCAGCTCGCGGATTTTGGTGTGTGCAATTCCATCACTAATGCTAGAACATGTGTCGGCTCTCCCATCTATATGGCCCCAGAAGTTCTGGAAGACAAAGGGATCGCACAGAGTTCAAAAGTAGATGTTTGGTCCCTCTTTGTTACACTGGCGTACGCGTTGGATGTGAACGGATATCGGAACAAGGCTTTGGCAACCCGTGATCAAAAGGTGGAGGCCGCTCTGGAAGCCGCAGAAACGCAAGAGTTGAGGTCTCTCAAAGATATGGTGGCAATCGACCCCAAACACCGTGCTTCTGCTGCGCAGATGTTACTAAAATTTTATGATGGGGAAGGGCTTACCACACCGCGCAACCAAATCGAGGGCATCTTTGCTAGTGATCAAAGTTTCAATGCTCACACCGATACTCCGACTCTGACTCGGGAAGCGCTTGACGCGGGTCGGCAACGAACACGGCGATCGCTTACTCCGATAGGTCCTGCCGCGCGTCTCCGTCATAAGCCGGCTGCGGCGGCGCTACTGAGACAGCAAAGGGGAGCGAGTCGAGTCAGAAAACCAGGCGCTCAGAGCCGACCCGTCCGCCAACTAACCACTTCTCGAATGCCAAGCAAGCAATCGGATCAGCTGCAAGTTCCCGGCATGTTACCAGGTGGAGGATGATTAGTTTTCCCTTGATGTATAGGTGGTGGGATGAGCCATGCCCATTGTGTGCCAGGCCACACCACCACGCCCCACGGGTATATATCACTATGAGCGCAACCACTTAGCAAATGGTTACGTTGGTTTTTTGCTATGGATAATCTAGTGGCAGAGTGCTATATTATCACATATACACAATCATCAGCTACTAGTAGACATCTTGACTAATATTTTTGATCGAGGTGAAGGTTGGTTCATTGTTACTATCTAGCGAGAGCAGCACGACTTAAATAGGGGTGGTCATGTGGCCTTCTAGTCAATTACTATTGCTGTGATATTTCATTGAGTAAATATAATATAATTTATCTAAAAACTCATATTTACTATAAAAAATACTGCATCTCATAACATCTACAAATTAATACTTATCTTAGTTGAGAGAGATAATATAATGAATTGATATCTATTAGTTAACTAACCAATTTCTGATATCTTCTACTCATCTCTCATGAAAATTACTCCTTATAATGTTGCGATGGTTGGCCAGGGGCCGATATGGGTGCTTTTTACGGCCGCTTTTTGCCTTTCACTAACCGCCCATCCCTTGATCAGCCCCATGGCCTCTTGCCTCCACACACACAATCAAACAACCAACTACAATATTGGCGGCCGCGGCACTGTTTCCGTTGTCTGTCACTCCCAAGCACCTGCTCCATTACCCTCTGGGGGGAGCCTCCTTTCAAATCCACCCATGCCAATTTTGGCTCCACCTCAGCCACCATGTTTTCTCTCTTTCATCCTCTGTCATTCTGATCATGTTGTCTCCAGCTTTCTTTGTTTCTGCCTCTCACAGCACTTTTAGGCTGGTTTCATCCATGAAAGCACCTCAGACTTTGCTTACTTGATTCCTGTTTCTCTCTTTGCTACCGGCTCTCCTTGGGTTATGCCTCTCTCTTGTTTGGGTGAACCTGACAAGAGGAATGCCGAGTTCATCCCAGATACTCTCTCCACACTAGATGCTATCTTCTCAGACAGTGGATATGAAAGTGGTTTCATCAGTGAGAATGAAAATGATGAGAAAAGTCTACATTCATTCCTCTGAATACTGTTCCACTCAAGCAGAGAGTCTTACTATCAATCAGCTTCGGCAGAAGCAGTACAGCCTCAGAACTCAAGAAAAACTCAATGAGATCTGTGGGTACTGAGAAAGATAGGCAGCAACTCTTTTGACCTCTGAACGCTGTCATAATCTCACCAGCAGCTCTGGACAGAGATTGCCAGTAGTACATCATCATTGACCCAGTGCAGTAACAAGATCAGATTTCAGACTCAGAGAAGGCTGTTCATATTCTCCATGCCTTCTTCAGCTGGCTGTGTGATCCCAATCGTGGCTAAAACAGCTGATACTGCTCGGGTATTCAATGTTAGGCCACTGGGGCAAAAGAGCTCGATCACCACCCAGCTCCATACTGGTAGTAGAGGGTCAATTTGTGGTTGTCGGTAGATTTCTCGCCACCCAGCGAAGAAAGGCTAAACCTCAGCTACTCACATACAGCGTACATAGAACGTCCAACAGATTATGGCCCGGATTGCTTGTTTTTTTAAATCAAAGCCTTCCACTACTACTTATCTGAATAGAACCCTGATGTTGCTGGATTCGCTTGACACATCCATTGCTGCTCTCATCGTAAAAGTGCATCACAATCAATGTATAGTCTCATTCAATCCACAGATGACATTGAGGCCACCGTAAATCAGCTCACACAAACGCATTATAATGGATCATCCAGATATCGTATTCCCTCTTCAGAATAACGGATGCGAAACGCATGGATATGCTCAATTGGAGTTAAGCGGGCGTCAATATCCGTCTTAACCAGCGTAGATGCCTTCCACACAGCTCTCTGCTCCCTTGTGGTGTATGTAACTCCTTACAGCCCCTTACCGTACCAATCCACTCAAATCCACTTGGCCGAGCCGCCAAATACGGGAAAGTACGTTATCGGGGGAAATCGGCGAAGCACACCGTGTCTTGAACACTGAAATCTTCCAAATCTTCAACATCGTCAAAGATTTTCGATTTTCGCTTCTCTCCTTCTCTTCTCTCTTGTTTATCTCGCATATTATAGAAATAGAGAAAGCAGTTTTTACTATTTTTACATTTCCGGGCCAGCGCATTTCTTTCCCCTTTGCAATTGAACCTTTAAAGACCCATTCGTTTATTTTCCTATATACTTCCTAATCTGTACTTTTCTCCGTTTTCTCCCCTTTCCACCAAGATTTCTTGCTAGCTCAACCGTCTGCCATTTCCCTGCTGCGAGAACGGCTGAAACCCAAACTCGACCCGCCGTGCCCCGCTAACTGTAAAATCATGGTGCGACTAACTTCAAACCCCGCCGCCACTTCCTCCGCTTCCGCCGCACTGCGGTCATTGTCAACCCTCACCTTTGCATCCCGATCTGCGAAACCAACCGGTTTACTATTCTCCTCCGTTGCGAGACCACTCTCCCTCTCCACTGTTACTTCATTGCGGTCCAATGCGCGGAGATCGATAAGCGGCTTGTCGTTATCATCGCGGATTCACAGGCGACCCCACTGTCTGAATCGTGCTGCTGTTTACAAGGACATTTGTGAGACTTTGGGAAAGAGAGGGTTTGCTACGACGGGTGCTATGATGGTGCGGTTTTCTTTTTCTTTCCTTTTCGTTTTTGACCCTGCTCCGGGAGGTGTTGGGAGATATTGATCAGCTTTTTGGATCTGATTCTGACGGGGCTGTTCTTGCGTTGAGATTTAGGCTTCGAGAACGGAAACGGATGCCTTTGGCGAAATCCAGGTAGGACACACTGCGTCTATTTTACTTGACGGGTATTTTGTGAAGTGTTTGTTCCTCACCTGGGGTTGTCTCTAGGTCCCTGAGGATAAGTACTGGGGAGCCCAAACACAACGGTATGCATTGCCAAAATCGCCACTGAAAACAAATAACAACTGGGAAAGATGATGTAGACTAACGTCGCTGGTGGGGAATTGTTTAGATCTCTGACCAACTTCGATATCAACCAACCGCAAGACCGTATGCCGCCTGCCATCGTGCGGGCTTTCGGTATCCTCAAGGGTGCTGCTGCGACTGTGAATATGAGATATGGACTTGGTAAAGAACCCTTCCTCTTTTGGTCTACTAGCATCCAATGCGTATTGCGCCGGGCTTCCAGTTAACATGTTTTCAATTTTTTTTGTCCTTTGAAGATCCTACTATCGGCAAGGCTATCCAGCAGGCTGCTGCAGAAGTTGCATCGCTTAAACTCATCGACCATTTCCCCCTCGTCGTCTGGCAAACAGGCTCTGGTACCCAGTCCAATATGAACGCCAATGAGGTCATTTCGAACCGCGCCATCGAGATCTTGGGCGGCACCATGGGCACCAAGAAACCGGTTCACCCCAACGACCATGTCAACATGTCCGCTTCATCCAACGACTCCTTCCCCACCGTTATGCACATTGCTGCGGTCCTCGAACTCGAGGAATCATTGCTTCCGTCCCTCACCAGCCTACGCAACGCCCTCCAGCGAAAAGTCGAGCAGTTCGAGAAGATTATCAAAATCGGACGAACCCACCTGCAGGACGCCACCCCTCTCACTCTGGGTCAGGAATTTTCCGGTTATGTGGCCCAGCTGGACAGGGGCATCGAGCGCGTCCAAAATACTCTCCCGCATCTCCGATATCTTGCACAAGGGGGTACTGCGGTTGGCACCGGTCTGAATACCTTCAAGGGCTTCGACAAGGCTATCGCGGAGGAAGTTACCAAGATGACAGGGACGGAATTCAAGACTGCCCCGAACAAATTCGAAGTGCTCGCCGCCCATGACGCTGTAGTCGAGGCTTCTGGGGCGCTCAACACACTTTCCTGCTCCCTCTTCAAGATCGCGCAGGACATCCGTTTCCTGGGCTCCGGTCCCCGCTGTGGACTGGGTGAGCTCATGCTGCCCGAAAACGAACCGGGCTCCTCGATCATGCCTGGAAAGGTCAATCCGACCCAATGCGAAGCTTTGACGATGATCTGCTCCCAGGTGATGGGTAACCATGTTGCGGCGACTGTGGGAGGTATGAACGGCCAGTTCGAGCTCAATGTCTTCAAGCCCGTCATGATCCGCAATCTGCTGCATAGCATCCGCATTCTGAGTGACGGAATGCGCTCCTTTGAGAAAAACTTGGTTGTTGGGATTCAGGCGGATGAGAAGCGGATTTCAGCTTTGTTGCATGAAAGGTAATCCCCCCTCCTCGGACCTCAGGACGTTATGTTTTCTGCTGTACGTGTTCACATACTACGTACATGTATGTGTGTGTCTATGTTGAGATTGATGGCTGATATATTGGGCTCCGCAGCTTGATGCTTGTTACCTGTCTGAACCCGGTGATCGGATATGACATGGCCTCCGCAGTTGCTAAGAATGCGCACAAGAAGGGATTGACGCTGAAGCAGAGTGCGATGGAACTGAAAGCTCTCACCGAGGAGGAATTCGATACCCATGTCCGCCCGGAGTTGATGATCAGCCCCAAGGAGAGAAAATAAAGGGCTGTATTCTCTCAACCATGACACGACGAGAGAGGCCTGTCTGGTTGATTTCATAGCAGGATGAGCAGAAGCAGAGGAAGGTAGCAGCATTGGGATTGGTGTGACATTTAAGCGGGTATTTCGTTCGTTTTTCTTGTAAAACAATTCCATTCTTGTTTTTACCCCTTAGATGGAAGAGATTTCTTCCCTGAGTGAAAACTGCATTTCACATTTTGAACAATGCCTTTCTTTGCCTGAGTAGCCTTACATGAACCGAAGAAAGCCAAATCTGGCCAAGTGCGACGCGTCTTCCCCGAGGCTTTGTTTGTAACAGAGGTTGAATATGGTTTGTTGTAATGACCATAGAAGAGATCTTTCGCCCCCCGGGATTGGGCCCGCAAGGCGGATGTCGACTTGTTTCACACTCCAAATCTCATACAAGCAGTGCTGACTTTTAAGGCTTGCTCCTGTTCATTTTGCTGTTCTTCTCAAGAACACTTACAGGAGAACCATCACCAGGGATGAACTGGAGGAATACTAAAGCTGATAGAATCAGCTTAATGAATCATACTCTTGCGGACTTACTTGTTGACAGTGCAGGGCGTTTGAAAGGCTTGTAGGAGATTTCGGAATATTTTCTTTAGAGCTTTCATGGAGAGTGTTCATCATTTTATTTGGTCACTGAGCGGAGAGTTGCAAAGTCCATGCATCGCGTCAAGACATCTTGTACCCCAGTGACTCTCACAAGTTAGGGCACGGGGTTAGAGCTTGATTCCTGGTCGAAATAGTTAACACAAGTATCAACCTTCCTTTCTTTTCTTCCAGGCTTTTTCTCCTTTCAGCTCTCTGCTTCTGAGCTAACTAGCTGTGGCCTCCTGATACCTCTCTTGTACCATCTGTTGAATCCTCCCACTCTCGGTTCCGAGCCAGTTCTGCTGCAAAAAAAAAAAAAGTAAGAAGATGACCCACCGGACCCAACTGGTTGAGATGTATGGGGATCTCATACTATCGACCCTCGGCTTGTTGTCGCCCTTGAGAAAAACAGCATGCTGAGGATCCGGGCTACCGCGAGTCTGTGATACCAGAGTTGACAACAACTGATCCAGAGGAAGGCAGCTGCATTGTCTGTCGTTGTGCCTGGTTTGTCCCCTTGCAGTTTGGACCTTGCGGGCATGTTATTCTGCGCCGAGTGTCTGTGGACTGTGCCAAACCCTTCATGCGTGCTTTGCCGCTCCCCGAACTGCGACTTCAGATACAAACCAGGAGTACAGACCACCTCAACCGACTAATCCAATTTTGACCGTGGAAGAATCCGCCTCATTATATTCTTCATGAAACAGCAGCTCCTTCATGGTGCATGGTTCAACTGGAATATTTAATCCGAGGAGTATAAGACATTTGAGGTGGACGGGAATTCAGATGAGGAGAGCATTCAGGGGATTGATATGGTGACTTTGACTCAGCTTCAGGGAGAGGAAGACTACTGAGCGGCCGGCCTGTGGCGGAGGAAGTACCGGAAGAGGAGCGGGAGGAGGAAGAGGAAGATAGCGAAGATGAACAACCAGGTCATCTGGAGATGATACTGCACAGGATCCCTATCAACACTTTAAGAGACAATCTCAGCAGCATGCGCTTTGCCCGAAATGCGGTGCAGGAACGTCTGGAGACGCTGGCTCCCAACTACAGGATGTGGTGAGCTAGCAGAGGGTGCTCGAGGGTGGGCGGGTCGGAGAAATAGTAGGGACGAAAGGTTATATGATCCTATTATCGAGGCGTGCAACAATGCGATATCTCTGATCTGGAAAGCCTTAAGAGAACAATGACCACTTGTCTTCCACCAAGATATACTCCGCTTCCTCCACTTCCTAGGCTTCCTCCGCTCTTTGTGCCATCTTCCTACACAACTGCCTCCACCACGTCCAACATTGACCCGCTTGAGAGGGAGATGGGTGCATTTACATGATGTCAAGGTCTGAAAAGGGAATAGACTACGGTTTTTAAAAGAAGATTATTACACCAGTTCACACAAATTTCGCCTCATTCACAGTTGAAATAATCGGCTTCCCATTCTTCAACCCGTAGACTCACTAAGTGAGCTCCTCGCCAAGTAAGGCCGCTTGACGGACTGCGTCAATATGCCAGTCACATTCCTGGCTTTCGCAAGTGCACTGCACGGGCCGGAGCTCCTTCTGGTAACACTTCATTTTTCCGGCCGAGTTGGTGCCGAGTGAATCGCATCCTGGCTTGTCCAAGGGCCCTGTGCTCTTGAGGGAATAGCCCAACTGAAATCCAGCTCAACAACCTCCAACGTAACCGGTCGGTCCACCTCCAACTTGAAGGTACATCAAAGTTTTTCATTGATGCATATTCAAAATAAACAGGATGCCAACCAGGATAATCCCAATCCAATAGCCAAAGATGGTATCTGTCATCACCAATTATATTCCGTGGGGCGAGGTCTTGATGCGTGAATACTAGTGGGATGTGATGTTGAGACAAGAATTCTTAATAGTGCTGCTTCTCCGGTTTACATTGTGATGGCGGAACGAAATTGAGCCAGAAGTGGATAAAGTTTGTGATGGATTCTAGGCTTGCGTGTGAAGGGAGCCCATAAAAATCGTCTATCCAGACTGATGTGCATACTCCGTTGAAGAGGGATCCAGCAGTAGTTGATGTTTGGGCTCTCATTTTGTGGATAAACTGGCGTAGCTTGAAAGGCCAGTTGCAAAGTTGTAAACCATCTAAGATGAACGCAGGCTTCGTCCAATGTCTGCCCATGAATGCGCTCCATAACAACATAAACATTCTCAGCTATCTTGATTGTCCGCTTTATGCCAGGTGCTTTGATTCCAAGGGGTGTTGCCAGTTGCAAGGCATTAAGCATGCCTATTTCCTCCATGCAAGAACTGTTTTGCTATTAGGTTTGGAGAGAGGGAAAACACTCTCGAAGAGACCTTGGATAACTCAGATTCAAGAATGTACCGAGTCAGTGTTGTACTGTCATATTCTGAAAGAAGCTGTTCTTCGAACCCGGAATCCATTGCAGTTGGCCTTAACAAATCCCCACGTTGCAAGAAAAAGGGTTGCAGCAATGTGGAATTCACTCATCAAGTGGCAACCTAGTCACCTGACCCTACCAAACCCTAATGAAAAAGGACTTTGCTAGCCAGAGCAGAGTAGAACACGAAAGAGCCATCATCATTGATGCTGAGGTTTTCTCCACCTCTCACCGGGTCTACGAATGGCATGGAGGTAAGATGAGGTATTGGTTTGTCTCATCTCTTATTTACCGAAGTCACTAAAGAAAAGCCCCCTTTTCAACCACCCTCGCTCCAGAACCACTGCCAGCTGGGTGACGCCAATACCTTGACAGAGAATTCCAAGCTTGATCTTTACTACCGCCACCGATAATGCCTGCGGTCGCTAAGTCTGAAATGAAGGTGTAGATCCAGTACCTGCAACCTTCTTCATGCTTAGTGAACTTATATCTATCGCGACTCAACCTGGAAATCAAATCTGTGATCGTCTTCACAGTCAGCTGACCAATAGTCGTGAAGGAGAGAGAGACTTGCTATCAATGCTAGATTACTAGCTGACTACCTGCCTGCCTACCTGCCGATCTATCTACTGACCTGGTTGAATGAATGATATCCACTAATGATATCTGGCCATGATATCCAGCAATGATATATACCAATGATGTCTATTGATATCTAGCAATGGCATCTAGCGATGATATCTACCGATGATATATAATATCTAAGAGCATGGCTTTCTGGCCCTCTTGCTCTGTCGTGTCCCAGCTGCAAGTTTCATGAAGCTCCTGCTATAGAGTGTTGTGCCTGAGCTGTCCAACCCTTTGAAGCAATTAAAGATGCCTTCATCCCCTGGGATTTAGAGGTTCGTTTGCCCAGCCCCAGAAGGGGGGTGATAGGGGCAGGCTGCCCCTAGTATATATATTGTCTACATCTTCTACGTGATTGATACATCATCTTTAACAAGCAATATACTAATGAGATATATACTTGATGTGAATTGATGTCTATACACCACACAACAAGCACACTTATATACAATCAAGATATATTTATATGTTTATATATATGCTACTTCACACATCTTCTTCTTTCTTTTCTTCTCTTCCTTCTCTTATAGTAATTAACTACTATTTACTATACTATCTACTAATATTACTATTGTTCATCCCTTTCTACTACAGTGCTATGCAAAAAGTTTGAAACTTTTGTGACTTCTGATCAATATACACTAGTTCCAAAGTAGTTCAACACATAGTTGAGATTAAATTAGACTCATTTACCTTGAACTATTCTCCCATTTTCTATCAATGTAACGGGTGTACTACCGATTGACCGACTAAGCACTATCCTAATACAGATTACAAATTGATTGAGGAAAGAAAGAGAAAAGAGATCAGAAGAAAAGATCATACAAAGGGGTTCTTATAGAGAAGGAATTGGAACAGAAGAATATTGGAGGTCACGCAACCGCGGGGCGCGGGGTGGAAGAATGTTAAGGGTTACACAGAGGAATCATTCGGGACTACACAATCATGGAGTGGAATCGGGAGGAAAGAAGTGTTCATAAGCGCGTGTGAGCACATGAGCGGGCGAGCGGTAGGGAGTTGATTGCGTAAGTTAACTACTAACAGATGCTAACCCATCACAATCAGCTTTCTCATGTGTTTTCTTCAAAAGAATAAATCTTTATATTCTTTTCATATTATTTTCTTATAGTGTTGTCATCTTACTAGTTATATTTTTTCATTGTCATCATCCACTAAAGCCCAAGACAGAGAATTAAGCCCTTGAATATGATATCTTCATAGCATGTAATTAATCAATAGCTAATTGTAGCAATTAACTGTGTCAAACACTAAACTACTTTGAAACTAATGTATATTGATTAGAAGTTACAAAAGTTTCAAACTTTTTGCATAGTTAGCATTGTATCTTCTGCTATTCACTCTTCATACTGTTATCACCCTCTCACAAAGTTGTATAAAGGGCTATACACCAAGTTATCTCTCTATAATAAGCAATAAACTACTTTTGACGCATGATTATACCTCTATTATTATTTATTATTCACCTTATAAACCTGTTTGAAAAAGTCGTCCTTCTTAATGATTTGACCCAGCACCCATTTCCAATACTATAGCGCGTAGAGTTTTATTAGTGATGACGGTAAAATTGTAAGTCAGAAGTAGTTTATTGTCATTCTACAGATATGGCCATGTGGCTTTTTATAGCGCTTGAAGATACTTTGCCACATCATATAGCAAACGAAGTCCGACGATCGCAACGTCAGGTTATGTACAGGGAGAAGTAAGCGGCCTCAAAAAGTCATTTCAGTATTATAGTAAAGATATTATAGTACTGTTAGTACATAATGTAATTTATGTAATGAATTTCACACACTTTCTGAGACACACCACTTTCTAGACATCACTTTCTGAAACACACCACTTTCTGAGACACGCCACTTTCTGAGACATTAAATCATATGATATTAAAACTGAAAAGAATTTGATTAATCACATTAAAATGTTGACACTAGGCTATCTATTACAGGCTAATATATTATAATAATATATATATGCCTTAACTTCTTCACAATCACTAGATATTTATATAAAAAAAACATCTATTCATCAATTTCAGATATTATTATTAATATAGAGATGTAAATTTATATCTGAAAATTATGCATAGATCTTAAAGTAACTAGAAATAGTATATATCTATTTACAACTTTATTAGAAAAGAAAAATAAGAATATTTCTAAGAAGTAGAACTAATGACTAATACTCTAGCAATAGATGCTAAATCAGCTATTTTAAATTTATATAAATGAAATTGAAGTTGTAAATAATATAAAGTTTGAAAATCTTACTTGAATTTTAAATTATATTGAAAAAGATCTTTTAATATTGCAATAAAAAGTTTTAATTATTGTCAAAATATATAATCATTTAAAATTAAGTCAAATACTTAACTCCTTGTAAGTTGTAATCTATTTACAATGCACAATGCCCACGCCAAGTTGGTCCTGTTTGACCAACACAATTAAGACACCGTGGATCTTTTCGTGGACATTCACTATTTAAACGGCAATCATATATAGAACACATTATTTTACGTGCCAACAAATTAGGTTTCTCCGATTTCGAGTTTGACGACTCGGATTCACTCATAGACCTTCCAGATAGAATAGCTGCCATCATATGTTCAGAAGGATTCCAAATTTCATTTTCCTCAATTGAAGAAATATTGTTTTCCCAGAATGCTGCTCGATCTTTTTCAGTTTCTGGTGAATATTTTCTGTTTATAAGTGTAAAATCCTCAGCAGATAATAATTTATAATCAATCACTTTATTATTGTTATCAAAGGATCGTAAAATTCCTTTATCATCTAAATGTAAATATCCATCAATATCAGTTTTAATGTTATTTCCAAGTGATACAAATTTCTCATCAGCTAATATTTGTGGTTGCTGTAAATTATTGAAAAAATATGATTAGCTTGTGAAATTTTGAAATTTAAATAGGAAATTGAAATACACTTACTAATGTTCCTTGAGCTGCTACATATAAACAAATAATTAAGTTGATAATAATTGATGTATAAAAATACATATTGAAATATTAATAAAGATAATTTATAAAAAATAAAAATAATTAGTTTTTATTTATTATAACATATATTATACTTCTACAAATTTTATAGATTCATAATCTGTAGAAGGAAGAATCTTTTATATTTAATGATTTCATAAAATTCTCCTCTTGACCGGGTTTAAATATAAAGTTATTATGATATTTTAATTGAATTATTAAAATATTAAAGTTTAATTTTAAAATTTCTATAGACTCGTTTTTTAAAAACAAATTTAAAAAATTAAAGCTTATAGACTATAGTTATTTTCAATATATTATATAATTATAAGGTAAAAGAAAATAAAAAATAAGATATAAAAAGTACTTTAATGAGTGCTCAGCCACACTGAGGCAAAGAAGCTCGATCATTATCAATGTTATATTGATAATAATTAATAAAAGAGACGAACCAATTTAAACCGTTAATAGTAAGAATAAAAATTGCTAAACTTGAATATTTAAAATAGCTAAAAAAATATCGTATCTAATATTTTTCTATAATAACGAGCCTTTAAAAAGGTGTGATAATACTTATAAATATAGATATTAAACGCGGCTGATACAAAACCAACCGTTTTATAAACTTTTTAACTTATATAATACTTACAGTAGTTAAAAAAGCTTATTTATAACCTCATATTCAGATTTTAATTTTATATATTTATATTTAAATAACTATATCTATAGTAAAATAATATGATATTGTTATTAAACCTTTAATGTCAATAAGTTTTCTATCAGATATAAGATAAGATTAGATTTTCATATAGTACTTTAAGCTTATTCGCTAAATAGTCTAAATTAAAAGATAATAGTACTATTATAAATTAAAATATATTAATCAAATATAGTTAAAATCAATTATTAGTATAGTTAAAATAATATTTTAAAATCTTCAAATAAAAGAATTAAATAAAGTATATAAAATTTCAATCAAAAGACTAATTACTTCAAATAATCTTATATAATAACTTCGATATAAATAAAAAAATAAAATAAAAAATATATAGTAATTTTAATTTATTATTTTTTTTGAAATGTATATCACTTTCTATTCATTTCGAGATAGTATATACTATTGATATTTTTTTATTTAAAAAGTAGTATAAGCTTAGAAGCTTTCACTACTCAAGTAATATTTGCATTATATTTATTATATTATTTAAATTAAAAAGAGTATACATGTAAATGCACTCGTTTACTATTTATATATCTCTATTTATTTATCTTCGTTTATTCTTTCCCTTTCTTACTCTGTTCTCGCTACCACTGTTTCTATGTATGTAAATATCTATACGCATGTTCCTTCGCACATCTTCCCTCTTTTCTTTCCTTCTCTAACGATTAGCTACTAACCACTTCGCCACTATCTACTAATATCATTATTATTATTCCTTATTCTTACTATCTTCTATCATTCACTCCTCTGGGAGTATAATAATTCTGTGAGGGGTGAGAACAGTATGAAGAGTGAATAGCAGAAGATAGTAGAAGATACCACCACAAACCACGGGTAAATATACCACTATGAGCGCAACCATTCAACAAATGGTTACGATGGCTTTTTGCTATGGAAAACCTAGTGGTATTAGTGCTATATTACCACAGCGAGAACACAATAAGGAAATAATTATTAGGCCACTAGGGCAAAAGAGCTCAATCACCACCAGCGCCGTGGTGGTATAGAGGGTACGAATCACCCAATCCAATCCCCCCAACAATAATCAACCAGTGCATTTACAAACTCTATCTATAATACAAATTAAAATTATTATATTAGTATAATTTTTAGAATAATACCTGAAATATCTTTGTGGTATGTTATAGCCACTCTGTGTGGTACACTGACATAAACTCGCAAAACAGAATAGATGGGAAAAACGCTGCAATTAAGGCTTAAATCATAATATAAATGTACATGTCCATCACAAATCATTATATATACACAATATCTGGACGTGGGGCGAGGTCAATGTACGGAATAGCCGTTAGTTATTCATAAGACAAGAATTGAATGTGAAGAACACCCGCCAGCAAACACCACGCTATAGCACGCGCAGCAAAGGGACTGAAGCAAGACGGAAGTGTGGAGAGAGGGAGGAAAGAGCACTCGTCTGGGAGGCTTGAAAGGTTATTTGAGGAAGTAATAAAAAATAGTTATAAAGTATCCACTCTCTCCAAGGCATTCTTTGAATCTTCACTTCTATCAGAAAAATAAGTGCCAGGTTTTCTCGAGGAATACTTTTTCGGATGGAGATCAATATTAAGACCGCGCGTGACCTGCGAGATGAAGGGCAAACTATACTTGTTATCGGGGTCTGCATCTGCATCGCGTCTAGAGCTGGGATTGCTAACGGCAACTCCCGTGCTCCGGCGACGATCTCGACGAGCAGGCTGCGACCGACTTCGATGCGATGGGGATTCATTGACCGTAGCATACTTTTTCTCTGAGGGTGATCTATTCGGAGGTGATGGTATAGGTACCTTGATTACGATATGGTTGGAACAAATGCAGCCGCAGCCACTTGGGCAGAATGGATTAGTAGTCGTCCTTTTTGCTCTGGCAAAGCGAGGTTGTGTTGAGAACCAGTTCTGATGACATTCGACACATGAAACATGCCCACAATTTAAACACGGAGTAAACATCCCATCGATGACCTCGCCACAAACAACACATGATAGCTTGGCGGGGATTGGTTGTGAAAGTCTGCATTGGGGACATTGAATTGCAGGCGAATCACCCCCTCGTGCTTTACTCCTGCGGCTGGGTTTTGCTAAGTCGGACATTGCAAAGGCGGAAATGTGAAGACCACATCCACATTTGGCGCAATTTCGTTGTATATCCAAGCCTTCATTATTCTCGAAAGGTTTCCTTTCTTGAGAACGAATTGCGGCTAGCGGTCTCGAATCACGTCCGTCGGAGTCCGACATTCGCTTATCATGATATTTCGAGCGGGGTAGGCGATACATGTCGGGGCGACTACTAGTGATACCGTCGATTTTGAGCACCTCCATGCGTTCTATGGGCATATCCCAAACAAACAGCAAGTCAGCATATGCGGCTCGATAAGCCTTGAAAAGTTGTTTGTGACGCTGATCAAGGAGGGGTACGTAAGCATGATTAGCACTATCGAACATATGCTGATTTTTCAAAACTACTCTCACGCCCTTTGGTGGTTTAGACTTGGGTGATGTGGGCCTTTCGCTTTCAGAATCAGAATGGGGTTGTGACGTTGCATTAGTCGATGCGGTTAAATGGTCTGGAATTGCTGATGCAGGTTTTCCGAAAATGCCACCAGCAGCCGACCTAGTAGGACCATGCATATTTAAGCTGCTTGCGGGACTTGTGCGCTTCTTGTTACCACTACCTGGAGGTGATGATGATCCTGAAGGTCCAAACGTAAAAGACCGCGAGAGTGAAGAAGCCAGAGTGGTTCCCAGGCCGGAAACGGAGCGAGGGTTAGAATGATGATCCGGTGATCCTGACAATGACATAACCTGTGACTGTGACTTTCGGCCAGAGGGTTGTCTGCTCAGTTGGGCTCCTTGAGGAGGCGTGCTTCCAGTTGAGTATATTGGCGGCGTGCCGACATGCCAATGTTCTGTCGAAGAACAAGCAGAACTTTGAGAAGCCGAAACGACGTGGGTAGAAGCCTTGGGCAACGATGTGAGTCGTGGTATTTCTTGACATTTGCCGCGGAGGTTTCCTGTTGGTGAACTGCTATCCAGGACTAGCGGGGGGTTGTGCACAATAACTGATGATCGTCTGACCCCACGGATCCCCATCTGGCTCGGATCCATGCTAGACTCTGGTTCATATAAAATGCAAGAGAGCATCGCCAACATCTGGATGTCCCCCAAACGCTCGAAGTAGTTGAATCTACTCAAAATTAGTCATTGGCATACAAGGTCGACTGGCCACCGTTGAGGAGAAACTTACAGAGTTGGAATGAGCCAACGACCGCCAAGAGGGTGCTCTCCCCAGTTTACTTTGTCTGGGCGAGAACTGCTGGATGGCTTTCTCCGTGTGAATTTATCGAAGCTCAAATCCACAACGCTATTCTTGCGTTGCATGTCACGCATGACGACCTTTCGTGCAACTTCAACAGAATCACCACTAGAGACAGGATCTGGAAAAAGCTCGTTTTGTAGTATTAACCTAACGAGACCCCAAGCATGGGCTACATCAAACAGCCCCAGGCCGGTAGCAGCTGCCATGTTATGGGTGCACACTTCTGCAGGGTTGCCAAATACTTGATATTCCTTGGCGAGCTCTCTTTTGGCTGGTAAAAGACCACATAGATCGTAAATATGGATGATATTGTGTGTGTTGTCTGATGATGACTTCACGGTACCAACCCCTGTTGTAGATTTTTGAGAATTTTCCGTGGACCTTGAGCGATAGAATCCCAAACTTCCACTTCTCCAAGTATTCGGCCCATGGAATTGAGGAGGGAGATTTCCGAGGAGATCTGATGAGCCTGATGAACTCGAAGAGTCGGCAGACGAATCGTCCGAATAGTCAGAAACTCCATCATCCGTGATAGTGCCCCTACCAGTCCCAACACCGCTCGAATGTTTTGGGCCCAGTGAGCTTGTCTGTAATCGGCCAAAGGCCTCAAAAACCCTGTCGCCTCGTGCAAGTCTCATATCACTAAGTCCCATGGAACCCATAAACGCTGACGTCTTCTCTTTTTTGGGAGGGAAAAAGCACACAAGCCGGCCATCGTTGGTCCATAACGCCCCGCATGTTTTATATACTGGCACCATGACATTCGCATTAACTGGCCGGAGCATCTCAGAAGCGCTTAGTCCGAGTTGAGAGGCACGGAATTGCCCGTTTTCTTCATCTTCATCGCTGGATTCATCGCCATCAAGCAGGTCAGGGGACTTCAACGCCTCTCCGAATTGACGTCCCACAAACGCCACACTCTCCTCGACATTGTGTTCTCCCAGGAGGTAGCGGATAGCCGCCTCAAGGGATCCTCGCTTCTGAGCGAGGTATGTCTCAGATATAGTTCGTAGCCCTGCCGTGATCGTCGAGGCCAATTGTGCAGTGACTGAGCTGGTTTTCTGCACCGTAAATACGGGGACCGAAGCTCGTGGATAGTCAGGTGGGAATTGAATGTCAACCTTTATAAAAAGGTTAATGTGGTCGGGACCCCAAGGCCCATGCATGGAAACCGTCGTTTTGCGTTGTCCGATATTGACAGATTCGAAAGAAACCTTTGTGAACTTTTCACCAACATGAGTAATCTCGTCTCCCAGCGTTTCCACTTCCCATCCCGATATCTTAACACCCCGCATCCAGGAAATAGGATTCATGTCAGCACGAAGAGAGGAACGCCCTTGCACACCAACTGCAGATCCCATTGTTCCTCCTCGGTTCCAGCTACGATAGTAAGGCATGGAGACGCTGCTGGGTCCAACACCTACAGTTGATAGCGATCGATGGTGCCCAGAAGTTTGGGCTCCCAGAGGAATACCCTTTTGCTCAGCGCTGTCCTCTAGTCGTGGATCGTCGTGGAATGTTTTGTAGACAGCGCCTTTTCGCGTCAGATTTAGAGAGGGATTGAAAGACTTTCCGATTTCGTATCCAACTCCCGCCAGAATCTCTGGGTTTACTCGATGCAATCGCAGCTCCCTATCTGTGCCCCAGGACACAAGCTGGAATTCACGATGATCTAAACCATCCATAACTGTACCTCTCGATCTCCAAAGGAATTCTTTGACTTGGCCCCTGTGGCCTGGAAAGCTATGAACCCGTGGCGGATCACCGCCATCATTACTTCTTTTCCGGCCATAGAGATGTAAATCACTATTCCCGCGTTGCGGCATGGCAAGAACGCCCCATCCGAATGGCGTATTTCTAGCTCGCCAAACGGGAAACGGAGTATGAATGATCTTTTCCGGAATATCCTCCGCAACGGAATAATCCCAAAATTTGATGGTTTTATCCAACGAGCAAGTCACCAACGCCTCTCGGCGGGTCCGGTTCCAATCAAGGCCGTAAATTTTTGTATTATGTGCCACAATAGTACGCAGTGGACGAGCACCCATCCGGTCATCCCAAATCCGAAGGAGCCTGTCATGCGAACTTGCAATGACGTGAGGATCCTGTCTGTTCCATTTGACTTGAGTTGCACCGGCAAACCAGTCAGAAAATGATATTACCGGCCTTGCTGGAGACCGTAGATCCCAGCAGTGAATAAAACTGTCTACGGCGCACGTGGCTAGGATGTCAGGATGGTGGGCGGAGAAGTTTATATCTGTAATGGCTCGAGAATGCTCATGCAAGACGTATTCAATGGAGTTTTGTGTCGATTTCATTGCTAGGTTCCAAACTAGGGCCTTTTGATTGGATGTGCTCACAACCCAACTGTCTCGCGCGGCAAAGGGGGACCACTGAACATCTGCCACTTCCCAGGGAGTGTGGTGGGGAAGGTATCGAGGTGGAGAGTAGGGACTATCCAGGTCAATTATATGGAGGCCTTCCTTTCTATTCCACAGACTATCAGCTATAATGGAAATGAATCATTTTCTAACTATCCAAAAGAGAGGAAAATAGGACTAAAACCCACGAGGCAAGTACAACATCTCTGCCGCATGGAGATATTGACATAGAGCCAACCGGCTGCTCGACATGAAATGAGCTATCTTCACCAAAGGTCGGGCTCTCGTAGGCAGAGGCCAATGGCCTCAACCCTATAGGGCTCGACATATTGTCGAATATCTTTATCCCTCGATGCGCCTGGCACCCCAGATAACCCTATCGAGTTACTGCCACAGGGACAGGAAGTAGTGGACGACTTCTTTCCCATATGGTGAGTATATCGGGATCGGGACCCATGTAGGACGTCTGATAGACGGAATGAGGGAAGGGGAAGAGCCGCTGTGTGCATTAACAGTTTTATCTCTTGCGTCGAATGTTTTTTCCCCCAGTGGGTAGAATGAATGCTTTATCAACTATGGGACGTGTATTGCGTTATCTCATCACAGAGGGAGGAATATGACATCTCAAATTAAAAAGGACACCCAGAAGATAGGTAAATACAAGGTCAACGGAGAAAATACAAGCCAATGCACCTGGACTGAGATCGAATTTCCGAAGTCCTTGAGAGTGTCATTCTCTGAATGCATGGGAGGATCAAGTTATGTAATGAAAGCAGTCAGGATAGATAGTTACCACGTGATATTGCGAGCTCTATATTGTTTACCCGAAAAGGTTCCTCAAAACCTGATGAATACACTAGCACTACCCACCAATGCCCCTTTCCTAAGATTCTAGTATCCAAGCTAATCTTGAGATGCTTCCCCCACACGGTTAACACAGAAGCTCACATGGAGAATTTCATTGAGGGCATCCATGAAATACTAGTACGCAAAGCAGGAGGTAGTTTGAAACCTAGGAACATCCATGGATGCTTATTGGCGAGAATGATCCCAAACTGGACTTCGATTGGCCAGCTAGCTATGATAAACAATAGACGGCGGAGCAGAAGCCTCTCGTCGCTGGAGAACAAGAACAGCTTAGAGGTTCACGGTATGTATAACCAAATTCCATTGCCTTCCGGCCATGTACTCATGATCTCTTACTCATTTAGATTTTAGAAACAGGATGTTCGGAATGGAGAACTTGACAAAATGTACTGTGCAAGTCCCTTCCTAGCCCCTTTACTGCTTTACGGCTTTCCATTTCTCCTCGATACTCAGGTATCCAGCTTAGATGCATGATATAATTCATTTCAAAAAGTAGGGAGGCAGGGTTACAGAGAGGACTGCAGTAACTTACGTCAATTTCAAATAGTAAGTGTAGGTGGTGTTTTTAGCTCCCAGATATAATGCCCAAGATATGCTGTATGAGATGTTCTGAGAACTTCAAGGATTTTTTCCTATAAATATGTAAGTAATATGAGCTATTTTGATAGAATTAGGCTGGAAAATACTTTATGGATTGCTCAATCCATCCAGGACATCGGGTGGTTGGGTTGGTGGCTGTAGTATACTCCAACAGCACCCGTACGGTGGCACCAAAATGGGTAGTTTCATGGCTCTGGCAGCTCAAATTAGAGTTGCAAAATCTATCAAAATGAACGATTACTAGTACTTTCGTAGTTGCCAGTTTCAGTTTGCTTCGGCGACATGCATTATGTATATACAGCCAAAGGAGACTGTTATTTATGGGCATGTCAACAACGGCACGGAACATCCTCCAGCCCGACCCACGGGTACTAGCTAATGGTTGCTCTGCAGCATCAAACTCCCAACCTTCATTGATTCGGGACAGGACGAGGAGTTTAAAACGAAATCCCTTCTAGTCTTCCATCGATTTGAAAGTTTGTCTCCTTTGGTCCTCTACATTATCTGGCTTGTTGCCTCTCCTTTTTCCTGGGAGCTCTCTTTGCTATTTGCTTCCCCGCCTACCCCTCCATCTGCCACGCCAAGACGAACTTTTTTTTGTCAAGCGCGTTACTCTTCGTTTTGAAACATACTTGCCAGTAGCATTAACCGACCATTCCGCTCACCTTATTCATCCTTTCCGGTGATAAGAACTCTGATTTTGTTCGTAGCCCTTCAGACGCGCCTGGTCAGTAGCTTGCACGATGGAGTTGCCCAAGAGAATAGTCAAAGAGACTCAGCGGTTGATGACCGAACCGTGAGTTGTTCACTGTCCTATTGAGTGCCCCTTGAATTGATATGCTCTTGCAACTCTGGATGGCTAATTACGACACGCTTCTCCTTCTTTTTATTCCGGTCAAAAAGTGTTCCCGGTATCACTGCAAAGCCCAGGGAAGACAATCTGCGTCACTTTGATGTTACCCTTGAAGGGCCGGCCGACTCGCCTTATGAAGGTATGGGGTATTTTATACATAGATGCCTTGAGTGCTTTGTTTATATATTACAATCAAAGCCTTGCGCTCAAGCTAACTAGCTCTTCAGGAGGAATTTTCAAGCTACAACTATTCCTGCCAGAAGATTATCCCATGGCCCCTCCCCAGGTTCTGTTCCAGACAAAGATTTATCACCCCAACATTGACGGGATCGGAAGGATTTGTCTTGACGTCTTGAAAAGTATGGCAAAAACCTCACTCGCCTCATTGGCAGTAACAGCAGAGCACACAGCCCTTGCTAGCGCGAAATAGAAGTAAAACTAACTTTGTTCCCTTCAATAACAGAAAACTGGTCTCCAGCTCTACAAATCCGCACCATTCTCCTCTCGATCCAGGCATTGCTCGGGGCCCCTAATGCCGATGATCCCCTCGCAGAAGAAGTCGCGAAACACTGGAGAGAAAACCCAGCTGCAGCCATTGCGCAAGCAAAAGCGGAGACACAACTATATGCATCGCCGGAGGCGGCGGGCAGGAATCCATAATCAGCAGGAACTTAAGTGGGTTGGCTAACATCGGAGTAAGGACGTGATACTATTTTATTGATCGATTGATCGCGGGCGAGTTGTTTAACGGTGGTTGTTTATGCCGAGCGAGACATCCTGTTCATCTTTCTTCTTTTTGTTCGGCTTCTGACGACCTGATTCCTTTATCATGTATTACGGCGTTTGGTTTTAACCCTTTCTTGATTGATTCTATGAATTTATAGTCCCTTTTCTTTGTATTTTGGTTTTTGTGCCTGGGTTGAAGGCTCAACCTGCGATGTTCGACTGCCCGCTATAGAATACAGATTCCGCACTCTTTTATTGAGGCGCAACAGATTCTCACCATTCTCGGCTCTCCAAAAAGCTAGCCAGTCAACTCTTGATGTATCTGGTGCCTTATTTCATTTATTGTTTCCTACACACTCCAGCGGAATTATGCCAAGTTCACCTCAGTTTTAGTTAAACGAATGCGCTGTTTCCTTTGCAAATTTCCAAAGTAAAATCTCTCGATCTGATTCAATAAATGATTCATTTTAAGCTTCTCGTTTCGGTCATCTTGCTGCGTATCAACATTTTCAAGTCGATAGGTAAATAATGACACTTCCAAGCGAATGCCAAAATTGGAATCAATATTTCGAGGAGTGTGTCTGGTGGAGCGCCATGTAGCATTCATCGATTAATAACTTGATCGGGTTCATGTAACGCGAAAAATAGGGTAGTTCGGAATAGACCCGACTGCAAATTCATTCCTCATCATAGAAAACATAAAGTAAATTCCCATTGCTGAAAAGCCATGGAGAGTTGGAGACTGATAGTCACTTCTGGAGCTTGATTAGAGCTTGTGGAAGGGCAGCCAAAGTCACGTGTGACACTTTAGCGAAAGCATCTCGCACCAACCACCAAAGGGTGTAAAGGCCTCTGTCGCAAAGATTAATTAAATCCACGAACTCAACAATCTAACCCCGTCCACTCACCGGCTGCGCATCTCCACCCATTCAAGATGCGTACCTACGACGACACTTTCAGCGGCGAGAAGATTTACCCTGGAAAGGTATGTCGGAAAATGATGCTTTGTTTTCGAAATTGTTGTAGCGGTTCGGTCCCGTTATCAAAATCCTTGTACTCCACACGCACGACTTGTTTGGACTATGGAGGATTTCTTTCTATATGCTAAGCTTATCCGTTTAAATGGTTGGAAAGAGTAACTACGAGAAACATGGAAAGCTGATTATTTTGGCTACGATGTGTGCAGGGTAAACTCTACGTCCGCGGCGACGGCAAAGTCTTCCGCTTCCAGAATGGCAAGACCGAATCCCTCTTCCTCCAACGCAAAAACCCTCGCCGAATCTTATGGACGACCCTTTATAGAAGACAACACAGGAAAGGCATCTCTGAAGTCAGTGGCATTTCCATATTTCCCCCTTTTATCTTTCGAGATGCGAGCTGCTTCTGGGAGATCAAGGATGTGTGGAGCAGTTGGAGAAACATGGCATGAAGGATGAGGAGAAGCAAGGAAATATCGCGGATGGGCAAAGACGATAGTCTTTTGAGAATGGAAACTGGAGAAGTTGGGATAATCGGCTAACAAAAGGAAAATCTATTTTTTTCATCACTTCATATAGGAAGTTGCAAAGAAGCGTACCCGACGCACAGTCAAGTCCCAGCGTGCTGTTGTCGGCGCCTCTCTAGACGTCATCAAAGAACGACGAAGCATGCGCCCTGAGGCCCGCCTCGCTGCTCGCCAACAAGCCATCAAGGAAGGAAAGGAAAAGAAGTCCGCTGCCGAAAGCAAGAAGAGAGCTGAGAAGGCTAAGAACGCTGCCAACGCTGCCAGAGGTCAGGCGAGCAGAATCCAAAGCAAACAGGGTGCTAAGGGTGCGCCACCCAAGGTTGCTGCTAAGTCTCGTTAAATTTTGGGATTGGGTAGTGGCGCCCGGTGATTTTTGTGGAATGGAAGGGACCAGTGCAATTACGAATATCAGTGTGCTGGAGTCTTCCATTATCTAACAACTGGGAATTTTATATTCCTTACATATCAGAACTCTTCTAGGCGAAGATAGTTTTCTGCTATGTGACGTTTTGCAAGCACGATGTTCTAATGCAAATGGATTCCTGCTATTTTTCTTTCTTATTTCTTTTTGCGCCTTCAATGTACTGTGATCTAGCTTAAAAAAGAGAATGCTCGGTTAGCAGATTTCCCACTCACTCTATATTCGTTTCATTCAGGTTTCATGGCTATTTCAGGATGATGCCACAATGGCCTCGCATTAGCACATTCCGTGCTTCAAAGATAATTCCATCTGAAGCAGTCTGCTTGCCTGAGAGCAAGGTCCCATCCATCTTAAATACTCACCAAGATAGCGACTCAACAATTCTATAATTTGTAAGCCTTCAAGCGAGGTAGTATCAATTCAGTGCCATGATCACTCTTGAGATCCTGCTGGTTAGTCTTGGCGCAATGAGCAGACGGCTTCCAAAATAGGCAATAGGGCACAGCCCTACACACTTCAACTCGGCCAGTCTTGGCAGTCGCTAATTTGACGTCCTCCATTTCAGTCACAGAGACGACGATCTGGAAGAGTTGAAAGGCAAACCGCGACAACGACAAGAGGATCGAATCCCAAACGGCTGTAAGCACCTACTTTCCTTCATCTTCCCTATCTCCCAGGCGTCTCAAAATGAGACCCAAAAGATCCTGATATTGTTCTCTTCTTCCGCAGTCGCTACCGCTCGCTTAATACAGCTAGGCAGAAAAACAAAACGCTAACACATCCATCAAACCATCGTCATTCTCAGCCTCCCACACAGTCAATCACACCTCTGTCGACGACATCCTTCGAAAACTCGTCCCCATCGCTTACCGCACATCATGGGTAAAGTTCACGGATCCCTCGCCCGTGCGGGCAAAGTCAAGTCTCAGACCCCTAAGGTCAGTTCTTTGCCCATTTTTCACTCTCCGTGCATGGTTCTCGGAAAACGGTTTCTCTCACCTCGATTCTGAGAACTGTGTGGTCCGTGTGACGAATTCTGAGATTTAGGGTTTTATTGCAAGATATAATGGAAAGTTGGAGAGATGTATAAAGACATATATGGTTGAAGATACGGAAACAAGAACAGATTTTGGACTGACTTGGAGGACTTGATGTAATATAGGTCGAGCCTCAAGAGAAGAAGAAGACCCCGAAGGGTCGCGCCAAGAAGCGTCTGCAATACACCAGACGATTTGTTAACGTCACGATGACCGGTGGAAAGCGAAAGGTGCGTCTTCTACAGCCTTTGGTCCCAAAAATGATCGGAGAAAGCAATCGCAACGAAGTTGGAACTAACGTGATATTGTTTCCTCGTCCTTTAAGATGAACCCCAACCCTACGTCATAAGCGCATTTATTTACGGTTTTCTTTCCTGTATTGCTTTGTGTTTTATGTGTTGGGAACCCTTTATCTCTTAAACTGGCCCGAGATGAAAATTGAAATTATGGACAACGAACGAACGAACACATGGAGGTCTTAACACGATCAATTTGCGATGTGCCATTACTCTTATTGCAAGGTGGTGGAAGGGTGGAGTTGGAAAGGGGAGATATCGTGTATATTCATGGACACGAAAACAGGGGACTCCGCAAGTCTAGGGAAAGGACTGGTCAGCCTGGTTACAATATCTCTCGGCACATTTGTGTAAAAACTTCCTGAACATATATCTACTCTTGTGTCGGGTACTTCACAATTCAAATTTCGATTTTCTTCCCACTTCCGCTAGTCATTAGCATTTTCCGCGCGAGCTTTGTAATGTGATCTATTCGGTGATAGTTTTCAACGGCGTATGCCGACCTCGGTACGTAGTCTAGCCTCTTAAATAAAATTTATGGCTTATATACGTTAACATTCGCTATCATCTCCTTTCTTATACCAATTCCTAACTTCAGCTGTTGAACTCTCGTCTCTTTCCAATCTGGACCTACCTCCATACAATATTGAGGTCCTTCTCAGACAGCTCTCGTTCCCACCTAAAGGCGACAAATGTCAATTCAAATATTCCGTACATACCAAGCAGATGTTGTGCCGGCTGTTGTCTTACTTCGCCCAATGAGGCTTTTCAATTCTCAACATCACATCAGGCTCTAGCGACGAGAGCCTCTTTCCGGCTCTTAGTTGCCATTTGGCTGATGGGGTAAGAGGTTCTCCGGAAATATGTTGAAAGGCTTTGATAGTTGATTCGGGTGGCTTCATACCGGTCTCACGTGGACGATTGAATTGATTGGAAAATTGTTGATACTGATGCCGCAGCCGAAGTCGGCGCGCAATATCATTTATTTTCAATCTCTGTCCCTCTGCCTTTTCAGCTTCAACATCTCTCCAAAACAATGATGGGTCTGTATTATGTCTCTATGAAAACTGCCTGATTCGTTGGTCTGTACCCGAGCCGCCGCGGACAGAAATCATAAGCTTTAAGAGATCTCTTCGGCTGTTCTGTGATAAACTAACGTTCTGTTGTTCCAAAATCTTGTAGGAGAGATCGATCGATTTGCCATGCTTTAGATTAGAGCGGGTCAATGTGTGAAAGCAATTTTGGCGTGGGTTTATTGTGTTTTGGGTGCTATGATTGAGTGTTTCGCTATGGAAGGGCGGCGAAGGGATCGTTTATCAGGTTACGGAAGACTGAATCGTGTCTAACTAATGACTTGATTGAAAATATAACATTCTTACCTAATGCCACATGATATCACATCATAAATACACAATCAATCATTATTAAATACAGTTTAGGTTGAAGAAGATTGGTTATCCTTTAGTTAGTATAGATGGTACTGCGTAAACATCCCACTGTCTTATTAAAATAGTGCATTACGCATGACTTACTACATAGTAGAAACAGCCTGCTTCTAGCAACCCTAGCTAGGTGGGCAAACACACTTCAAAATCCCAGGGATACATGGATCTTTAATTCCACACTATCTTAACTGAGGAGCATCCACTCAGATCCCTATTGTAGAGAGTGCAGTGCATAAGCGCAGTGCAAAAATAAACAGGGTGTGCAGTGGGCGGCTAAGCAGTCAGTCAGGCTACTAGTCACTAGTACGAGTGCTAATTTTTGCAGCTCCGCACCCCCTGTAGCAGGGGGATGGTGGTGGGGAGCCGGCCCAAGACCCGAGAAAATCAATCCGAAATGTGCCACTGTTAGAATAATACAAAACTGGAAATGGAAGAAAAAAAAGAGCGCAAATAGACGGAGAGAAAGGGGGAAAGGGGGGAAGATGAAAAAAAAAAAGCATTAACACGCCATCTATGTATGTATTAATTATCCCTGATATTGTCGAAATCCCATTCCGGTCCGCTCGTCCAAATAAAAAGGAAGACTCAAGGCTGAAAAATGAAAATTTTTCTTCCCTCTTGATTAATATATAAAAGAAATAAATCACTCCGACCGTTTTTCTAGACCGTAAAGAAGAGAGAAAAGAGAAAAGAGAAAAGAAGATCCGTGCACCCCATTCACAGTAGTAATCCAACACTGGCCTGCTGGGGCCGCGGGTAGAGTGTACATTATCATACACGCCCGTGCAGACGACGGCTGGATATTCAAAATACCCTAGCGGAATATATTTAAATAATCATCCCACTATGTGGTTCGATCACTAGTGTTTGTCCCGTAGAGCTTTTATGGGCGAAGCAGAGTGATCTTGCGAAGATATGTATTGGAATTGGGCGTTTGTATTTCTGCTTGCTTCGGAAGATAATTGGGGACGGGATTGGCCGGAACGATGGGGCTTTTTATTCCGTTTGAGTTCCGTATATTTGTTATATTTTTTAAGGGAAAAGAGGAAGGATGAGGGGGCAAAAATTAACAAATCAATGTAAATTTATTCGTTTCAGTTGTAGTAGTGGGCCATTTCGAGGCCGGCACGTTTGAAGCCGCATTTCAAATAAAAGCCTTCATTGGCTTCTGAGCAATCGAGGATACTCTGTAAGAGCGGACGGATCAGCGACGAATTCTTCCCGGAAGACACGAATAAAAGCCACACACAATGATATTTGAAGAGGAGTAACCGGGGAGGGGGGGGGAAATGTAGGAATAACACACCTTATAGCACCCGACCTTCTGCGCCACGAAATCCAGCGCCTGAATCATCCTCAACCCTAACTTCTTCCCCTGCTGGCCCATTTCTACCGCGATATCTTCCACATGGCCCACCATGCCCAGGGAGTGAATGAACTTGCGCTCGACGATCAGGCTTCCCGTGCTCACCACCCTACCAGAGCCATCGCAGATGACCAGCAGGAAATACTCCTCGCCTCGCTTCGCCATCCAGTCATAGCGCTCGTTCCACTGCTCGACGGTGAAGTCGCCGACAGCGGTCAGGACTCGGAGAACGTCGAGGTAGCCGGAGAAGTAGTCTGAGCGCCGTAGGGGTCGGATCGTGTAGTTTTCCGGCAGCTGTTTTTGGACCATTGGGGAGATGTACGAGGGGCAGAAGAGGGGGGCATCGTCGTCATCATCTGCAATGGAGTGGGAAGAGGCTGGAGGGCTGAGCATCGGCGCTGGGGAGGGAATGTGCGAGGTGTTGTCTCCATTTGTCGCTGTTGTCGTCGTTATTATTGACGATTGGGGGGGTTGGGAGGTGGTCATTGTTCCAATGGAGAGGGTCCTTGTTGGCCTTAGGAGAGAGAGGTTGGGTTGTATTTATGGGGATATATGGGGATAGCCCTGTTTTTCTTGTTTTCTTCTGTCTCTTGCTTCTGTTGATGTGCACGTGTTTGCAGCTGAAACGGTATGTCGTGCTAGGAAGTGTTTGAGGATAATAGGACGCGCGAGGCTGAGGTGAGGGGCAGCACAATGGGCTCAATGCGATGCTCCAGAATTGACTTCAAATTGTAGATATGCCCTTCAGAGCTGCGTGGGAATGGATGTTTTTATGTTGACGTCGTTGGCATGGGGCGCAGTCAAGGATGCAATTTTCCAACTGCATTGGGACTAGTGGATGAAACAAGGAACAACCATGTCGGAGGATAATTTTGTTATTAACTAGCTAAGTGAGAGCAACACCAAAAAAAAGGCTGAGTGCTGAAAATCCCATGAAACTGCTAATTTGTGCCTGTCAATATGTCATCTTCTGGGCATGAAATAGTTATCACGTACTGCTTGTGGCTGAGTTTCTCTAATTTTATGCCCAAGACTGCTAAATGGGATATATTGCTAGTAGTTGGACTCTGTAATACAAGAAATGGCGGTTGAATATATTTCCGGCGAACGTACATCGAAGGCTCTGGTAGTGCTGAACGCCGGATGAGCAATTCCGGGTCCAAGAAATTAGAAGGTCAGGAAATGGGAAGAGAAAGGAATAGAAAAAGGAACCCGTAGGGCTATGATATAGAAGAGTGCCGTATATTCTCTTAACAAGATTAGTCAAGTCTTAGTGAAGGTTATAATACATCGAGTGCTTTCTTCTTGGCTGGCAACGCGCGTAAATAACGGAGAGTAAAGCAAAAGATAAGTACGTACGGAGTACATACACTCGTACACAGGTGAAGAGGTTTGAAATATTACCGTGGGTGGAAATGATGTTATTGCAGTGACGCTGACTAGGCACTGGATGGGAAATAGTAAAGGAGCAATGGGCGGCGTGCACGAAATAAACCTATGGTCTTTGATCACTGAACCCCGGGTGGTTTTGGGGCGATACTACGATAACAAATATAAAAGTAGATAAAACATTGACATGTGAGACCTCTTGCGAGAATGTCCCTGGAACTCATGATGTCTATCTAGACACAGCTTGTGGAGTGTATCAGCCTCTAGTTCAACTTGACAGCTGCAGCTCCTAAAAAGGAAAAATAAAAAGGAGTGTCATTTCTTCATTGCATCTAACTTTTCGAATCTATCGCTCGTCCCGCCAGCGGTTTGAGGATGATTAAGAAAAAGATCTTTATGTTATGGTATCCATTTCATGCCAATTTGCGTATTTGACAAGTAAAGAACCCAGGGTCCCATGTTGCTAATGAGGTAATGATGTGACATGGAGACTGGTAGTTCTATGCCTCCTTTCCCACTCCGCATATAGTTGATAACACATCAGGGGCGTTAAACGAACGGCTTGGATTGTTAAGCTGAACTTAGCATTCGGCTCCAATCAGAAGTCGACACCTCGAGTAATTTGATACACGAAGTTCGTTCCTGAGGTCATGTCTAATAGAGCGGTGTCTAAGATAGCGGTTAGAAATTATCACCAAGTGGTCTCAACGTCACGGTCTTCGGCACTACGAAGATAGCATTTCCCGTGGCGCATAGTCTACCCTTTGAATCTCGAATTTCGCCTTTAACGAAAGCTTTGCGCTCCGTACTCTTCTCCAAGTCGCATTCTACTGTCACTATATAAAAACCCATAACCTTTAAGGGTCTAATATAGTCGATATTGAGGTTAGCCGTTACACCTGTTCGAGCGGGGAAGCTGCGTATGGCAACCCGTCCAAAGCTTTCGTCCAGAACCGTAGCGACTGCCCCTCCGTGAACGATTGATGGCCAGCTGCTGAGTCCAATCCCCATATGCACCACTGTTGTAGCTATGTGTTTTTTTTCGTTCCAAAATATTCGCTGTGGATATCAACCATCAGTTAGCAACACCATTAGCAAGTCTACCAAGCTCAATATGAAGATCGAATCGCACGAATTGAGGCGAAGGGGGTGGGCAGAGAAGAACTAACCTGCACAGGCAAATTGCGACTTCCACTCAGAGGCCCACTCGTCAGTCGATGAGGCTTCTCTTCCTCTGAAAAACTGTCGTATGCCTCCCATTCGACATAATCAGGATCAGCCCGTAGCTGTTTAACCACCTCAAGGCGATCCATCACCCGCCGCAGATGGTCAACTCGTTGTGTATCCTCCAGGGAGCCTGGTGCCGCAGGATCGGCCAGGAACGCGGACAAAGCATTCCCTATGCCATAGCCTAACGAGCCGAAGATAGCGAAGTAGGCCAACGAACGAAATCTTCGCCGAAGTACATGTTGTCTTTCGGTCAATGGTACTCGTGTCGCTCGGGCGAAGGAACGCCTCACGATGGGTGAAGCATACGGAGAGGTATCAGGGATTAGCAAACGCTTCGGAGGATTGATGACGTTCCGGGCGATCGCACCACAGGGGAAGTTGTGGGCTATCGGTTTTGGAGAGCGGAACATTGCTGGCGCATGTCACCTGCTGTGGAGGCTGTCAACAATGCTGGAGGATATGCACAGAATTTGTGATGAGTCGAGGACATGGTCATGTGATATCATGAACAAGAAAAGCAAAATGAAAGTAGGTAAGGAGACAAAAACTCTCATTGATCCGTGAACGTACACTAGGTATATATGGAGGATACTCCCATAGTTTCATAGAGAGTAATTATCATCTAAAGCGTGCTAGATCTATCTTCTTTGATTCCCGATTACCGTGTTAAAACCTCCTTGAGCCTGATAAACATAATCCGCCAGAAACAATCGATAATGCTTATCTTAATATAACTATCGGAGGTTTTGAAGGAAGAAAACAAAATTGATGACGGATGCTGGTTCAAGCTTGCGTCTCTAAACAAAAGATGAAGGATTATCCTTTAACTTCCTCTGCGGTTGGCAAATCGATAGCCCGATAGAGCAGTATCAGTGCAGAATGCGATTCACCTGAGGGATGTATGTTAGTTTGCCAGCTCCCATAAGTTGTCATTCCTTTCGTTTTCTCGATTTAAAGGACAAAACAACATAAAATATGGCCACTTACCACCGCCTGACAGAGTTTCGATCTTCTCCGCCTCAACCTCAGAAACTTTGTCATCGTTGAACCACCACCACTTGCCATCATCCTCGTATCTCTTGCCGCCGGGAGCAAGAGGGTCATCGACAATCCTTCCTCGCTTTTTCACGTAAGAGGTGTAGTGGCCGCTCTCAGCACTAGGCCCCTGGTGGGTAATGACTCCGCACAATTCGTACAGTCCGGATGTATTGGCACCATCATCAGACGCGAGTTTTGGGTCGATGAGATCGAACAATTCTTTCTTAGCAGCCATAACGGCTGCGGCACGCTCGGATTCGTATTCAGCATCAGTTTTGAAGGCTTCCTCCATAGCAACATCGGTGGTCGCATCAGGGTCCTCCTTGGCAATTTGTTTTTTTTGGATAGGCTCGACCATGGAGGTATTAGCCTTCTGCTCCTCTTCCCGCTTATGTGCGATCTTCTGGCGCTTACGAACTCGTTCCATATCACGTTCATCTTTGCGAATTTCGCGGACCTTGTCTCTGACAGGGAAGAGCTTTTCCCTCAGCTCATCAGTGCAAAATTCCACAACGTCCAGCTCGGGAGGGAATGTCACTCTGCGCATGATTTTCACCTTCTTCTGTTTATCTCGTTTCCAAAAAAATCGAACAAAATGCACTGTAAGGTATTTTGGTAATCGAGAGATCTTAGAGCGTTTCGTATAAGTCGCGTCCCGGTTCAGAGTAGGCGACTTCTTCTCAATTTTTTCCTCCAAGCCAGCCAACAGGCCGTCCCGCAAATGGTTTATGTTTTTGTCGATATGACAGTCTAGCTTAAGGAAGGAGTCTGAAGTTTCAATAGTGGTCTCACCTGCTTCTTTCGCCGCAGGGTCATCACATTCAAGGATCGACTCGAGTCTCCCAGCGAGGTACTTGTCGACAAAAGCTATCTCGGACGATTCATCACCGTTCTCGCCCTTAGTTTTGAGATCCTGGCGTAGTTGAGATATGATCTGGGACCATGCCTCTTCTGCGTCTTGCTGTGCATACCCGGGACCTTCCTTCGCTCTTTGTGCAAACTGCGGGAAAGCATGCCTCAGAGAGTTCAGAAAAGATATAGGTGGAAATCCTTCCTGCGTTTCAGACATGCGCTTATAAAGATCCTTCAGAGAAGCGGTCAGGTCCCCAGAAGAAGGAATTCCTAGCATACTACCCGAATTTGATGAACCGGCTGAAGGGTGATATTTCAGAAGCTCTTCGTGCAGCTCTGGAATGGTTCGCAACGTCTGTAATGTCGAGTTTAGGTAGCATGTATTACCCAAATTTTGTAGACCGGCAGGGGTCGCGCCATCAGCTCTCGCAGCTTCGGCTTCCGTCATATCCTCAATGAATTTTGTCGTCTCTTTAGGCTTCTCTAGAGCTGCGGAAATATTGCTAGCGCTTGGGGTTCCCAGCATCATGAATGTTTGCCCAGGCTTTGCATTAAGGGTTGAGAGTTCTGTGTCATCTTTCAGCTGCCCACCCTTCACGAGAACCTTCTGGCGTTCTGGCTCGACTCCAGTCAGCGAATAGAGCTGGAACTTGAAGGTTTCTCCATTGGCAGTTGGATCGAGATCGACCTCGTGGCGCTTGCCTTGGTGTTTGACAATTACTTGAGTCCATTGATTAGTAGAAGCACGAAAGTTAACAACAAGGTGGAAAACAGAAAACCGAAGCTCACCAGGTATCGTAGCCATTACGGAAACTGAATATTACTCTGTGAAGCTCACTATGCAAAGATATATATTCGAATTTCAGTCCTTTAGAGGTTGGCTGGAGGAATGAATGACAGGGACGTGTGTGCTAACAAAGTAAATTGAGAAATGCTTCTTGAGGTTGGCGGGGGGAATCGTTGCAAACAGTGCAAACAGCTCCAATCATCTGTACGTTGACATGCCACCATCGACAACAACTGGACACCCAGTATGAGTGTCTTATACAAAGAATTCACAGCACCACTGTCCTCTTACATGCAATAGCGCGGCAGACCATTTTGTCAAGTCCGTTGTACCCCGCACACAATCGCATTTGCTCCGTTTACTTGAACCTCAATTTTCCCAAGTTGAACTGACGGGCCACATCCATTATGGTACGTACGTCCCCTAACGACCACATTGCCCAACTAATCGTATCTCAGTCACAATCATTGCGCCCATACCTTCAGTGTGTGCGATCCTCTCTCACAGCCGCCCTCGCAATTTCCAACTTTGCTTCGCAGACGTCAGAACGGCATAATGTTCCAGAGGTGGAGGCGGCTACTTCCCCAGAAGTCCTACTAAACCCCCTTACAATTGCGCGTAACGAAAACGAAAAAGTCCTTATTGAACCAAGTGTCAACAGCATCAGAGTCAGCATTCGGATTAAGCAGGCGGACGAGATCGAGAATATTCTAGTGCACAAATTCACCAGATTTTTGACTCAAAGAGCAGAGGCGTTCTTCATTCTGCGACGGAAACCTGTGAAGGTTAGCTACCCTCGAAACATAGCACATAACGCGGAAATTGCCATGGCTGACATAGTCTAGGGCTACGACATATCTTTTTTGATAACCAATTTCCATACGGAGGCTATGTTAAAGCATAAGCTAGTTGACTTTATCATAGAGTTCATGGAGGAGGTGGATAAGGAAATATCGGAAATGAAACTCTTTGTGCGTAAACGGCCTTCGCGCCCGACTATGCGGACTCTCTGGCTACCTCCTCATCGGGTTTATTACATTAGGTTTCCTCTACTAACCGTTTTGTGTTTAGCTGAATGCTAGGGCGAGATTTGTGGCGGAATCATTTTTGACTCCTGTAAGTGTAATCATCACTTTCGAAGATCTATACAGGTGCTAACATTTGTGATGCAAGTTTGATTAATTAATTACATGCCTTGTACCTCCGTGGCAATGGGTTTTATGCGATATTTTTTCTCTTCCAGCATTCTAGTTTATATCCTTTTTTTTCCCCCAGCTATAATTCGGAATGTCATGTCCGTTTTGAGCCTTTCCCTGGTGTAGATCCTAATAGAACCCATTATGTGTCCTTGTGCAGATTTTCTGTTCTAAGGCAATGTAAATTATGCCGCCCAGCATAATTTCCTTTTCTTTTCAATTCTATGATCTCCTGCCGGTGGAATATATACTTGTATCATCTCACATATTCCACTTCAGTATTTCGTTTTCTTCTACCATTGAATCATCTGCCGGACATGAAAAGCGCATTACATTGATTGGCACCAGTCAGCATTATCCGGTTTTCTGAGATTTCTGTCCGCATTTCTCCCTAGCCATCAGCCAGGCTATCTTGCGATTTTGACGCTTCCATTCATCAGCTGAGTGGAGACCCTCCGGACGCAGTATTAACATCATATCCGCTTGCTCTCTTCCACCTCGCCATCGAGTTATCTATGTAGTATATGCCTCACATACACAGTTATGCGATTTATACTAAACTACAGCATTCAAAAACAAAGAGCTGGACTTTTGTTAAGTACCACAATTGCTTTGTGAATAGACCAGAGCCCAAGGCATATATGAGTTTGATCATTAACATCCAATGTGATGCAAACCGAACCCCCCAGTATAACTATCCTTCTGGTCATAACATACCTACCTATCATCCATGTGCGAAACCTCTCATGGCAGTTCTAAGCAACGACTAAGCGGAACACACAAATCTCATGAAACAAATCGGTTTTTAATTTCATGTTTCATCCATCCTCCCCTCTTTCATCAACAGGCACTACAGCAAACACCTCCTCTAGTTGGCTTTTGCTGCCAAATGTGGGATCATCTTTCCTCTTCATTCGACCCTTTTGTTTCGGCAGATTGTTCTGCTGTTGATCGAGTTTAGCACGTCCATCACGCACTCGCGTCGAGCTTCGTCAAGAAGAGTTTCAAAGCTATGGCCACTCTTTTCAGGTATAAAATGTCGGGAAAGGCTCGAGGCTACTGGAGGGAGAACCCGCCTAATTTTCCGTATACCGCTCCGGCGATACTCGCTTCTAACGATGACAGTGGAGCATCTGAGAACGATTTGTTGGGTCACAAGCGTGGACGTACCCACATCAGCAGCGATGGATATAAGTTCTCAGCCTCAGAGTATGAATTTTGCAGCGATTATGGAAGTATATCCGTGCCCTCGGATGCGACTTCAGAAGAAGAAACCGAAAAATTTCCTGATTTCGTTGACAATGGTTTCAATGCCCACAATTACCTCCCAACTCCCAACGGTAGTCAACAGTATCACGTCCCTCAATACCTCCCACTTCAGTTGGCTGGATACACTTACTATCCCTGCAGCAGCCCCGAACAGAAGTCAACCGGATATCAAGTGGGTTATAACTTCTATCCCAGCGTGCCATATTTGCCACGTTATTCTCCTTTTGTGATGAAAGCGAGCCGTCATTTCCCGATGCTTGATCAGGGACTTGGAATGGGTCAAAATGGCGGGCTCAATGGCAATTTTGAGGAATATGAATATAATAAACTCACGGGTCTTGCTGCTTCTGTTGTATCTATGGGCCACACAAAAAATCCTTCAGCAGTGAATCCAAATGCCGTTGGGGCAAACCGTCACTTTGTTGGGGTTACTGAGACAATGGGGCAAAAGGGAGGTGATGTCCTTTCGTCTGTCACTCTGGCGACGTCCATGGAACATGATCCTTCATTCTTGACTGCACAAACCTTTCAGCTTCCATCTGACCACAACTACGCCACGCAGCATCAGAACCCAGCGCCAGCAGCGTCCCCGATGACTGCGACCACTGCGATGGCTGTCACAATGTCAGCCGCACATAACGGTCCTTACGGCTACGCTGGCAATCCGGTCTGCTACCCATACGCGATGCCGTTCGACAACGGGGCAAGATACAGCCTACCACCCAGATTTGGGGTTATCAAAATTACCAATGTGCGTTATATCAGATCCCTGGCGTGTTCATTTCCAGTATTGCTCCTCCATTATAAGCAAGCGTGATAGTTCCGGGGTTGTTCATGGGGTCTCTGAGAGACGGACGGATTTCTTAACATGGAAGTCATGTTAACATGATTCTAGATCCCTTATGCAGTGACCAAGCACGAGATCCTGCAGTTTCTTGGTCGTAACGCCAGGCCCTTGACACCTGATTTAGGATGCGCTGTGCATATTATCATGGAACGTTCGACTGGGAAGACAATGGACTGCTACATTGAATTCCCAACTAAGGCCGATGCGGAGTGTACGCTTGCTTGGGTCAACCGTGGTCTAGACACTTGCCAGACTCCAAAATTGGGCAATCGTCATGTGGTAGTCAGAGCTAGCAATCAGGACGAGTTGCTCAAAGATCTCTTTCCGCGTGCCAAAAATATTGATTGGAGAAACGGAATTCCTCATGTGAGAGCTGGAATAGAGAAATATTGCTCTGGGTTTCAGGGTTTTTTGACTGGAGAGGAAATTTTCTGCACGGTTCGCCATGCTGAGATGCCTCAACGCGTATGTTGTAATAATACATTGGGCCGCTGCCTGGGAATTCTTGGACACTGATCTCCCTGATGTGACAGTCCGTTTACTGCGCAAAGTGCCTTCAGCGCCCTTACGAAAATATGATGAGTACTTTATATAAGGTACGCCCCTTCTCCACGATATTTGGCGATGTTCCTAATCCCAGTCCCAGTTCCCGTGGTATGCGACCTACTTTTACACCGTTGAAGATCGCAATCAGATTTTTTCTGCTACTCTTCGCCTGATTCATGCTTTGGTGCCGCAAGTAGAGCGAGGTCAAACTATTGGACTCGACTCGCGCCTTGTTTGGGAGCTACTAGAAGCGGGACTGCGCTGCCCTGTCTTTAATGATCGCCAGAAGTTTGTTCTCAATATTGCTGCCAAAAACTATCGCGTGGCTGCATCTCCCACTGCACGATTCTGGCCATTTGATACACTCACCCGCAAACCTAACGCTACTGAGGAACACGTCATGGTATGGAAATCCCCAAAACTTAACCTATTTGCTTATGCTAATGCCGTATCTCATAGCAATATGCTGAATTGATTGTAGCCGGTTCTGCTACCAAGAACCCTGGCACCTATGTCCTGGCTAACACCTGGCATCCTGTCATGCATGCAGGCTCTCCTTTTGGGAAGGTCTGGCTTGAGTGGGGCTGGGGAAACACCCATCACAAATGGCAGACCGCGGTGGACTATGAAATTAGTGTTTTGACTCAGCTAGTCACTGAGGGTGTTAAGAGCAAACGTGGAACAGAGAGTCCTTCTCACTCTCTTCCATCCTCTGCTTCGTCTCCTTCAGTTTCTGTTGATGGTCCTTCTTCGGTTTCAGGGCCTATCTCTGAAAATATTTCCCAATCCGTTTCGCCCGCCGTGCTTCGTTACCCGGTTCGGCATACCCACAGCCTAAGCCGCCAGGCCAGGTCTGCTCCCATCAATTTCATCCATGACGCGTGTTCAACCAATGTGCCAGACTGCAAAGATGATGCCTCCCGTTCTAATCAGGCTAATCGTCGCAAACCCTCCAACTCCTTTTCAGGATTCGCTGATACTCGCGTTATCCCCCATAACATGTTTGGAGCTGTGGGTACTCGTCGCCGCACCCGTGCTGCAACCAATGGAAGTCGTCATTCTCCAGTGCCTGAGGTCGATGAAGGCTGCTATGAGCGATCTGTATGAGTGTTCGCATATCACATGATTCCGTTAATGATCACGTAGGTTTCATTAACTTTACGAATTTCGCTCCCATCTGAAGCTCCCAACTGAGCCACTCTAATTGTTTTTTTTTTCCTGGGATTTTTCTGATTTTTCTTATTTGGGTTTCCTTTTGTTCTTGTGATCTTTTTGTCGGAAATTTTCTCTTTGGGCTTAATTCCCGGATATACGGCTTGTCTCAAATTGCGCTGGGGAGAAGGACGACCAGTGATCTATTCCACAGTATCCGTCCATAAGAATAGTGCCTACTAGGCGAGGAAGTGTTGGTCGAATATCATATTTGCCAATGGCAAAACCGGGGGGTAAATCTTGCAAATTGGCTTGGTTTTCCTCCTTCCTTTCTTTCTTGTATTTTCTTTGTCTATCTCACGGTTCCTTTGACGATGGATTTCGACTTTCATGAAGTGGAATACTGCTTCTCGTACCATGAAAGCGATAGATTTATCCGTTTGTTTGTTTGTTTTACTTCCGTGGGGTCCAAGTGTGTGGCCATGATTTACAGCGAAATTGGGCGCAGGAACATCCGCGCTACGATGATGAATAGGATCGGCCTAATGAATTACTGATGCAATTGTTCGCTTTAGTTACGTTTCTTCGGAGCTTCCCTTCCTCCCCCCCATTTTCTTTTTTATGAACTTGACATTCGGTTCCCCTACGTGACGCTGTCGTATTCCCATGTGCGGCTTATCGTCTTGTGGGCCTGTAGCTGGTTTTGAACAAAAATATGTCAAGCACAGGTAGTTAGTTAGCCAGTTAGTTAGTTAGCAAAGCAATAACAAATGAAGGCCAAAAGTTGCCTATCGTATTATTTGCTGTGGCTGTAGAAAAAGAATAGTCCGTAGGTGGTAGCTTTCCTGCGTCCGGGAGATCACCAACCGTGGCATCAATGTCAGATTCTTTGAAAGGATAAAGACATTATCGCACGAAACATGGCCTCATAATATCTGGTATGCTTGAGGAAGATTAGACGGAAAACTGCCCGCTACAAAAGCAGCAAGCTATAGAAATTTTTATAGAACGCCTTGGATCAACTCAAATCAAAGATACAGAAAGGACGGCTCACCCTCCTCACTCATACTATCGCCGAATAGATCAAGTTTCCTTCGAGCAACCTTTGGCCCCATCGCGGCTCTACTCCGCCTTAATCCCTCCTCCCTTTTCCTTTCCCTTCGCACTTCAGGATCTTCCCAACCAGCCCTTCTTGAAGAAAGATCACCGGCATGCCCGGTACTAAGTTCCTGTAATTTCGTCCAGAATCTATCTCGCCGGTTTGCGTTCGTCTTAAACCTCTCATTTGCAACTGCAAGCAACATGCGGAGATAAGCTTCAGAAACTAGGCTCTTAGCAATGACGTCCTTGCTTTCACTTTTGATGAATTGTTGATGGAACCCGATGATAGACTCAAGGGCAAGTCCGGATGAACGGACTGCCACAATGGGGTACGCTTCCAAATCATTTAAACACCGCAGGCTTTGTATGCCACTTTCTCGGAAACCGGCCATTGTGGCAGCTGCGAGGACCGGCTGGGCATGTTGTAGAGATGATGCCATAATGTGGAGAATCTGTGATACCATGTTAGGCATTATTCATACATTTTGAGGGGAATAGTGACGATTGCAGAAAATTGGACAAACAACAACAGCAGACACTGACCATTGGTTCAAAATGAAAACGGACAAGTCTCAAGCTACCGGAATGGTTTATTGTTCCAATTTTCTCGTCCATGGGAACCAGATTAAACATCCTGTGAAGATAATTGCCTTCACAATCCAGGTCTATCTCCACCGGCTCATGGGATACGAATAACCAGTTACCACTCCCTTTACCTCCAGTGGGTGCAAACTGCGGTGGTCTTTCTGAACTTTCTCCGATATCCCCCTCTGCTTCCACGATCTTCCGATCATCTTCTTTGGCAGAAGAGCCTTCTTTATCTCCTAGTCCTTTCCTTTCTCTTCCACTTCCACCCCCTTCTAGGAATACGCTGATTCTTCCGGCGCAGCTGCTTGTCGTAACCAGGCCTGGCATTTGGTTGATATTGTGAATCAAATCGCGGATCCCCGCATCTATAGATCCCTTGGGTGAGAGATCTGTATATTTTTCATCTGGGACAGACAGATCGCGTATAATCTTCTGCTTTTTAGCCTTGAAGCCGGGTCCAGGGGAGGCCATATCCACCGAACCGAGTTCGATTTACTCTCCTCAGAGCGAAACAAGATATCGATCCAATCGGGACAGGATCAAAGAGGGTTTATGACTCAATCAGCTTTGTCTTAATTATGATAGTGGCTGGTAGGCAATGAAATGTAGATTAGATTTCGCGCAAGTTATATTTGCTCTCCTGACGAATCTGCTTTTGAGTACAGAGGGTGATGTAAATATGGTAACGGATGCCCGTGAAAAATCCACATGCCTCTTGAGTATTTCAGCTGTTCTCCCCCACCAACAAACAAATGCAATTTTCCTTTTTGCCCTGTCCCTTAGAGCGCTCCATCCAAGACAAACAATGGAAAACATATTTCACTCGATGTGCTCAGAGCCAACTGGCAATGCTCCCATTAGTTAGTTTCGCGCTAACTAGCTGAAGCTTTGTCTCCCGGGTCTCTTTGGAGAATCATGGCTTTTCCAATTAGCCTTCAATGAATTTCACCATTTCAAACGATAATAAATAGCTTGAAAACCCTCCTCCTTGGACTAATACGTGTACCCATCCGTTGTGACATATACTTACTATTATGTGTGCTCTATTAACGATATTGTAGAAACTATCCACACAGAAAGCCGAATTCTCCAGCCAATATGCCCAGACGTTCCTCCCGACTCGACCTCCGATCAGCGGCTGCCGAACAACAAAAGAAACGAGCCTCTGACAACTCGTTTTCCACCCCAGAAGCAACCAGAAAGTCAAAACGACACAAACTAGCTAAAGATAAACACTCAATCAAAACGAAACCCGCCAAATCGACTGAGGAAAAGAGCAGATACTTCAGGAACCAACCCCTGGGAAGCCTGGATGCGGAGACCACAGAACTCTCAGGGATATCTTCTACTACACCATCTGCTTACGAAGAGGGCGGCGAGAACTCCCTTTCTGTACCATCAGCTACAGATGAATCCGAATCCGAATCCGGGTCTGGACCTGCCAAAAGGCGCGGTGGTTGGGGTTGGGCAAGCGGACGGAAGAAAGCAGCAACAACCGCACAGGGCGCTGCCAGGGTAAAAGCCGGTTCATCTGCTAAGCCAGCAGAAAAGGGAAAGGAGCTATGGCGGGAGGGTGTGAAAACCGGTCTAGGACCTGGGAAGGAAGTTTTCATTAAGCTCCCCAAACCTAGGGATGCGGGTGATACACTCTACGAGGATCATACAATTCATCCGAATACAATGTTATTCCTCAAGGATTTGAAGGCAAATAACCAGCGCGAGTGGCTGAAGAGTAAGTACAAACGAATGTTTTATGTGGTATTGTTTATTTGCTCACCAGGAATAGTGCATGATGCGGATTTTCGGACCTCAAAACGCGACTGGGACACATTCGTTGAAAGCCTGACGGAGAAGATCATTGAGAAGGATAGCACAATTCCAGAATTGCCTGCTAAAGATTTGGTATTTACGCAACATGTTGACCTCATCCGCCTCGACAGAACTAACAACGTCCCTTGGGGTCATTTTGTAGGTGTTCCGTATCTATCGAGACATTCGATTTAGTAATGATCCCACTCCGTACAAAGTATGTCCCGCAAGAACTCAGTATCCTTCCGCCTCAAGCCTCAGTTACATTGTTTCAGAGAATGGGAATATCGCTAACGCGTTACAAAGCCTCATTTCTCGGCAGCATGGTACGCGTTTTACGAGTTGACCGCATTTAACCGCACCGATCTCAATGACGGCGCAGTCAGCCAAAGAGCAGAGCTGATAAGTATTTAGGTCTCGCACAGGACGCAAGGGCCCTTACGCCGCATATTACGTGCATGTAGAGCCTGGTAGTTGTTTTATTGGTAAGTTGCACGACATGTGTGCCTTCTCGCGTGATGTCTCTTACTGGCGAAATTAGTCGATCCTCAAACAGGGACCTAAACCATTGGACTCGGTTTACTTTGTCCATCATATATAGCGCTGTCCGTATTTATTTAGTTGATGGTGCCTGGCGATAACTGGCTCGTTCCCATCTGGTGGTGCATATATTTGAATATTGGCAAAGTGAATTTGTTGCTTCGACAAATCGAGCGAGAACAAGATGCGAATCTGGCCTACACTGACCATAACCTGAATCAGGCTCGGGCCTCTGGCATCCAGAAGCTGAAAAGCTCGCCCTGCTTCGCCGAGACATTGACCAGAATTCACTACGAATCAAGAACGTGTTGAACGCGGTGGACGTTAGGGAGGAGATTTTCAACGGCATTCCGAAAACTAAAAAGGAGGCCGTTTTGGCATTTGTCAGTCAGAACCAGGAGAGCGCGCTGAAAACTAAACCAAAAGTAAGATAAACGAATCCTCATCTATGTAAAGTCAGCGTGGAATATAGGTGGGATCTTACCCGTCCACTTCCTCGACTTCCCTTCATCACACCGTTATTTTCCAATGGCCCGACCTCAAAACCGCGTGCATTGAACTGTCACTTCCAACACAATCCAAGGCGTGAGTCCATGTCACCAGCGGTCTAGAATATTCCCTTGGGCTTGCCGATCTCTTCTTCCACGAGGTGTGACAGTTGTACAGCGGATTTGAAATACCCAGCAATTTCCCTATCAAAAGACCTTTCATGGACCCAGAACTTCATCCCCAACTCTTGGACCATTGGTTGGCTCATTGTTGTCTCGTCCTCATATCCATGTTAATCCACGGGCTGTCTTTGATGGAAGAGAGGTTTGTTGAATGACGGGCTTGTCAACGGGATGCTCCGTCGTTTCCGGAACCTCTGGGCCTTAGCACCTGGAAGGATATCTATGATGTTTCTCCCCTGATAATTTTTCAACAGAAGTGCCCAAGAGGATGGCCATTCAGCTATTTTGAAGCACCTCTGGAATAAAGTTAGGGATGGAGTATCCCGCGCGTTCCGGCCCTCCGCGGCATTTCGCTTAGCCGTAGAAGGCTTAACTACGATTTGCCACATCTACGCTGCTACCGAAGCCCCTGACTCCCTCCTCCAGTTATTGATTATTTCAGAGTTCACGCTATTGTTTCCTTTGTCCACACCATCCGCCCATTCCAAATTTTCGGCCTTCTTAGATTCAAGACTAACACCTTCCCTTGTTGACCAGGGTTACGATGCTGATAACAAGAACATCGATCTTCTGCGGCTCCGTAGCTTTACTATGAGCAAGAAGCTTCAGGACAAGGACCTGTTAGGCCCGACAGCCCGTGATCGGGTCGCACGTATTGTTGGAATCATGGAACCTTTCGTAAGACAATATTACTCCTCCTCCTTCCTCACCCCCCGGTTTAGCCTGGAGCGGTCTTTTCCTTTTTGACTCCTGCTTGGCACCACTACACCAATCCACGGCTTCAGTGTCTCGTGGAGAGCCCACACTCAACCAGAGAAGCCCCCGGCTCCAACGATCACCTGGCAAGGGTTGGGCAACTAGAAAATTGTTTTGTACTCCACCTGAATGTTTGGTTCCCGCGAATTCTCAATAATACAGTCGCAAATCAGACCTCGTGCGGGAAGTTACCCAGCTTAGGGCACTCCTGCGTCCTCAACCCGGGCGCCCCATCAACCTAGCGATTCTGCGCTGATGCTTTCCATTATTTCATATAACCTTGTCATCATACTTTCATCCACTCGATTCAAGAGTTTTTGGGGCTAACATGCATAATTACTGATAGGTCACATATCTAAACAGTGTTGTGATGCCTGACCCTCCTTTAGGGGAAGATCATACAGACGATGATATCGATGGAGACTCCGACCATAGTGAATCTGGCGAAGGTGCCAACGAACCAGAGTAGTAGCGTCGTTAGAGGTAACATGCTGAAAGATGCTGGTGGTCTCTCCTATCTGTCTAGATCCTGGTTAATGCAACAAATATGGGCCCTTAGAAGAGTAACTCATGTGTTGGATCCTTTGGTATTAGCGGAGCAACCTTGCCCTACAAATCGCCTATGCAGCAGGACTGCTTGGTTTTATTTTGCCTTATTAGTCGTGTTTTCCTCCCGTATCTCCTACCCAAGCCTTTTGCATTTACTGGTACCCTATCCCGATCATTTGGACCCATGCAAGAAGCCAATCCGTGGAGAAAGTCCTTGCATCTCCAGTCAACAACTTACGAAGTTCAAAAAATTGAAGCATGCATCATGGTGTATCCATTCAATGCAGATTTTTAGATTTTGTCCTATCATTATTGAAGCCTACCGTCCATTGATGCAGATAACCCTCACAAACAGTGCAGGCTTAGGCGTCTCCCAAGCATACACAACCGGCAACAGCTACAAACTTGCGTTCAGGTGGGTCGCTCAGGAGGAGAACAAAATATGCCTTCTTGTTTTAAATAACCAAACATAAGAAAGGGAGGGCTCGCTCGTATCCCCGAGCCTCCACTTGACTTTGCCCCGTTGTACTTCCCTCTTTCTACTCCTTTGTCCTGCTCCTCTTTATTTTTTCGACTCTTGGTCCCTTGTCTCCCCTTTCCCCACCTTTCTAGTCCATCCCAGAACGAAACTTCGAGCATGAATTGCATGCCTCCATTTGGTTGGAACAAGCCCTTCCTCTCTCGACTGGTAAGGATGGTAAGAACCTCCAACTTAATCCTTCTCCGAGAGAGGTGGAACCCCAGCTTAAGTGGGCCCGTCTTGCGAGCAGATTTAAGTTACAGACATTTCATATCCAATTCGCAGAACTGTTATAAATTCTACCTAAGTTATTTTTTATTTCTTTATATTTTTATTCTTTTGCTTTTGCTTTTTGCCTTTTTACTTTTTACTTGTATTTTATTTGATTTTTTTTTTTGGACGAACTTGGAACAAAATGGATGGGCCCACTGAACGGGTCCCTGAAAGCGCTCGCAACCTGTGGCGGGTAAAATGGCTAAGCTGGGGCGGTGATCCTCCCTACATACGCAGGGTTATACATATATATATATATATCTGTTCTGTTCTATTTCTAGCTCTGTAGAAAGTACAGTAAGTATCATCCAGGTGAGCGGGCGGGGGTTTCCATCCATCATATGGATAGAGCTGGTAATGCAGTTATATATGACATTTATCCAGGACCCGAAAATGCAAAGCAGAGCGCTTCTTACAGTTGGTGTGTTCTACAGTAACAATAAACAATAGTATAGTATGCAAATCCTAGGTAGACAGCTGGGAGTATCGATGGCATGTTTGTTTCTGATTTCCTTCCACGTAACGAGCACTGAAGGGGGTTTCATAAATTCGTTCTCCACCCCGGGCCCCCGGGGGCGGGTTCCTTCAACCCTACCATATGTATCTGGAAAAGAAATCTGCTCGCAGGATACTATGGGGCTGTATATATATATATATAGGTATAAACTCTGTGAATGTTTAGGCAGCTTCTAGCGAGGGTTTGAAATGCAGAGACATATATATAATAGTATACATACGCTGCCCTCTATAATTATTATAATTCGGCTCAACAGCTCAAAATGGAAAGGAAGGGGAAAACAACAGACGAGAGACATGATTCACTGTAACCACTACTGCATATGCCATCCTCTTAGCCTGGCAGACTTGGAAGCAATCGCCCTTGATCGCTGTTAAAAGTCTCAGTCAGAATAACATATTTGCTGAGAACTGCCACGTTGTCTATATAGACAGACGGTGCACGAAAAATGTACCCAGGCTAACGTATAACACCGGCATAAAAAAACAAAAAAGAGGGGATATATGTCTCCCTACACATTTTGAATCATCAGATATGTGCACCTTGGGGTAGCCGTGGCACAATTACCCAGAACACACGTACGTCAGATCAGTAGTTTGGGGGGGGATGGAATATTAGGAGCGCCCTTTCTTTCCCCTCAAGATGCAAATGATGGATTGGTGTGATTCTGCAAGTTGCCCTAAGTAGACATCACTGTAGCAAATAGAAGTACACTCAAGTACTTTTTGTATAATGGAGAAGTTGCCAGAAGGGATCAGCTTCCCCTCTCCGCCTCTTCCGCCCACGCCAATGCGTTTCAATCATCCAGTTGGGAATGAGAAATTCTTGGTGTCAGGGCTATGGAAAGTCCAGTGATGTTGTGTTGTCAATCACACACTCCTCCAATTTTTATTGAAGAAAATGCACGATACGGAGCAACAGAAGATTTCGATATATTTGCGTTCCCTATTGAGGATTAGGCAAGATCTGGTCTGTCTGGTAATCACGTCCGTGCAGGTATGTGTGGTGTACGGAGCCACATACAGTTTATCGCAAATGCATGTAACTAACTTTTTTGAGTTCACTATGTATGTGCGCCTAGGGCCAAAGAGTGAAGTCGAAAAGTAAAACATCCTATCTCACATTTGGATGCGAACTGGATGGCGATATTGGCTAGATTTGTAGGAGCGAACCTGACAGAAACTGAAGCTCGGAAGCCAGTAGCGGTACGGAGATCAATGGCTCATCTCATTGATAACTGGCGATGAGCTCATATCAGTGGCGCAGATTCAGCTAATAACCATAGTCTTTCTCTCTCTTTTCTTTTTCTTTCTTTTTTTATTATTGGGATCATAGCCGTTAGTCCTATCAGTGAAGTAAGTAAGGTTCATAAGTCGAGAAAGTGACAGATCGGGCAGGCATTTTTATCTCCCCGTCGCCTCGTTTTTGTGGCTTTATGGGATAAATATGGATCATTCATTTTTATTCATTTCGGCGAGAATAGAATCTGCAAGAAACAATAATAACAATAAGCTTCGACGAGCAGCCAGGATGTGCAGGTTCGTCAAGAGATATGCATCCGCCCGTTTAAAAATAAGAAATGCATAGGCATCATCGTAAATGTGCTCAGTATAGCAGATGCACAGTGTTGTACTTTGTGTATCGCACTCTAAGCAGGCTCTGTTCCTGGTGAATCAGCCATAATTTCCCCTTGGTCGTGGATGAGAAGAGAACAGTTGTAATAATAATGTTCCTGCGACACCATTGCATCATCTGGATGGATAAATACGGGGTACTTAAAACTCCGTGACCGAAGGTGTTCCGAACTGTCACTCTGTTGTTCTGTATGCAAATGTCGTGGCTCCGGATATCAATCTCGGTTGTCCGTATGTGTCCCAGGAGCTTCCAGTTTCTTCATAGGGATGTGCATCTGAGATAAAACTTCCCTCTTCTTCTTTTCTCGGCCTGTATCGCTGGGGCACCTTCCTCAGCCATACGATAAAGCGATGACAAGCCCGCCACGCCTGAAATCTGATTGTTCAGGACAATGAGAAACCAAGAATGGCCAATCCCCCATGTCTTGGTGGCATGGTCATGGCGAGCTCGGATTGGCTGCTTCCCAAACACATGACCAAATTCATATGCGGGTCTAGGCGGGAAGACAAGGATAAGGTGTGATTTAAGTTTGTGTGGAACCAGAGTTGGGTAGCGAGGGGGCCGGCTGAGGGATTGCAAAAAGAAAAGAAAAGCAAAGCGAAAAATGAAAATCAAGCAAAGATCGAATGGAAATGGGCCAGTTGGGATCCAAAGCCCAGATGTCCTGCGTGTCTCTGTGAGTTGTGCGACCTCAGGCAGCCCACTTAGCCCAGCCAAATGGATGTCTGAGTTACCCACCAGCTGGGACCAAGCCTTCCTTCCTTGACTTCAAGTTCGTCTCGCATTTCCGTGCTCTCACTGGTGTCGAGTGGAGATGTGCCATTTTGGGTGAAAGATAGTCGGATGGATTACGCAAGGGAGGCGGTGACAAACTTGCATTAGCGGCGACGTTTACCCATTTCCTGGCCTGTTTGCTGGGACGGACAGGCGCAGTCTAGCACCGACTAGCCAGCCCAGAGGCAACGCTGGATTGGCCTGTGCCCGCGATGGATGGGGACCACCCAACAGCCTACAGGGGGGTGGGACTAAGGGAGAGCAGGAACTAGGAAGAAAAAAGAGGGTTGGTCATGAAGGTCAGCTAGGGAGCAAAAACGCTTGCATATGCGCCATGTGACTGGTCCGATGGACCTTGTGCTGCCACTCCAGGACTCAGGACTCCGGACTCCAGATTCCACGCTGCCCTATGGTCTACACAGTGCGCAGTACGCAGTAGCAGAGTACGATGGACGACGACAGCGAAGGACAGCCGCCGAGCCCGGTTAGCGGAGGTGCAGGCCGGGGTGGGACGGCAGCAGGAAGGCGCCCGTTCGATTGGCCGTCGCCAGTGCTGGGTGCGGATTGCAGGGATGCCCCGATTGACCCGAACAAAACGTGGGTTGGCAGGGGTTGATTTGAGTACGGCGCCGTTCGGTCGTTCTGTTCGGTATCGTCTGCGTATTTCCGCACGCTGGTGTACCGTATTATCAAAACGGTATGGTACCTGCTGTTTTTCCCTTACCGATACCACCCAAAGTTGGGAATGTGGTCCAACATGGATAGAGCTGCTTCCCACGTATGTTGCCATATGCAAGTGGGTTTATCAGGAGTAGTTGATTTCTGCACTGCTGTCTAAGCGATCATGGGAAAGAACTGGATAAGCCGATCAAACCTTGTCGGGCTGGTATCAGGATTGTATCCTTTGGGCCTGAATCCTCTCCGTTGCTCATATCAACAGAGAGAGCCGGGTTGAGGGGTGTCATCGCAGCCTCGCCATGGCTGTCACGTCAGTTGCTAGTTCATACCAAAAGAAATATGAATATAAAAATAAAACACCTTCCGATCTCAGAGGGATATTCGCCCTCCAGCAAGCTCGCGTTCTGTGGAGAAGGAAGAGAAAGAAAGTGGCGCAAGTAAGTTAATTCGCTCATTCTACGATCATGTCATGTCGTCACAGATGAATGGGAGGATGAACAAGCACATGATCGCAATGCGATGCAATGCCCCGCGCCTGCATGCTTTGCCCGCATAAACTTGAGAGCCCACCTGCCTGCCTCCCTGGCTGATGTCTGGGGGTGCGACCATCAGTCATGGATCCATGTCAAGCACAGGGAATGTTGTGGTCACTCGATTTCTCGGATTGCTAATGCCCTTTTTTTTTTTTTTTTTTTTCCCTGGCACGGCTATCGGCTGAAGTGTCGGCCAATGACTTTCTACTTTGCTCCTCTAGCTTCCCGTCAACTTTCAAGCGAAGGAGGCGGGAAAGGGGAAACCAGCAGACGGGAGGCAAAAGAAGCAAATCCATATCGGTGTTCCATTCCATTGGCTGCAGAAGAGGGATCGTCGATAATAATGTTTGCCAAGTTATCATTCGGGGCGGCCCGTCACCGATCAAGGCGCGAGTGCCGGGTTGGGGGATGGGTTGGGGGGTGGGTTGGGCAGCCAAATAAGAAGCCGGGCCATGAGAAGCTAGCGGGAGGTGCCTGTAAGCTGGTTTTGAGGAAGTCTTGTGAGTTGTTACAACTTACAAGGTTCCCAGGCGGAGAGATAAGTTAAGAACTGCGGCTGGGCGGGAAGGGAACGGACGGAACTGGGGCCAACGTGTTCGATGTATGCAAGGAAACTCATGCAGCTGCAGGCGGGGATGAAATAAATTGGCGGCCATGGAAGAGCCGGGGTTAGGCATCTTAAGAAAATATCAGAAGAAAATATAAAAATATAGCCATCCAAGACAGCGTCCAATGCAGCGCCAGCCCGTGTGATTTGCTGGGCGCAGCCGAATTTCGTGGTGGTTGCCTGATACGGACAAGATGAGGTTCTTGCTGGCGCCGCTGAGCTGAGCAATCGTCTGACTGTCTGACTGACTGACTGGCAGAGGCAATTTTAAAAATATCCATGGATGTTTATCTTCTTTCCTACCACATGTGACCCCCCAGACTTCCAAGGTTCCAAAGATCTATCGCTGGCTGAAGAAAAACGACAACCAACATCAGCAGCGGTCATCGCCAATTCCAGCCGGGAAACAGACGTGTCGCATCAAAGACAGAACCCGCTGAAGGTCATGATAGCAATGGTAGCCATTGTCTGTATCCTTGATGCACTCCCCGATCACAAGACCTGCGGCATGTGTGCGTGATTATGCAGTCGAGCAGCTATCCCGGCAACTGCCAACAGCCAACCGATGGCTTTGGCTTGAATTCCTGCCTGCCCTAAATCTCTGCATTTCCCTAAAACCTGCAGCGTCCAGCATTCCTCCACCAGGGATGGATATTTACACCCAGAAGTAGGCTATTTACACCTGGCCAAGAATTGACTAATCTTTTATAAGTTTGATGCATACAACAGCTTTACATGCAAAATAACTAGTGCTCAAATGTGGTTCTACAGTGTAAAAGTCAAGAAGAAACCCTACATGATACATCTATTCAATTATCACACTCTCATCTCACTCATCAATTCACTCTTCTGTGATCATCAGCGAAGTGACTCTTTGATATATGTCTTGTATATATTCTCACTAGAAAGAAACAGCTGATTTACTATTTCGTCTCTTGTATCATCTTCATCAGTCAAAATCTCTCAAAATAACTGACTAATTTGTTGAAAGTAGATATTAAAATAGAATTTATGAAACGTTTGATTTGAACAGTCTGATGATTATAGAGGAAATGCCAAAGTGACGGATTGCTCGTGTAGAAGAAAATAAGAGATTTAAGTACTATAGATACTGTAGATGAAGAGATAACGATGTCACTATCAATAACTATTCTCTCAGAGATCATATATATATTATATAGCTCGGATATATACGTATTATTATACCATATTGATTATAGCGTAAGCGGCGGGTCAAGGATCTCGCTGCTTATCTCGGGGGGGTCCTTAGGACTCTACGAGGATAAAGCTATAATATAATGCGTTGTTAGATTGGAAAGTATTCGGACAGAAGGATCAGGTATCGAGGTCGAGGTAGTAGAATGTAGAGGCGAGATTACATCAGAATGATTCACTGGCCCCTAAAAAGCTGAGCCAGCTGCTAGTTATGTACAGTACATCTAGGATCATAGATATATTAAATCTCATATGATGCTGAGGTGATCATACCGCCTTGATCCTGCGATGCCATGTCTTTGGGCAATTACCTTGTCCGACCTAGCGCTGGCACCTGAGCGCGGGTTTCTTACAATATATAATTTCATGAGAATGAGTGAAATGAGGGAGTGGTCATTGAATAGATGCAGGGTTTCTTCTTGACTTTTCGAACTACAGTACATTTGAACACTAGTTATTTTGCATGTAAAGCTGCTGTATGCATTAAACTTATAAAAGATTAGTCAATTCTTGGCCAGGTGTAAATAGCCGTGTAAATATCCATCCCTCCACCGCTATTTCGTGTTTTACACCGCAATTTTTCCCCCTCGCATTCATTGTTGAGCTAGAGGGCTGGTTGTCCAGTGCGTGCCCTCTCTCGTCTGACATTATTATCCTTTGAAAAGGTATTTCTGTAAGTACGTGACACCCGACGCATTGTCCCTCCCTCAGTGGCGGTAGCGTGCTGTGTCTGAGAAAAAAGCCCCGAAAACCTGTGCGGAGATATCCAACGTTTATCTCAACCTCTCACAAAAGCTCTAAGACACAGATGCCACCGTCAATGCAGTAGACATGTGATAGAGGTGTGTTCTCTTCACTAGCTGTCGGTGACAGCTGAACCCGAGACATTAACATTTTCATTTAGAGTACTTGTATATCTTCTCCGTACTTTCTGACATGTCGAGCCGGAGCAGCAACACCGTTCTTATTGAAAATAATCGACCTTTCATGGAGCCATCCATCCATCCCGGCTAAAACCGTAACTATTTTACCCGGGAGGGACACGGGAAATCCGGGTTAGTGCCTCTGCTCCGCCCCGATCTCAGCAAACCAACCATCTTTCCCTAGCCCCTGAAATAACCCCACGGGTCTTTTCCTGGGAGGATTTTGGGGCGTTCAAGTCGACAAATCATCTGTAAAATGCAATCTCGTTGAGTCGTTGCCTCTCTTTGGGGAGGAATAAAATTCTAAGCTCTTTTTTTTCTTCTTGGAATCCCTGACTGGCTTAAGTGCGAATTGAGTCCCACTTATTTATGAGCAAAAATGAAAATGTTATGGATATTGTTCTTTATTTGAAGCCGTGGTAGATATCCGAACCTGGTAATGAGATTGCACGGTACGATCAATAAACTGCATGCATTCAACAGCAAACTATTTCATGCAAATTACTAGTAATTCGACTGTAGATGCCATTAGTTATCACGGCTCAAGATGGGTAATGAAATTTACAAATCAGCCTTCCGGGTTGAAATGTCTATTATTTATAATATAGAAGTAATCTCGGCATCACTTGTCAGCCCTGTGGTCGAATTCCTAATAGCACTTAGCCCTTGTGAACACGCAATATTCCCCGCAAATCAGGGACTCCCGTTTTTTCAACCAATTGGTTGAAAATATACCCCATGCCGCTGTTAATATCAACAAGAAATAAATACATCCACAGATACATACATCAAAAACGCGCTTCTGTCAGGGCTGTATGATACATGTGTTTTTGAACATCCACCCATGCCACACGTCATGTACTACATGTACTCTTTTACTTGGCAGCCAACTTGGCAGCCAACTTGGCAGCCAACTTGGCAGCGACCTTGGTACCCCCAAGAACATCTGAAATTACAGGTGTTGTCTCTATTTTTGGAGAAATTATATGTATGTACATGTACCTACTGCTCAGTCCAAAATGGACAACATTCTACAGGTAAGGGTGAACTGCGTACGTAGGTTTGATTAATTGGTTGCTTCCTGGAAGTCCCTGCTTTTAGTTTTTCTCAATGGGGCATTTGTATTTGTTTATTCTTCCGCTTCTTCTTTTTTTGGACAAAATGTTGGCATGATGCCACGTGACACAACCTATGTAAGTAGTGCTGCAGCTGCTTAATAGGCGGTATTTACCTCAAGCCATGCCATATGGATGAGCCTGGGAACTTTAAACATGCCTCAAGAAGTGAAAGAAGATTATGTACATTTCATTATTGAATCAATGAGATAGCAGATGCTTGTCATCGGAAAAATTTGACTTTTTGACCGATTGATTAGACAAACAATCAATTTTTTCGATCTTCAACTTTATTTTTATTTTTTTTTGACCTGTTACAAACATGCCATGCTAGAGTTCTATTGAGATCCAAACCAGAACATTCCTCATAATGCGCTGTTTAGCACAGAATTTTAGACTGCGGGCTTTTGATTTTGTTCAAAAACGTCGCCGACGGGACCTAAGGATACTCGCGAGCTCTGAAGCGAGAATTCCTCCAGTTGGCGGTTTTAAATACTAGTACTACCCTTGACGCGAAGAGGAAGTATAGATGGGCGCCCCCCGTCACGATATTTGTATTTATTTTATTTATCTATATTTTTAATGTATCGTAGTGGTGCGGGACTTCTGGGGACTGATCCAGTCGACTTGAGAATGAAACTGGAGTCTTCTCAATCGGCATCCTTCCACCGTTCGTGCGCAATTGATGCCCGGCAACAGATAGCCCCTGAAAACCCAAGCAGGGGCGGAGGAGCGATGATGGTTTCAATTGGGGCGCGAGAACGAAATGGTAGTGGATGTTTAGCGGGATAGAGACTTGAGCAATGGATTCATGAATGGCTAGTGTTTCTTGTGCTGTACAATAATAGGTAGGTAGGTGGGTCCTCATCCTTGTGGTCTCTGATGGCCGTCAAAATTTACCTACATCGACCAATAGGAATATTAAAACAAATGTCAAAAAATGAAAAAAAAAAGAAAAAACAGCTCAAAAACATACCATCACATATTATTTGGAGTGCAATATAGGGGACATCTTTTTTTTTAAAAAAATCAACTATCCCCTCGTCTGGGGGCGAGGCAACAATTAGCGTCGTGCCTGACCGCCTTTATATGGCCAATAGGCAAGCTGAATTATCGGCTTCCGGCCAGTAAGCAGTCATGAATTGGGGTGGCAGAAAAATACGCTAATTGTTGCCTCGCCCCCAGACGAGGGGATACGAGAATTACATTAACTAGCTTTACAAATGGGATTTCCATGAAAGAGTGCAGAGTATGTATCGATATCTACTATTCATACAGATTCATGTTCATCTACAATTGCAGTGCATATCTTCTCAAACCACAGGTCATGCACTGAAGTTATATGGCCATCGTCGAGATATCTACCATCATCCCTCATTCTCCATAACTGTTTCATTGAGTGGTCGAGATTGAGAATGGCATGGTGATAGCGACCGCTGGGCCGTTACCAGCACTAAAAGCTAACCCTCAAAAACTTTTTTTGCTGCACGCTTTTCGTGTTACCATGACTTCCTCCGGAGGGCTTTGAGAAACAAGAGAAGGCTGATACTTTTGAGAGACAAATTGCTTGATTGGTTTTGCGTTTCCGTTTGTTCCTTTTTTTTTTTGGATTTTATTAAAGGACGCACTAGGAATCTGCTCTCACGTTCTCATGGGTTTAGGTCACATCAGAAATCCCCAGGCTATCTTTCGGGTAATCTCCATGAAACAAGAGAGAAAAAAGTCAGGTATGGATATGGATGGAATGCTAAAACTAGAGAAGCGAGAAGGAGATAACCAATAAGAGGAGGAGCATTCCATCGCGATGTTGAACGCTGATTCCCGATTTCTTTCAACCCTTCAGCTCTCTCTGCCAAAAGCCAAGCTCAAGGGGAGGGAGCCTATTACCGCACTCATCGAGTCATGGTTGAGCGTCATCCGGTATCATCCTCCCTCGTCCATTCCCCAGGTCGCGAGGCGCCAGCCAAAATCAATTACTACCCGGCCACATTTCCAAACCGTAGTCACCATGCACATCCACCCCGCCACCCGCACACCCTGCAGCACCGAGTAAAGCCGCAGCCGATAGGGGGCGACCATACGCGCTGGACCTACACTTCAGCTCCAGCGATACTAGGATCTGTGGTTTAGGTGGTAAAGGCATCAAATGAACCCGTCACCATTTCCCCGACATTCCCCACCCCGCGCTCGCCACCTCCACATGTTTATCCAGGTTGCAAATCTCAATGTTGGAAACTGGGAGCAAATGAGAAACGCGCACAACCGCACAACCGGGGTTGACGGAAACAACAGAAGAGAAAAACAAAACACTGGAAAAACAAAACAAAGGGAAGGGTTCCAAAAAAAAAAAAAACGTGCAGTAGTGTCCGCGTGAATGCATGGGCATGATGGGTCTCTTCGAGGTTTAAACTCAGCGAAGAACAGGCCACGGAAACGCTCGGCCCCATACGTTGAGCGTCGGGGCGCTCCCGGTTCGTGAGCCCTCTTTTTTTTTTTTCTTTCCCCTTAATCATTATGCTCAATTAAGTAACGAGTTAAGTGGGCAGCTTAATTAATTATTAACTTCCTCGTCCCCATTCGCCTCTTCCAACTTCCTCGCAGCAGCAAGGTTCCAAGGTTGGCCCATGATATCCCGTAACCCTAACTCAAGTCCTTGGACGGGGCCAAATGGCTTTTGCTGCCACACAAATGTCCGCCCTTTTAAGCATAGCCAATCAGGCGGCTGGAGTGCACGAACGGGCTTCTAGCAGGCTTCGACCAGACTTCCTTTCCCAGGGTAGCTTTTCCGTTTCCAGCCCTTTTTGCCTGCGTTGAGGCGATCCACTTTTTACCTTGTTGCGGAATTGGAGTTTCGCCTCACCCACCTTGCTTGATAGAGTAAGTAAGGTAAGTGAATTAGTTAAAACTTCCCAGGCCACCCATGGCCGGGGTGGCCTTTGTCGGGTGGATTCTGGGGGCTCCACAGGGCAAATCTATCTGGAGCCGAGTTTTGTTTTATGGTCGTTTTTGACAAGGCGGACGGTGAATTCAACTCAATCTGGAAAAACAACAATCCCCTCTTTCCAGGGGTGAGTTACAAGTCCAAGGTAGTGTCAAAAAAAAAAGCAACAACAACAACACCACCAACAAAAAAGAAGGACGAACCCTTATAAAAGCCGCATTCGCTACGTCATCTAACTGTTAATTAAATCATGCTTGAAAGTTGAACCACCAATTCTCCCCCGTGATGAACTGTGGTTTCAATGTTTCATCCACACTCCTGGCTTCAACGATTTTTTGTTTCTTTTATCCTTATGGATTTAACACCAACATTCAACATTGCTTTTCCTTACTTGTCTTACTTGTTGGAATCATCAACGTTGGAAGGGAAAAAAGAAAGGACACATTGAATCATGTTCAGTTGTCGTCGCTCCGATCTTGATGGAGTAGAAAAGAAAAGAAAAGAAAAGATAGCGCGGCCCACCCACCACGCAAAGGCCAGGGCGCAAATGCCACCACCCAAGCAGTTGGGAAATGGTTGGAATTAGGTCTTTAGTGCAGGGTCAAAGGACTCGCTCGAGAGGCGTGATAGAAAAAAAAAAGAAAAAAGAAAAACCCAAAGTGGTGTCACCCGGATGGCAGAGTTGCGCTAGTCGATGCATTTTAGACGAAGAATGTGTGTTGGGGTGCTAACTCTGGGATAGCGTTAAAGATTAAAAAATGGGTTTTTTTAATTATTATTATTATTATTATTATTATTAATTTTTTTTACTATCCCTTCCCTTGCTTGCCAAGGGTGAGTTGAAACGCTTGCACTGTATGTACGTTTTCTTAATGTGAGTATCCGCCACGGACCGAGCAGCTGCATGTCGGTTTACCGCACCGCACCCGCACCGCACCATACCGCACCGCACCACAGAGGGGAAATCGATGATGGGGCCGGCATTTTCGCGAGAACGGCTGTAGTTTGTTTGGGGTAACATTGCAGGAGAGAGCCTGCCAGGATGCTATGGTATTGGGAGGCTGTACAGAGGAGAAGAAACTCAGGATGATGTGTTTTTTTTTTTATTAAACTATCTGGTTTTGTTATTTTTCATCCGTTTTGGGGGGGGGAGAGTTTTTCGACCTCCTATTCGCCTGGGGTTTATCTAGTGGCGTTCGGGCTGCACCAGTTGGTTGGGTCATCTGCACATAGGCAGCCCATCTGGCATCTGCCCATCATCATCGTCGTCAGCCAAGGTTTGGGGGAAGGAGGGAAAAAGTTAAGTTAAAAATGCCAGCATTTCCTGTTTCAAGCCTATTGCTTCCTGTGCGCCCTCTCACTCGTTCGCTTGCGTTCCAGTAGAGTTTGTCAGCAGTAAGCTGGGGTCAGCAAAATGATAATAATAATAAGAAGAAGAATAATAATAATAATAACAATAATAATAACTAATGGATAATGGTAGTAAAACACAACACTGTGGCACAACAAATCCCCGTGATTTTCGATTGACACAAGGGAAAAAAAAAAAGAAGAAGAAGAAGAAGACGAAGTAGAAGAGCCGGTAGCGTGGCCCCAGGACATCATCGTGCATGCTTGGGCGATGGAAGTTGCAAGGTAGTTAGTTAGTTAGGGGGCTAGGGTACCATTGACCTCATTGTGCATATCCATCCGGCCTACGCAGCTCAGGGCGGTTTCAAAAAAGTTTGGACTCGCGCTAAGAATCTAAACCGAAATACTGACTGCGCATACCAAGCCAAGCATCAAAGCAACGGAGTATTGCCGCCGTACGTACCATCTGACTTTCAGCGGGCTTTGGCGGTGATCAATCTCTGGCTTGGGCACGAGCGCTAGCCCCAAGCCCCCAGATCCTTTTACACTAGTATTGAGATTTCGGGTTAAATTACTAGTGTGAGCTAGCTGTGTTGAAACCGGCGTCTGTACAGCGTAAACGCATCGTCCTTTGGGGGCTAGCGACGGGATCCAACTTTTTTTGTGTTGTGCCCAACGAAGGATTTGTGATTTCTCATCTGGTCGTTTTATTTGTAAATTGCAAAATGCAGGGAGAGAAACACGAGATCCCTCTCCCTCTATCTCTATCTCACTCTTATTTATTTATTTATTTATTGGCGGGTGGGGCTGGTGGGTTCAGCCCAGGAGGGCGTTTGTGGTTCAAGAACCAGCCCAGGCAGGGGGCCAAAGCCCGCCACACGAACCCACGAACGGAGGATGGGTAAGGAGGGAAAACGATCTCAGGCAAGAATGGTTTCAACCAGCACCAGCCCAGCAAGCATCAGCGCCTCGCGAGCTGGGTTAGCAAGCCCACAGTTCCTGAGAGATATCAGCTCAGCTGGAGAAGGATGTCTGTCGTGAAACAGGCCACCTGATCTGATAGAGCCCTCCCAGTACGGATACGATATGCTCACACATCGTGTAAAATATTTTCTACAGTACGTACATACATAACATACATACATACAAGACAAATACTGTCAAGTAAAGGGCCGTACGTACGGGTTGGCCTCAGGATGGCCTGCGAAACATTGGTCTCCAGCGTATTTGGGGCCTGGGGCCAAGTGGCCTTCGGAGGAGAGTACGTTGTGGTATTGGTGTTGGTATTGCCATCTGCCGTGTGGGTATCGCTAGCTCCGTTAGTATTCCCTGGTTGGCAGTGGTGGTGACGGCGGCGATTGACCGCTGTGCCTGCAAGGTTGCTCCTTCCGCCCTGCGCCCAGCCAGCCAGCGCCGACTGGGGCCTCAGGAGCCTCTGGAGCCGCTGGAGAGGCTTTGGCGACGGGGGCATGCTGTATGTATTGGGTATGTATTGAGGGATACAAGGGGTATATTTTTCGATGGAAATTGGCTGTATTTCTTGTCGTCTGGTCTTTTATGACTATTTTTTTTTTAAAAAATTTTTTTAATCCATTTTCTCAGGGATTCATTCGCTATTCTCATTGATCGATTTCCATATTTGACTGATCTCCTTGTATTTTTGATGCCAGTAGGATTTTTCTGATCAAAAGAAAAAAAGAATAAAAAAAATAAAAAAATACTCGAATCCGCCCTCTCTGGCAGACAAACTTTTTCTTCGATTCATATCCAAGAGAGTTTGCGGCACCCACGGTGCGGTACCCACGGTGCGGTCCCTCCCTTCCCTTCAGGAGTTCCACGGGCAAATATCCAACAAGCCGGCCTGTCCCAGCGTTACCCTTGCTGCTATTTGCTCATATTATGAGCTATGTCCAACTATTTTTGACTATCACCTGCTGGGGTTGCCGTTCCGAAAGAATCAGAAAGGCAAATAGTCAGCCCAAGTGGGGATACTTTCGAAGAAAGGGAACCAGGGAAAAAAAAGGTTGATGCCTCCAGATCGAATTCGATCATCCTTTATTGACCTGACGGTTTCTTTTTCTTCTCTCCCTTGGCGAGTTGGCATCGCCGTCCTTTGCTCCCTGCCAACGTCTCGTGATACATCACGACCTTCTCTTCCTCACTTGCGCTGTATATCCCTCCCTTTCTTGTCCTTCCTCTTTCCTCGCCTTTTTGTTTCTTTTCCTATTTTGTCTCTTTTTTTCTTTTCCTTTTCCTTTTTTTGCCATCTTCTTATTAACTTTCTTCTCCTATCCCAACTTCAACTCAACCGGGGGCGGCGACTCTTCCGTTTACCAGTGGCACTTCCCTTTCGCCTCTCCTCTCCTCTCCTCTCCTCTCCTCCTCTCCGCCTCTCCGCCTCTTGCCCCCCCCCTCCATTCTCCCTCTCCCTCCTTCTGCCTCCCCAGTCTATCTCAGGTCAGTGCGTGTGTTGACTGTTTTCTGTTGAGGGTTCATTTGTCCTTCTGTTTCTCCGGCTTGGTTCTGTCGATTTGGCCGTGCAGGCGTTTGTTCACTGCACCCGTTCTTCATTCCCTACCATCGCCACACTGGGGAGAGCAGACAAGTGTTCTATTTTTTTCCTTTTCTTTCGTTGTTGGAAGAAAGAGAACAACGAAGAAAAGCCAGCCAAGCAGACAGGCAGACAGGACAAGCAAGCAACCCTACACCCCACGACATTCGTTTGTGACGCACGTTTACGGCATCTGGTTCCCCGTACGGACTCTGCAGGATCATTCTTCAATTAGACTGCCCTAAGTACCTACCCCGGCCCGTAAACCTCAAGCGCATCGTCCTGCGGGCCAACCTCTCCTTTACCTGCAAAGAATAGACAAGACACCAAGACACCAAAGGATAGAAAACATATCAAAGCCCGATTCTTCTACCATCCCTTTTCTGTCGTTATATAACCATTGGCGGCGGTGGTCATCAAACTTGCCCGCTGCCGGCCGCGCTTGCCCCTCGCTGAAGCAGGTCTGAGAAACCCAGCTTTGCCCGCCCACAGTGGAAGGGCTATGCTAGTTGCCGAGTCTCACCGATTGTGCTTGCAACTGGGACGTCCATCCATGCGCACATAGACATCACACAGCAGAAGCGCCGCACATTTGATTCGGCCCTGATCCCGGTCCCGGCCATCCCGCGCGTCGTGACGTCTGTGTAGGGGAGCTGAACACCTATCTCCCTTCCAATCCCTCCTCCACCCAAAGCCCTGCGCCCCCTGTTGTCACGCACGAACCGACGCACAGGCGACGCACAGCTCTCCTTCCAGGCCAATCTCTATACACATCAATCCTTCCACCTCTCCTCGCCCATACCGCCACCGCTGCAACCCGCGCCGTTTTCACCTCTCTTCCCTCCTACTTCTAGCGAAAGAACCCCCCGCGCTCCCTCCCCATATTCCCACGGCTACAACAAATGTCCAACGACCCCACCCACCAGGGACAGTATCCACCTCCTACATGGTCCGCCGGTCAACCTGATTATCCTCCTTCATCACAGCATCCTGTCCGTACTCCCTCCTTTCCTCCTTGCCGCCACCCCTTCCTCTACTCTTGCCCAATCTCTCCATGATATTTGCTTGCTTGCTTGCTTCGTTGCTTGTGTTGTTTTGAAAAGAATTTCTCTGTGCCTTTTTGGTTGCACCTGACTTTCCTGTTCTCGCTATCAATTTTACCTTGCTCTTCAATCTGCGGGTCTTTTCTGTTCAAACTTGGAACACCGTTCTGACCCAAAGGGGAATAACACAAAAGGCCCAACCCTCCCAACAGTCTTACCAATATCCTCCGCCGTCTACAATGGCCACGATACAACCACACCTCCAACACCCTCCGCAGGAATACCAACTCCCTCCACCACATGGAGCATACCAACGTCCTGCTGATATATATGGCCACCCGGCCCCAGCTCCACCCCCTGTGGTTTATCCGGCTGCCGCTCCAAGACAACGAACTGCGATAGCCTGCAGGTATTGTAGGAGACGGAAGGTTAGTGCCTCATTTTGTACTCACGCCTTGGCTGATGTTCTTATGCAATCAAAGATTATATATATAGCAGAGCTAAATTAATTTCCCTTGCTCTTTACTTGTAGATTCGATGTTCCGGATTCGAATCCTCTCAGGATGGACGATGCAGCAATTGCGTTCGATTTAACCAGGAATGCATGTTCACGCCAGTTTCATCGCAAGCGCAAGCCTTTGTCCCTGCCCAAGCAGTCTACAATCATTTTCGCACCACGGCACCACGGGGCGGCCCTCGAGCAGATGCGATCCCATTATATGGTGCACATGGCCAACCACTTCCTCCGCCGCAACCACCACAACACCCACAAGATGGACCTCTCCCTCCTCCACAAAGTTTATATCCACCTCCTGCTTATGGAAGGCCTCTCGTCGACGAGCGCCCTCCACCCCCTCATTTACAACCTCCACCTATGCAACCAGATCATGTGAGTCGGAAACGTCCCCGCCCCGACGAGCCTTCCCTTCCTCATCATTCTCGCGACCCTGTTTCGGCCTCGAGTTCTGATGTCTCACAATTTTCTGGACAGAGATCCTCGGTAACCTCGCGTGACTCGAGAGAATACAACTTCTCTGAATCAACCACCCTTCCTCCTGTCTCAACGGCTGTCTCTGGGGCGGCATTCACTAGCCATACATCCCAGGCGCCGTACGACAGACGTTCGTCGTCACATTCCCAATATTCATTCGAGCATCGACATTCTTCGTCGCCCCACGGCTCTACATCGTCCAATCTCCCATATCCACCTATCCAACAACAGCACCCTCCACCTTCCATGCCAATTCGAACCCCACCCCCAGGGCCAGCAACTGGCTCATCTGGCAGTCGTGGCCTGAGCGTGAGGGAAATGCTGGGTCCAGATACCCAAGTCACACGAAGTTCCACCGACAGCGACATGCTCAATGCCCTGAATCGGAGGGTTTAACTCTCGGATTCGATGGGCGCCTATATCAGGGTATTACGTGACAGGAATATGGGGAATTACGAAGTAGAAGAGAAACGCGATTAAATTATGAATCAAGTCAGAAATGCTCTTTTCGAACTGAATACGGAAAGAAAAAGTAAAAAATGTGAAAGCAGAAAAAAAAAAGAGAGGAAAGGGGTTGAGGAAATGTCGTGCTGGTCACGAGATTATTCGTTGATACTACAAATTGTTTTAACATTATTTTTAATTGAGACGGCATCCCTTTTCACGCGGGCTCTGAGCATTCCAGGTCTGCGTTCCGACGTCCAGAACTCCAGTGCAGGAGTAATACAATGCATACAAGGAAGGTGCTCGGGTCGGATCACATGACTACTTCTGCCCTAAAACCATTTCCTGGCAATGGCAATCGAAAGCAGCGGGTTGAACAGCCAGGAAAATTTCTCAAGGATATAACTGGGTCATCTGGTTCCATTATATTACCTAGGCTATCAAGCGCGTGCATCCCGAGAACACAGCTCGCGTCACCCCTGCAAAACCACCTCTAAACTTCTGCGGATGATCGGGTATCTCTCTGCAAAGGCACAAATTTCACAAATGAGCAGCGTGTGACTTACGGTTCCAAAGGGTCACAGTTTTCGCGGAGCTTTGACGACAGTCTCAATATATATGCGACAATAGCAACCTATCAAAGCATGTTTATCCACCGTCATGCACGTTTGAGTGCTGCGAATGCTTGGTCAGGGCGTATCTTGTTCGTTTTGGATAACCGGCGACTCTATTTCTAGAGGCCTTGTTTCCCAAAATCGGGCCCTGTCTGCTTATTTGAAAGCCATTGATAGTTTTTGTGGTGAAAAATGATTTCATTCCCAGCAATGAAAATATCCAACCGCATTTGGTTTCTTGTTTCTTGACATTGCTGTCCTTTTCCCCCTTCTAGCAGATTTTTCAGTTCACTCCTTTGCATGCGTTCCCATTCCCAGTTACCCCACTTGTTTTGCTTTTAATTCTCTTTCCTCCCTTTCATAAACAACCCGCTAAAAGAGTTCACTTTATATAAACTACATGGGGCGACCCGTTAATCACATTTTCTTCTCTCCTTTCCCGCTTCTCCTCATCACTTCCTCCCCCCTCTCCCCTAAAACGAAGAAGTACCTAACCAGCACCAAACCAACCGACTCCTGGGCCACGTATAAAGTTAACTAGCGAGCTCCCAGGAAGGAAATTGAGCATGGTGTTTTTTTTTATCGTATTTAAATATACGTACTTATGACACTAATAGCTTCAATTCTTTTGTTGGTAGCAAAAAAAAAAAAAAGAAAGAAAGAAAGAAAGAAAGAAAGAAAGAAAACCTGTTTAGTATTTCTCACCCTATGTTCCCCTTCCTCCTTTTCATCCCCAAATCGGTTTCTGCTTTTTGGGTTATTGTTTTGTGTTCTTTTTTGTTTTCTATACGCCCGCAATGTGCTGTTCTTGTTTTTCATTTCCTATGTCTTTGGGAGGCCTTCTGTTATATTTTGTTTTACATCGTCGACAATTCCGGAGGCTACTTGTGAATTCTGTTTTAATCTCTTTTGTGCATTGTTTTCGTTTTCGTTTTCCTGTTCTTCGGGCATTTTATTGTCCGAAGACGTCGAGGAGAAATTACAAACGGGCAAAGGCAAAAAAGCAAAGGGTTTTTGGAAAAGAAAAGGAAACGGAAAGGAAAAAAGAAAACTAGTCGCAGGTTTCGTCCTTCTCTTTTATTTATCTTTGTCTCTGTATGGAGAGAAAATAGAGGCGAAGTGGCGACGATTATCACCTTTTTTTCTTCTTGTCCCTTACCTACATCTCCCGCCTTTTGCCTTTTTGTCTTTCTCGATCGTTCCCCCTTGTCCTCTGGTCCCTTTGTCCGATATACAGTCGTGGAAAATTGGCTGGCCCTTGCTCTCTTCCGTGAGAAATACGGCATAGAAAGAGCAGGAAGCGGACCTGAGAAACTATTTGGATGCAATCGCCAATATATGTTTTGGCAAGGAGAGGTGATATCCCTGCACGTACGATGCGAGTAGTTCGTGTCTGCTACGTTTTGTCTTTTCTTTTCTTTCCTTTTTTTTTTTTTTCTTTTTGCTGTTGTTTTTCAACTGGGAGGCTTCGTTCAAAATTGCATGCATGTTATGCTCGGGCACGATAAGGCAACGAGCAATCTACAGGGTGGTTGAACGTGTTTATTTTCCCCACTTTTTGACAAGGGGACCGGGGTGCAACAATACATACATATATACATATATAAACTGAGGGAGGGAAACATTGCAAAATTGGGATGGGTGGCTCTTTGTGATCTGCATGTTTTTGGTTTGTTTTTGGGTGGCTTTTTTTTTCAGTTTTTGGTTTTTGCGCGTGGATAACAAGACTGGTTTGAATTGGTGATTGGTGTGCGGCGGCTTTTTCTGATTTATGTGTTTTGCCCTTCTGTTTCCCGGCACCCCTTCTCGTTGCTTTCGTCCGGTGCTTTTTGGCGTGCCTTCCAACCTGCCTGCCTGTTGTTTGGTTTTTTTGTTCCCCCCCTCCCTTTTTTTTTTTTTCATTGACTCTATTGGGTGGCCTTCTGTCCCTTTTGTTTGTTTTCAAAATCCCCTTTTGCGTTGGTTGCTTTTTGGGCTGGGGATATGGGTTCGATGCGCTGGAATCAGATTGGCATGGGGGTGGTAGCAGTTTGTTGTGCGTGAAATTGATGAGGACGATGATATCATACGCAAGTTAAGAGGTTTTTCTTTTTCTTTTGCCCCCAAGTTGCTAATAGTAGAGGTTTTTGGGTATTGTTTTTATATTTAGAGGAGGGGTTGTGTGAATTGAGCGAGTTGGAATTAAAAACACTGATTAGAGAAACTTATGGTAGTTGTTTCCCTTGTATCTATCTCTCTAAAAATTTCACGTAATCGAAAAAGAAGAACAACGAAACCTTCTGCCGATATGGCATTTGCTCCGAATGAGCATATGAATCCACCTAAACCGAATGAGGCAAAGTCGAGGATCCTGAAACCAGGGAACGGAACCGACTGATTGGGACGCTAATTTGATGTTGGCGCTTACGCTATGGGTCACGGGATATTGTACGGTGTTGGAGCTACTACACAAGCCCTATCCCACGTGACCCACACAACATATATTAGCTCGCCACTAGATAGATAATAACCAACTACTAGATAGTAAGGTTCAACCCTCTTACTGTGGGACGTCTAAGTGGTTGTATTAGCATGTAGGCAGCTGAGGCATATATGTGCGGTGCGCTAGTCCGTGATAGGCAGCCTAGGGCCAACATATACAGCGTGTTCAAGCAGCAAACAGTGGTTAGCAAGACCATATTGCTTCTCCTGGTGCTCGCAACCACACACTGATAGCTTGCCCCGAAAGTGACCTACCCAGTCAGTCACGAACTCAGGTCAGCTTCTCTGGAAATCAGAACAGCCTCTCGACGGTATTCTCCTCCTTTCCCATCCGCCTCCCCTGACCAAGCAGGAGCAAACAACCCCAACAAGGCAAGGGGAGAAAACCAGGGAACAGAGGAAGCCAAACCTGCTCTCAACTCCCCTTCAGCGACCTCATCCTCCTAAGGTCGCCACTCACCACGGAAGATAAAAGTTCCCTTCTGTTCCACTTTGAATCAGCCCAAAAACGTGTGACTCAACTGACCTTCTGTTTTTGAATCCTGATCCCCAGGGCCACCGCAATCGGATTTCCTGTTTAGCTTTGAATCATCAACGGAGATGGCGATGACTTTGAAGATTCCCTTGAGTGATCTAGAAGGTGAACATTGGAATGTACGTTCAAGCCAGCGAACGGACATTCTGAAGCAGTTGAAGACGGTTTTAAATGATGTGACGGGTAGCGTGACAGTACCACCGTGCTTCTGGGCTTTGTGCCAAACCGCGGATGTTTCCCAATTGGAGAGCATGATTCGCGATGTGAGTGAGATGCCTAAAGCCGCGGTCACTCGTGGGTTTTTGGAGGCAACCATCTATGACTCCGATTTGGTTGTCGACAGATGTGAGTGTCACTGGTACTTCCACCCATAATAGAAAGCTTTTCTGATGCGCATTTTCTTCAGGGTTACAAAACGCAAGTGCAAAGAGCAGCGCGTCATCGATACATCGATCATCTTCAGCGATGGACCAGGTTCGTCAGCGTAAGTCAAATGGAATCGCAAAGTGCTAACAACTGAAATAGTGCGAAGCTAGGGATAATTATAGGTGCATTCTCACAGGATGGACGTATCCAGAAGTGGCCCATATCTACCCACTCTGCCTTCTTAGAACGGCACAGCGAGAACCAAGAGTTTCTCAGAGATTTTGGGATCTCCTGAAGATATTCTGGGAGAAGGAACGGGTGGATAGATGGAAGGCAGAAGTCTTTCGGGATTCGCCAAACCTGACTGATCCCGTCGACACTTGCTCGAATATGCTTAGTCTCGATAAACGTGCCCATGCGCTTTGGGGGGCGGGTAGGTTCGCGCTGCGACCTGTGGCTTTGTCTGCTGATCGAAAGGCGATGCAAATCGAATTCTACTGGCAAAAAAAACCCGCGCACGGAAAAGATGAAATCGACTTACTTAGTGAACCGGAGACATCTCGGGGCCTCTATGATTACGACGATGGTGAGGGTCTGTCTTGTGTAACAGGCAAGAGGGAGAAGAACGGCCAGCCTAAGTACGAGGCTCTCGTATCTGGGCAGAGAGTTACCGTTAGCACGGATGATCCGGATAAACGACCGCTCCCGAGCTGGGATCTCCTAGAAATGCAATGGGTATTACAGAGAGTCGCTGGGATGAGCGGGGCCGCCGAACCCTCGGATCATAAACGTGAAGACAGTGGTGATACTGACGAAACTGTCGTGGACCGTGAGGCGCCCATCCAACGTGTTAGAGGAGTGTTCAAGTGGTTGGACTCCATGCCCGAAGAGAAGAAGTTTGCAACGGATTTGACCCCAAAACTTGCATTGCAATAGTTAGTCAAGACGATGCAAGAATAGTTAACTATCTCTCCCCTTTCCCAGCGTTTGCACTCCACAGATGCCATGTCTTCGGGGATCCGGCGTATAAATCCCAGACCAGAAACCGTGACGCCTAAAATTAAGAGTATGTCCCATTCTATCATACTGCAGGGATCATTTAACCGACCTGAGTCGGCAACGTTTATCCATATCATGTTTGGCGGATGATGCAGGGTTGATATCCCAGTGGTTGGGCGGACCTCAGGCTACTATCAAAAAATGAGCTGCACTTAGGCAGCATTAACCTACGTGGGATGTGAGCACCAAAGCAGCTTACATTAATGCCTATCTGTTGATGTTGGCCCTAGGCTGCCTATCACGGACTAGCGCACCGCACATATATGCCTCAGCTGCCTGCATGCTAATACAACCACTTATATGTTAGGTCACTGGGGCAAAAGAGCTCTCTCACACCAGCGCCATGCTGGTAGTAGAGGGGACGAACCAATCCAAACCCCCCCAACATTATAGACGTCCCACAGTTGACGCCTATGTTAGCACGTGACCTCAGTGGTAGTAAGATTAAAACACATTCTCTAATCATTGCAGAAGATGTTGTTTGTATTTTTAAATTTTTAGTATGTAATAAAATGGAACTCAGAGCTCTCAAGATTGTATATACTTAAAAAAGTGAAAAAAAAAAACCTCAAAGAAAATATTATAACTGTTATCAGAGCATCTTCGCTGAATCGAGATCTCAGAATTATATATAAGCTTATAAGTGAGATGAAATTTATAGAATATAAAAAAGAAAAAATCTTCTGAAAAAAGTATTCGGTAAGCATTATTATTAAACTGATCTGACTATTGGCAACTTATTAAATAAACTAAACTATTACTACTAGCACAGCACCGAGAATTGTGGGAATGACTGGGCATGGGCTTCGTTGGAATGGGAGCAAGAGAGGAAAAGGGGGGAGGGGCCGGAGGAGGGTAATGTGGAAGAATGCGTCAAGTCCATCCAGACCCCGTTGGGATACACCGGTCAAACTGAATAAACAGAGAAGCATGGGAGATCGTTTGACAGGCTAACCAAACAGTAGACTGATAAGGTCCCTCGTTTGATAATCTGGCTAAACCGAGGATGACGCGGCAGTGGAAAAGGTAGTAAAGTAATCCAGGACATCGTTATCGAAACCCATCCAATCCAAATGTCATAAATGAGAGCGGAGCGGCAACCGAATTGGAGTCAAAAAAGCGAACAAAGTTATTAAGGGCAAAATTTTCTCACAGAAAGAAGGGTGAATGAGTTTACATAGCGTATAACGGAGAATAAACAACAGCAAACGTACGGAGAAATCAAGAATGTGCAACTATCGAACAACAAATTAGCATAAGAACGAGCTCACAAACGGCAGCTCAAACTTGGGTCAAATTCCATACGATATTTTGTTTTAAAAAGGAAATGCGATAAATGCGATGAAAGCAAGGGATAAACCGAACAAAAGGCTTTAAATAATCTGTCATAAGATACGACATTCGACGCGAGAAAATCATGTTAGCTAACAGAACAATTCCAATAATCAAGGGCGTTCGTTAACATACTCAAACAGCGTCAAAACGAAGGAGTATACTGGATGAAAAAAAGAGCGGGGAACGCAAAACAAATCGAAAAGACAGTTAATAAAGAACCTTGATCATCCTCTTAGCCTTGGATGAATTGTCGACTAATAAAGCGCGCTTCTTCAGCACAATCTCTAGAGTATTAGCTACCCTGTGGAATGATGATGCTGCTCCACGCTCTTGTCTCAAGTGCAGCAGACTCAGATTCGCATGCCTGCCTCGCTCGAGGACGGTGAAGAATTCGCCACAAAATTCAACGGGCCGTAGGCGGAGGACTATTTAGTAGCCATGTTAGTCTATTCTCTCTCACACTCTCTCTTCCTTTTCCTTCCTTTTTCTTTTTACTCCGTCTCTATTGTCTGACGACTTACAATTTAGCTCCGCAACCCTTCCGGTCACAATACTATTCGCCCTATCAAGATATACATCTTCCATTCCATATTTATTCCACTCGTGTAGGATCTTGACAACTTCTTTTATCGCGCGGAGTTTGGACACTTTAAATGCCAGCGTCTTCGATGCGGGCTTAATATGGAAGAATCTCGCGAACCAATTTTGGTTCCCTGAACGGTGGTGACTTTCGTTCTTCTTGGTACCACGCCGTGTAATAGAGCTACTGGCCCTGCTGGGAAGCGGAGACACAGGTAGCGCTACTTCAGTAGGTACATTGGGGTCGTTGACTGGTTTTTCTGATTAGTGTGGCATCGAAAATATATATATATATATAAACCCATTTTTGGAACAAGGGCAAAGGAATGAAAGGTTAATCTTACCTCCTTCGGCCGTTTCATGCACCAGATTTTGTTTCCGTGATATCCTCCGTCGGAACTGCCAAAATCGGGATTTCCCTACTTTCATCTCCAGCTTGTCCGTCTTGGTAGTTTTCAGGTGCTCGTCCGATTCTAATAACCCTGGCGCACTTCTCCGCTTACCAAGTTCTAATAGGCCCTGAACACTTTTCCTCCTGCCAAGTTCTAATAGCTCTTGAAGGCTCTTCCTCTTCCCAAGTTCTTGATTATTGTCATCGCTAGCTGTTGCTAAGCACGGCGCGTCATCTTTGGAAGGTGGTGGGGGTGGTATTTGCTCCTGGCTCAGCGATCTGTGCTTGAACCATGGCCATTTCCATGACTCTCCCGAATTGCGAGCGTCATTGCAACTATCCGGGGATCTTGGATTCTCTTCTATCGGCTCTAGTCCGCTGGTGTAATAGCGCGTATTGCTACTGCGTCTGCTGGTAGGAGCACTGCCAGCTGCTTCGTCATCAGAAGGGCCTGAAACAGATCTGTAGCGTCCGGCGGGGTTCGCGGAGGGATTCTTCTTTTGCGTTGAGGAACTGCCCGATTTTTTACGAATCGTCAACGGCTTTATCGCGTCCATGTCAGGAATACTGGATTCATGAGGTACCATGCGGATTGTATTTTCCGATTTCCAGTTCGTGATCTTTGAATCTCCGTATTCTGGAGTCTTTGCTTCGCATTGAATTTTCTCTATAATCGATGTGCAGTCATTAAATATGGCGTCCTCGGCGATGGATGGTAGAAACGATTCTGAAGTTCGGGAAAGCGCTTCCGGACAGGGTTTAGGGATGTTATCGGCTTTAGGAGCAAGTTCATCTCCTATCAAGCGATCAAGATGCGCAATGACCTCAGAAAGATATTGGGAAATGTCATCAGATGTTGCCTGAGCGGAATGTTCAATAAGTCGACGCCGAGTATCGGCTAACTCCCGAATTGTATAAGAGTTGAATGAGTCGGCCGGTGGCTCTGGGAGTGGACGCATCTTATATTGGTCTTCAGGGCTGCTCACTTCCTGTGGAGTTGAAACTGAAGTTGGAGGGGATTCAGTCTGTCTTGCAGTTTCAACAGAGGGTGCGCTAGATGAGGTGGAAGTTCGATTGAATGCTTCCTCACAGATTTTTCCAAGTTCCGCCGATACTTTGATTGCCTCATCCCTCCAGTATTGGCCAGCGATGCGTTGTTTTGCAGGATCCTTATTCATTTCATGATTAGGGTTCCTACGTACTCGAATAGGAGGCGGTGGAGTAGGAAGTGCTGGGCTGCTGAATCTATCAGAGGGAATCTTATCCCTCGTCTCAGTTTCAGGGGGCACCGAAGATTGGGAATGTGTCTGTGTGATATCCGGCTGTTCTGTGGTTTGTCTCCCAATGGAGCGTTGGTTGCGGACATGTCTAAAACAAACATTTCTCTTGTAGCTGGCTGAACGAGGGCCAGTAAAGCCATTGCGGCGTCTGGTGGAGCTTGCAATAGAGCTTCGGGACTGAATTGAGGAAATAGAGCCTTTTCTATTCCATCTATTAGCGCCGATGGAGGAGCTGGGGGCAAATGAACGGCGATCTTTGGGGAGTTCCTTTTTTAGAGTGAAATGGCTTGGAGAATTGGAAGCCTGAGAAGAGCTATCGCTTCCTTTGCTCTTTAGAGAATCTGGCGACTGGCGGTGGACAGTCACATTGGCAAACTCTGCCTGAGGATTGGATATGGGCGATCGAGAGGACCTGTAAGGGTCATAGCTGGCAATTGTCCGAGCAGATTTAGGTTCTGGATGGGAAGCCTCTCTGAATGTAGATCGACCAGTTGCGATAGACAGTTGCGATCGTCGCCAGGATTGACTAGTATTGCGGCTACTTGTGGCTCGCGGTTGGGATTTTGCAGGGCCCCTTGATATGTGGTGGTAGTCACTGGCAGAATATCCGAGAGGGCCTTCGTAGTTTTCAAGTTGATCATCCCTAAATTTAGCCAAGGCGTGGTAGAACATTTTTTCATGGTTGACCCTGCGAACAATGTGAGTCATCGAGAATCCCTAAAATAATTTCAAGGGAGGACTTACTCGTCACTCAGCAATTTGCCAATAAGCTCCTCTACTTTAGCTCCATGCCAGAGGGTCTGAAGGCTTCTCAGAAGTTCCATATCGATATCCTGGCGACGGGTGATCTTCTTTCCGCAGTCCTTGTATGATAAAGGTGGTGGAGGCCCCAAGGAAGCCCCTTCCGAAGTCATCAAAATATGGTGTTTCTCATACTTCTTAAGGAGCGGATGAGACCACATTTCATCGATGCTGATCCTGTCCCGTGGTTGCTTTTGCAATATACGCTGAATCAAATCCATTGCTTCGACGCTCAGCCAGGGAGGGAAAATATACTCTCCCTTCTTGACAAGGCGGAGTGTGTTAGGTAGATCGCCACCGTCAAAAGGGAGATACCCCGTCAGCATGGCAAATAAAATAATCCCGCAACTCCAAATGTCGGCTTTGTCACCCTGGTATCTATGGCCGTATATGATTTCAGGAGAGGCATAATGAGGGCTTCCGCAGGAAGTATTCAGCCAATGGCCCGCGGGTTGGAGAGCGGCCATCCCAAAGTCTGCAAGTTTGATATTGCAATTGGTATCGAGGAGAATATTTTCCGGCTTAAGGTCGCGATGGCAAATATTGAAGCGATGGCAATATGAGAGTGCTGCAATGATTTGTCTGAAAAGGCGAACGGCCTCGATCTCGGGAAGAGGCCCGCTTTCGGAAACATAGTCAAACAACTCTCCACCTTCAACATACTCGAGAACAAGATATCTGATGAGGCAAAAGCGGGTTTATCCAGATTAGCCAAAAGTAGAGGTGAAACCTTCCAGTATCAGTGAAAGAAAGTAAGGGGTGCCATACAGCTCTCCACGGTTTTCCCATACATCATACAAGTTAATAATATTCGGGTGCTCGATCAACTTCATTATCACCACCTCTCGTTCGATCCCAGATGGGATCACCCTACCGCCAGGAACACGCGTTGTAAGCTCTATATTTTTGTCCATCGCAGCAATGCTCTGACTTTGCACCATTGCAGCTGACTTTTTGGAGACAATCTTAATCGCAGCCGTCTGGCCCGTGAGCGCGTGTTTCGCTAGGCGAACACGCCCGGTAGCACCCTTACCCAGAGTTCTTCCCAGTTGCCATGGCCCAATATGGGTTTTCCGTTTGGATTTTCCGGACGCTGTAGAGGTGGATGATATCGCAGAATTGCGATTGGAATTAGGCTGTGATTCTGCCACCGTCGATAGGCGTTTGTTTTCAGCAGCAGTAGCACGCGCAGGTTGAGGAGGTACTGTTGGAGGCAGCGCGGCCGCTGCTGAGTGCACAACGTCATTTGCGCTGGAAACTTCTGAGGATCGGATCGACATTGGATATTTATGTGCCGGGGGAGAGCTCGATGGCTCGTGTGGTTGTTCTCTTGCTCCTCTTAGAATATTTGCTCTGTTTCTCGCTTCGCGCAGAGGAGGTCGGGAACGGGCCCTGAGGGAGTCGTAGTACATCATTCGAATATAGGATGGTAAATAAAGGGACCACCCTCATTCGAATAAAAGAGATCAGATAAAAGAGGAAAGCAAGGAATGAGAATCTGTCATGTGCGAAGCCTCAGAACGTGAGGGTACGGATGGATTCCACCGAGTAAACAGAATGGCTAAGCTATGTTCAGGTTTGTTGTAGTGGGAGAAAGTTTGGAACAGAAAGTTTCAGCAGCGCGTCTCAGGAACACGACCACAACTGGGCCAACTTTGGCCATCAATTTTCCAATTGATGGCAGATCTATATACAGGCGATGCGACAAGATCACGCAGAGGAGCTATATCGTCTTCATATCTTCATATTCGATTCGATATAGCAGCAGCCTTAGACGCGGGTGCTACTATTCTGCTTCTTCCCCTGGCCGGTGAGAGATAAGGTTGAACCTCGGCTCCCCTCCCGTGAAGGCAAAACGCGTGAAAAGGAGCAGATGAGTGCAGTTGAAAGGCAGCAAAAGAGAAAGGACAGCACATGGAATGAGATGAGCCCTCTGGAGCGAAGAGTTTCTGGAGCTGACGTTGTGTTGTTTTGGTTCCCCCGCGACGTTAGGAAAAGGCGGCAGCATCGCGCATTGGCCCGGACACGGGTATGAATGTATGTACACATAACGTATACATAGGGATGCACGCATCTGTACCTCACTAGAGCCATATTGAAGGCAAGATTCTGCATATCTCTTCAAACGGGTGCTGAATGATTGCAGCAAAGCCCTTAACGAAAGCAAATTCCCTCTTGTCATTTTCTCTGCCGATTCTACCAGGGCTGCGCCCTGTCCATTGAAATCCCCCATGCCAGTTAGGGGCACATTGGTTTTGATACGCAAAACCGAACAGAGGGAAGGAGAAACAAATTGCGGAAGTTTACCTCACCAAGGCATTGGGTAATTGTGACGACTGGAAATATGCATAGACACCATGCCCAGGGATGGATATCACGGCTATACATGCAGTCCATATGTGCAACTGAAAATATACCCTTCTAAGACGGACAGAAACAGACAGCAAAAACATATGAATCGAGAAAATATGTTCCTCCGGAGGTCAAGTAGGCTAGGGTTTCAAGAGACAGTTGAGTGATAAGTCAAAGCAGAAGCAATGTTTCCATCACATTAACAGAGAGGTGAACCTCTAGGCCTATTTTCATAGAAACGGCACTAGTAGAAGAAATGAAAACAGTGGGAATCATAAATCGGAAACCAAGAGCGCTTCTCCAGAAAGCTTCATGCTCCATTCCATGATGAGAGATAAGATCAATGCACAGCAGTGAAAAGCGACAAGAAATGCTGTATATAGGGTAGAAATGTATATATATATATTCATGCTAGTATACACCCAAGGTAATGCAACAACGGAAATAAAACGAATAGTCTGATATGGCGGTTGTTGCTCTGAGAGTCCCAGACGAAAAGAGGAATCGTCGTTGAAATAAGACTGTGGGTGCCAAGCGAGGTAAGTGATGATCCCTGCATAATGCTTATGATTGCTTTTGTCTTTAGTGGAAACCACGAACAATGGGAAATAAATGTACGTATAATAAATATCTCAATACAAGTCGCAAGCAGCCGTCATACAATATATTAGGGTGGCATCCCACGGGTCCTTGGTACTTTATATTGGGGGGATGGAAAGGAAAGAAGAAATGCTACCAAATTAGAAATATAAAAAAATTTATATTGAAGTAAAGTAAACAGAGATAAAGATGTGAGCGAAACTAGAATGGAATAAACATGAAGAAGCTCCAGTCGTAAACTCTTGATTTTGGGCTTTAAATACCAGACCACTCCTTAGTCTCGGTATTATACTGGACAGTTTGTTTCTGAATCCTCCCATTTTTCAATGCCCCGTTATGCACGCCCTGTCCGTTCGTCGAGGGTGACCCATTGGTCCGGGAAAGCCGATTCTCACCGGCGATGACAGTGAAATTAGCCATCGAGATCTCAAGGGGGCTTCTCTTCTTGATATCGGGGATCGCAAAGAATTTAGCATCAGTGCGTGTGTGCGAGAGGGTCAGCTCGAAGTAGCCCCGGTAGTATAACTCGGACCACTGCAGCTCTCTATTCTTGTTTATCAACGTTTCCGCCTGCAAGTTGCCAATACCAACATGGGATGTGGGCCCGCTACTGGTTACTGCCGTACCGGCAAATTCAGCACCAATTGCCCCTTCACCCGTTGCCGGGTCGTATGGATACTCGTCGAGCCAGGTGAGGTCAGATACCCAATTGGCATGGCTGTCGCCTGCGATGACGATGTTGTTCCCGATGTTGTTCTCGTATAGAGTCCTCAAGGTACGGTTGAGATTGGACCTATAACCATCCCAGGAATCAACGTTCACACCAAGACCTATGGATCCCGACTCATCCACGCGGGAGAAAACTGGAATGAATGGTTAGAATTAAGTTTCGGCTTCCCTTCGCCTTCTTGGTGAGGTGGGAGTTGGGGGAAGGGTAACATAGGATATGCGTGTACCAGTTTGGCTGCCAATAACTCTCCAGGTGGCCTGCCTCTTAGCAGAGGATTTCAAGCTCTCATAAAACCAATATTCCTGACGAGGTCCCATCATCGATCGACCGATGTCGTCCGCAATCTTCCTGATATAGCCGCTATTCAGATATAGATCCGTAATGGATCGATCATAGTGGCGTGTGTCAAGCATGATAAGGTCGAGAAGGTTGCCGATTTTAAAGTTTCGCCAGATCCTGAGGTTGTCGTCCATCGCAACTTGCCTGGAAAAGAGAGGGAAAGAGAAAATATGTTAATGAAAGGCACTAACTGAGACGCTAAATGTAACGGTTATTGCGGAATTTCCATACCTGATAGGCATCCATTCGAAGTAGGCACGGACTGCATTCATCTTGCGCTGGTCAACAGAAACTCCGCCATCGACAATGAAGGACCCTTCAATATTACGGAGTAATGAGGATCCATCACGGTACGTATTATCCGCAACCTCTGGTCCAGATGTCAGTGAAAGAGATACCATGGTTGTCATAGAGAATATTGACGAACCATGATCATCCCACACAGGAATCCATGTGAAAGTCTGGTGACTCAAAAGTAAATCTTCATCCGTTTTATGAGTCGCGTGACGCTTCCGATATTCGTAAAGAGTGTATATCGTCTTTTGCGGGTAAATTTTGCGCCCAATGCTGGAGCCATCACTACAGAACGGTATTAGCATATAAAAAGCTCAGAATGATAATCGCTTGTGGATAACCTACCCCCCTAGCTCGTAAATGTAGTCACTTGTTTTTCAAATATAAAAAATGGTTAATTCTCTGTAACGTAGAGGAATGGGAATCTGCTTTACCCGAGATGGACGACATAGTCAACAGAGTCCTTGCGAGCTGTATTTCCGTATGCGTTGAAATATCCGTTAACTAACCCAGATAGTTAGCCAGCGTTCATATCCGTTCAGCTGTGTATATGTAGTCCTTACCGAAGTTGCTGCAAGAATATACTGCGAGTGATATATCCGCAACCTCATCGTATTCGGTCGGGGACGTTTTCGCTCTTCCAATGGGGCTAGACTTTTCCGAACCGCAGACATTGAACTTGTAGTAATATGTAGTGAATGGCTTCAAATGGGATGCCTCGACCTGATGGTTCGTTGAATCTGGTTCAGCATCGCACCCAGCGTTTCCAACCAGCGCCATTGAGAGAAGTTTCTCTCTTACCTTGACAGTGAAATCAATATCTGAGCTCGTGTAAACGGTGCCGCGATCAGCAATCTGGTTGAAGCCCTTGTCCGGGGAGACGTTATACTCCACGCATACGGGAGCCTTCGACACTGGCGCATTGCTCTCGCTATCCCCATAGATAGGAACAGAGTCGTACAATTGGCCGCCACCCTCAGACGCAACAGACTCATTAACATTGTCTGTCGAAGGCGCGCATCGCGTCCAGAGAATGACGGAGTTGGGATAAGGGTCTCCGGAAGCGATGCCGTGCGTGAATTCCAAGTTGTCCACTGAATACTCTACCAGCGGATCCGAGCGCTTCAGCACCTTAGGAATTGAGATGCCGAGGGCGGGGTGATTGTGAGACGGGCTGCGATAGTTCAAGTTCCCAGCAAAGGAAGCAAGGGATGTACTCGCGAGCGCGAGGATAATAGTGGATTGAAGCATAGCGATAGCTCAACGTGCTGCCCTGATAAACGTGGAGACCGTTTGCTTGCAGCAAAAGAGCTTCCCGAAAACGTGAAATCTCGATTCTTTAATAGTAATGCGTCGTTTTGGCATGTGGCAGCCTTTTTGGAGCGACTCATCTATTCCAGGTGCAATTCGGTGCCAAAATATCCGGGATATCTTTCGTCGACTTCTTCGGCCAACATTCTCGCCATTTCCCACATTCTTACTATCCTTCTCCTTGACCAAACATAGTGAAAAGTCATGTAATAATTCTAGGGCCACGATTAGACAAAACGTCTTACGCTGCGGACGGGTTTTTGGAGACATTAGTTCATAAGAGTTCCAACTCTCCGACTTGATGGCTCCAGCATTCCAGTTCGACTCCTATCTTGTACTCCACGGGAATACTCATCTCAACGCATGGAGGATATAGGGCCGCAGCAATCAGAGACTACCTGAGAGAAAACTTTTGATCAAAAAACTGCCCCTGACTATGCCGAGTACGCCGGCGCGAGTCTCCTACTGATCTGCCCTAAGTGAGCACTTGCCCGCATCGCTGTGGATCATCCAATTCTTTTGAGTTTAAAGCATCATCCGCCCCAAGGCTGGCTTTCGACAGGTAATTATACAGCTTCCTCTTTCCATACCTTGCTCATCTGTGCTTCAAGTGGCTATCAAATAATATTTTTGCAGAATTCTCCATTTCAAAAATAGTTATTGGAGGGTTTAACAGGAGCAATTACATCATTTATTGGTTATTTCTGCAGGTCAACTAGTAAAAAGCCGCCTTGCTGGAAACTGAGATATCCACATGCCCTCTTTGCTTCTCTCTAGGGACAATTTTCACCTGGATTCTGTCCTTGGGCGTGGGTATGCTTGTTGTCATGGCCATTTCTCTTCGCGGTTCAAACCACTTACCATCCTTGGTTACGGGTTCCAGATCAAAACGGAGCAAAAGGAGAATTACAAATGACAGGACCTCCGCGGTGACAAAATGGCGCCCAGGACAGAGGATTGACCCACCACCAAAGGGACGGAACGCCGCTGGGGTTTTGCGTTTTTCACCAGGCTGGGATACGAATCGGCGGTGGTCGAAGTTACCAAATGTTGGTCCCCATATCGATTGGTCTGTGTTTTGGACTACAGAAGTAGTCATGACAGTGGCACCTTTCTTCAGGAGGTATTTGTTGTCGAATATGATATCCTCCATTACCACTCTAGTAGAGACGGCAATGTGCACATAACGCAGAGTCTCCTGCCATGTCGAGAAAAGAATAGGGCATGAAGACTTGATTTTGGCTAGGTCGAGAATCTGGGCATCGATGTCGTCGAGTTCAAGAAGCTGCTCTGCCTCAGCTCGGCACTCATTGAGGACAATGGGGTCGGAGTAAACATGGTAGACCATCCAGAACGCGCTCGCCAAGCTGTTGGTTAGAGACGCAATCATCTGGCCAATCTCAGTGGCTGCGATATCTCTGCCTTGTAGACCGTGACTTGTGTTATGCTCGTAGCGGCACTGGGCGAGGAGCGAGCCCTGCTGGTGGCCCTTATCGGCGAAGTATTTCTCGAAAGCGGGAATGAGAACGTGTTCTCGCGCATGGAGGCTTTTGCGTGCTAGTAAACTTGGCCATATGTTGATCATCAGAGGCAAGATGCCGGGCTCAAAAGTGCTGTCGGCAATATTAGTGAGTCCTCCAACTCAGAAGTAGGCCGATGCTATTTCAAGGGACTCGAACTTACTACCATGCTTCCTCGAGTGCGGGATCACGAAATGGGTTTTTCGGCCCATATATGGATTCCGTTATGGCCTTAAAAGCCTCTCCACGAACCCAGGAATACAGATCGACCGTTGTTGGGCCGCTTTTACTCAGGTTTTCCAGAGATTCTGAGAGGCCCCGAGCTGCCGTACTACTGATCGTATTGAGTCCAGGGCCCGGAGCCAGGCCTGGATGAATCGAGGGTACGAAGGTTGATAGGTAAGAATCATTGTCGAGCATTTTGTCCGAACCTATGATAGCATTTCCCTCTGGGCCAACTCCCATCACGACATCGGCTGCCTGGGCCTCGATGGGGCAAAATGAAATCGTTTTGATCAACCGCTGTAGCTGCGGGATGAGAGCTGGGGAGTTTATAATGTAGATGCGCTGTCCTGGTAGGCGTAGGGTATATATTGGAAGATTGTATTTGTCCCTGCAAGCCGGAAAATTTAGTAAGCTTCATAAAAAGTCCATAATCCCTAGATTGCAATGTACAGTGTTCCACACCCAGTGAACACGTCCAAGGTAGCTAACCTGAGTTTTACGAGAAAATTTTGCATACCCATAATAAAGCCCAACGCTGGACTTAAAAATGGTATTTGGGTTGCGATTACAGGGGGCTCTTTCGCGTCTTGGGTGAGGTGAAGCAGCGCGGAAAGGAAAACATAGGTCGCGGGCACGAAGCCGAGAGCGATCACCAACGGAGAAGTCATCGTGGAGCATCAATTCCAGCCTCTGTCAACACCAATCCAGGCCATTCTGGAAGTTATGATATGCCCAACGGGGGTCTCAACGCTTTAAATAGTTGGCCGAACCACGAATATATATCAGCTGGGTTATTCTGCTCGACCCAATCAATCCTTGAACGGGAGTTACTAGTATCATTCCAATTCCATCAGTCGGAGACAATCAGACGGCGCAATTCGCCAAAAATCCATTTTGACCGAGGTATGCCCTGCCAGCTGAGGAGGAGGTGGTGTGCACTAACTACATATAACCATATCAATCGCTGAAAAGCTTACGAAAACGGAAATTCCGGGGAAGAGCAAATTTGAGCGAACGCAAAGACAATGTCGTGTTTGATGGAGATTTCCATTTTGGGGAAGCTGGTTGATTGAGAAGTGGTTTCAGTAGATTAATCACCTCCGAAAGCCAAAATGTAACGACAGATCTGTATATCAAATATGGAATAGCGTATTTTTAGCGTGTACATTCACGTATTACATACATGAAAACTACTGGATTATATGAGATATATGCTGTATTAGTGTGTTTTAATGTAATTTATGCAATTTATTTGATCCAGTCAGCTCTGATTAATATCATGAGAATGGAACTCGTTCGGAGTCTGCATAGACATTGATGGAACTGACAGTATTCTGAATATCAAACTCTGAGATATAGAGAGAGAATAGGGTGTACGAATTCTATGGATCAATATCAGTTGCCTAATGGGTGAGATTTGTGAGTGCTCTTGGCACGGTTAGTGGCTAACTTTTCAGCCTTCAATCACCATACAGCGTACATGGGAGTGTCAGCCGCTGCTATGATCCGCTGATGTTGCAATCATTATTCAATGAATGCGAGTGATTTTGCAAAGCGCTATCCAGCTGGATCCCTGCTTCAACGGGCGTCGTGAGCATAACCAGGATGTTTCCAGCGTCAATCCGCCAAGTCATCGCAATGCAACCCACACAAAGAACGGCCACTGACTGGGTTCTTGATTCCCCAGTCAGCGCTAGTCGTCTACTCTGAGACAGTCTGCAAATGCACTTCTAAATCTCAGAGACGAATGAGTAGTTAATTCCACAATATCTTAACTGAGAGAGCAATGCCTCAGACTTCCATTATCGAGAGTGCAGAGTCTAAGTCTTAAGAGCACTGCAGATAAAAAATAAAATGAAATGCTACAGCTTGTGTAGATGGTGAAATGAATATATACTGAGCGAGCAAGCAGTGGGCCAGCTAGGATAGAAATCTCTACTTTCATGAAAGATGATGAATTCAATGAGTATCAAGCAGATACGCACCTAGCTAACTAGTGTTGCTAGATATTATGGTTAGATATCATCGCTACATATCTTTGCGAGATATCACTGATGAATATTGTTAGATATACGGAGGATCCTCTCAAAAGTTTTGATTAGTGCTATCACATACTAAAAATGCCACAAATATTGACTGAAATACACACTGAAATTAATACAAAGTATCCTGAATCTTTTTATTGCTTATTCTACTCTGTACTGATTGATTTATCAGTACTAGCTAGATGATTCTTCTGTCACAGCTGCAGCTCTTCTGATATTCATTACCATCTTCCAACTCAATAACCTTTGCAATATGAATAGAAATACACTCTATCCATGACTGAATCTGCTTCTGTGATAGCTTCTTTCATACTTTTTCTCATATCTGTATAGCTTCTATACAGCTTTTTGATGCTCCCTTGGCTGTTGTTTTTTGTTTCATTCAAAATTATACAGATTCAATCATATTGAGATCAGAAAAGTTGAGACATCAGAGCAGCTGCTGAACCTGATGAATATCATATATATACTATTGAATATAGTGATTATAAGTGGGGGCTTTATCTTCTTGAATGATGGTATTCAGATAATCAATTTGATACTCTTTTGTAAAGAGAAAGAGCTTTGAAATAAGGATTTTGATCTGATATCAATATCAATTGATTTCTTTTTCTGATTTATGAGATAGCTTTTCTGTATTCTTCTTTCACTTTCATACTGATTGAGATTCAGATAGTTGATGAAGATTTAATCTTCTCATTTTATTTTGAAGCTTTTATTTCTGTCTTTTAATTGATTCTATTATTATATTCAAAGCTTCAATATTCTTTGCTGACTGACTTTTTTCTTGTGCAGTTTCTGAAGTTCAGCAGTGACAAGAATCCTTCTTATTATAAAAAAAACAGTCTCAAAATATGAACTCTGAAGAATTCTTTTATTATTTATATATACAGCTTTGAGCATACTTTTCTGCAGATGTATATTAAATTCTATATTCTTCATAATAATAAAGCAGAACAACTGATATCTCATCAGATTATATAACATTCTTTCAATCTTCAAGAATTCAATTTTGATGTTGAAGATATCACTGAAGATATTCTGTTTTCATTTTCCTTGTCAAATCAGATTTTTGTGTGGACTTGATCTTTTTCATCTCAGCTTTTTGCAATATATATCAAACAGTTATAGAAGAGATTGTAATTCCATTCTCACTGAGTTCATTGACAATATCAGCACAGATTTTTTCTTATCTGTATCAACTATAGTGCATCTTCATTAGAATCTGCTCTGAAATAGAAGAGATTTGTTTTGTGAGTCTGCCACTGTGAGGAGCATCTTTTAATCATTCATTATAAAGAAGAAGATGAGAAAGAGTAAAATTAAATCCATTTTTGATTGCTCTGATATAGATTTGATTGATTTGTTGAATAGAAAGAGAAGTGATTTCACTGATTTCAACAGTGGATTTGTCAATGTAAGGGGATTTAAGAGCAATCACAAAAGCTCTTGTGACAATATCAGTATTAGAAGCCATGATCTTGAGAAAGAAGAAAGTGAGAAACATTGCAATAAGCAGAGAATCTCATAAATAGAATGAGGGGTTGTTTTTTTACATTCTCATACAGTGGTGGCACTTGCTAGCCAATATAGTGGTAAATTAATGGATAACACTAATCAAAACTTTTGAGAGGATCCTCCGTATATCATCAACAGATACTAAGACTCCTTGGTAAAAATTCGAGCCCCATTCGGCTATTTTGAACCCGATGTCTGCTGATACGTTGAATACCTCTTCAACTAGATCTTACTTACGCATGATTTTTTTCAACATGCTCGGCGGCAGCCTGGATGGTCGGAAAACCAATCGAAGAGAGTTACTATTGGGAATCTAGTAGTTATGTATATTCAAACCAAATATACTGGTATGTTTGGATTAGGCACTTTTCTGGGCCTGACTATTGCAGTTTTCCAGTAGTTATTATGGTCGAAGTTATCCGATTCATTCTAGGGATGCCAGATATGAAACTGTCAAATTGTACCTGTACAGTCTGACTATGTATGTGAAAGAAATGAAGAAGATAAAGCACAAAAAGAATCGCTCATGATCAACAGAGGGAAACGTATACAAGATTGAGAAAGAAAGAGACAGAATAATAAATGCGAGCAGGGAAATACCAAGGCTGGGCGGGAATGTTTTGGGAGGGGTTGGATGTTGAATGCAATCAGAACTGCCTCTTAAGGCATTCTTATGCATCGTAGTTTTATGCGAATCGAATCACATATGGACAAGCTTTCAAACTTCCTTGGGCTGAGACCTTGCCTTCCCGAACCACAGTGCTTGGATTTGGCGCGTGAAGCATGCGGTCACCAGAGTTACTACAGAACGATAAAAGGTCAGATATGAAAGACAAACCCGAGGACATACGATTGCGGGCGGAGAAGTTGTTAGCAATTGACACCTACATCATCAATCCCATGTGGGAGATATTTTGATTCTTGCAGCTGCAGCTAGTTCCGAAAAAGACCGCGTCACCAGCACGACGTTTCGAGAAGGGTACTTTCCTGGAAAAGGGAAAATGAAATGTATTAGCATTCTCGAGATCTCGACGGGAAGCGAATGTGAAAGCCTAGGATGGGGTTTTGCATACTTGAATTTGCCTAGCCTGCTGCTCGAAGCGCAGTACATGGAATATGTCACGCGTAGACCCTCCTTGAAGAGATTTCGTTTCGTGGCTTTGCAAACAGCATAGGCGACAAGTCCGGAGCAATCATAGCCTCCTTTGGTTGGGCCTTTGCATGAGCCGCCACCCCAGACGTACTTCGTGCCCTTCTCTTTCATGGCTATATCAAGGACTTTCTGTCCAACAGTCTTTTTAGGTTTTGGCTTAGGCTTGGGCTTAGGCTTGGGATCAGTGGGTTTATCATTTTCTATACAGCACTGAACATCTTTCCCTGCCGGACAAGTCTAAAAAAAAGGGGGAGGTCAGCTCTGATTCAACCCTTTTGTTCTCAAGGAGGAATATAGCTAAGGTTTTCCTAAATATAGACGAAGGGATATGGGCTAGTAAACATACAGAGCTATTCCCCACGTGGAATTTGCCGCCCTTGCATTTGGTCCTGTTGATATTTTGGCAGAGCCCTGATTTCCCCCCTACTTTGCACTTCACTTCAACGCAGCACTGCATATAAGTTATCAGCATTGAATACACCAACCCATAAGCTTTCAACGAATACATACACGGGTTTCCCCAGAATTCTTGCCACAAGCTCCATCATAGTATACTCCGGTGCATTTGCTCCTTGCCATGCATGTCCCCATGCCGTCCATGGTTTTGCAGCTGGAGCCCACTTTTCGCTCGAATAGTTCAACGGCTGGAGTGGCAGATACCACACTGCCTAGAAGCAGAGCCAGAGAGAAAGTAGAGAAACGCATGATGACGTTCAGGATTGTTGTTTCAATTGATGAAAATATAAATGAGTCAAAGCAAAGAAATGTATCAAGTTTTTTTTTCCCTTTAAAAACTCAAGGAGTGTACCAAACAGATCTAAGGAGTGAATGAAAACATGTCTTGGATGAGGATGATAGTCGTCTTTATAGACATTTTTGAATATCTCTTTAGCAGCACGCTCTGGGGGAAAGAGCGTGAACTGCTGGAGATCAACGAAATATGTTGCTGGTCGGACACGAGATTCGTAGAGACATTAATCGTGTTGATGCATTCCTAAGCTCGTACTCCTAAATTAGCCCTGATCCGCCCAGCGGAAGAGCCCCAGGGGAAAATCTTGGGATACGGGTTAGCATCCGCATTGCCATCGATGGTAGCAGTGCTGCGCATTCCAACAGGACATGGCTCCCTTTTCCTCAGATGGGTAAAAGTGTTGTTTTCAATCCTGTATCAGCCAACAAAAAAAAAAAAAAAAGAAAAGAAAAAGAAAAAGAAAAAGAAAAAGAAAAAGAAAATCGCTGAAGAACTCCGAGGACATCGGCTTTGTCTTCACGCGCAGTGATCCAGCTTTTGAAAAATAGGGGGAGTCGACCCACCTATCTCCAGATCTCGTCTGCTGCTAAGCTCCTCTAATACGGATCTAGGCGAAGCCAGAATCCTGGAGGAAGACCGGGCCGTTCAACGGTTCTAACAAGCAGCAAGTTAGCCGCTCCTGCAGAACTCAGTCGCAGAGTCCATGGCTCTGAGATCGCCAGCTAGAAGAAACTACCGAAATCAAAGATTTTGGTGTCTGCACGTCATCCTATTAGCTCACATTGTGTGGAACAATTCTCGCTTCACCCCTTGAAGGATTTACGAGAACACGATCACGATCCACCTTCTGCTCGCGCTCCAACTCTCGACCCGTCAGCCTCTGTTTCAAATGGGCGACTTTGTTTTACAAAACCCAAGTGCCCAAAATCAATAAGATCAGAGTTATTCGAACCATGCTGGGAAGCGAGCCACCAGTCCATGCTGACTGCGCAGCCCACAAAAACGAAGCGATGCTGCTGCAGGTTTGGTCAAGGGTCACAGGGAGACTAGAGTACGAGCGCGAGACCATACTTTGAAACAAACATGTGTCCCAGAATGGGAAGGAGTTCGTAAAATGGATACTATATTAAGAACAGGATATATTTTCACCCCCTTGGTCGCCCGCGACGGTTGGGTATTCACACCTCGGCGCCAGGATGTGGCTACTTGCAATCCAGGGGAAGGATTTTCGGTACGACATGCGGGTATGCTATACACTGTACTAACGTTGGAAGCAGGTGAACAAGCCCTTTTCCTTGGACGAAATTGAGCCTCTTGTCGTGTGGTATCCTGGACGAGGCTGAATCTCGACGGGACTTCGGCCGGACAAGCCAAAATAGAATCTTGAGGTTCGAGTGAGCGGTTTATTGGGCAGCACTGGCCCGCGGGTCGGTTCGTGAAGGTGGCTACAATCTTTTGTTCTTGTCTGAATCCACCAAAGGGTCACCAACCAGAAAGACCTGTGTGGGGATATGGGAACCTCTGGACAGCTTCGCTGGGGAGTCATGTTATCAGAACCCCAAACGTAACCAGCAACCTTCCAATTTTCTTTCTTGGATTGCCAATAATGAGCGACGCAGTAGAATTTGGGGACCATTAAGTTTCCCTGAATCCAAGCGTTACCTCACATTGCTAATGTCGGTTTGATTCTTTCCGACCGCTGGCAAATCCGAGCTTTTTAAGTATATCATCCAGCTGGAAAGCATGCCTCAACTTATTTCATTGCCAATGCTAATGAATCTCATGCCTGTTATTTTGAGGACGCATCCCAAATCACATGAGTCAATAGTTCAAAAGATAAGTATTTTTTTTTACATATCACCATGAAGGCAACGTTCATTCTCCTTGCCGCGTCTGTTGCGGAGGCCTTCGTTATTCGAGGCCGCCAGGAGCTGTCAGCCCGGGGTGAATTACCTCCTTATTCCCAACCCCCACAGTTATGGAAGGATGAGACTAGTTTCGTACCTCACCTCGCCGAAATGGCTGAAAGTATCGACTGGCTGTTGGAGAACCATCCACACGAAGCAGAAATATTGCAATTAGATCAGGACTTCGATCTTTATAATTGTGGTAGCGACGACGGTGATGATGGCCGGAAAGAGGATTCTTTCATACTCGCTCAACCCCAGACACGCCATGCAGGAGGAAACCGTGAATACCATCCAGACTACGGCCATTTTGATATGACTCTTTACGAGATGATAAATTCCAGCACGCACGCAAAAATCTTCGCAGAGTACATATCCAGGTTCGACGACATCGTGGATTTGCTCCAAAGCACCTCGTCGAAGTTAACAGTGTTTGTTCCCACGGATGAGGCCTTCACGGAAATTAAATCCCAATCAAATCCAGCGGACAGATTGATAAAAAGGGCGATGTTGTATCATATTCTGCCCGGTGAATACTCGAGAAAAGACTTATTCTCCTCGAGAACAATGCCCACCCTGCTCGAATCGGCAGATCTTGGGCATTACCCTCAGCGAATCGGCACACAGTTTGGGCCCAAGGGTTTAACGATGAACTTCCGTTCTTCCATTATTGGGAGTGATCTTGTAAGCGCCACTTTCCATTTGTTCTATTTGCTCCCTTTGTTCTATAAACCGATACTCACTGATCTTCATTACCGCAGTATGGCAAGAATGGCGTTATCCACGTGCTGGACAACTTTCTAATCCCACCGGCTCCAGCGACAGAAACCCTAAATACCCTCCCTTCGACCTTCAGCACCTTCGAATTAGGAATGTATAAGACCGGCCTCGTTGATTATATCAACGACCATTCTACACATGTAGGGTCGACATTGTTCGTTCCCACCAATCAGGCGTTCGAAAACCTTGGTCGTGAAATCAGTGGATATCTCTTCAGTGAATGTGGTGAGAGGTATCTTGAAGCTATATTAAAGTATCATATTGTATGTAACCATACGCTTTACTCGGATGCATATAACAGACCAGTGAAGGAGAATGGGCTAAACCCTGAGTCGTTCCATGTAAGTACTATTTTCTCATCCCTATTCATGGACGCAGGAAGCAGCCCCCCTGGCTAAACTATTCTCATTTGAAAGCTGAATTTGCCTACCCTCCTACCAAAAAGTCATATCACTGTAGATATCGCACAGATGAGTCGCCTCGTTGCATTTAGTGTCAACGGTCATTCCTCCGTCGCGATACCAGATCTTCTTACCCAAGATGGAGTCATCCACGTTCTAAACAAGATTTTGCTTCCGCCTTGCCAACGGAAAGTCCATACCGGCGATTTTCTCTGCGAAGATCCTCAGTCGAGTGACGGGGAAGATGCCTTCAATTTGACCGTTGAAGAATTGATCGAAAGACTGAATCCTTATGTTGACAGCTAACTGGACAGCGGTCGTGTCGAATAGTTTACATTCTTGCACATGCAATTTCTACCACGGGCCGGCGATAATGTCCGGAGGGCGAATAGGAGATGGAACGACGAGAGAGTCCCTGATAGGATCCAGCTCTTGTTATTTTCTTTGACAATTCCTCTTCTTAATTTCCCGGGTCCCGCTTCTTCTATGGTTCTTGGTCGTTCATTGAAGCAACTATTCTTTTTGTGAGAGTAAGGTATATGTTTGGTACTGATGGATTTAGGAATCTTGTATTCTAGCATGGGTTGCTCACATTTTTCCTTCCCTCTAGATGGTCACACTAAAAAGATCAAATATAGGGAGCGATGTAATTTGGTATTGCTCTTGCGATGGATTTACGATGACGTAGTTGAATAACCTAGCAAGAACCCCTAACTTCAGCCACAACAAAATTTAAAACTATGTGACGGACAAGTGGAAAAAAATTCTCTTCTGACAGTAGCTAAACAGGGGAGCTTCCTTTTGAACATGTTGAATTCGCAATACAACAATTTTATGACCCAAATTGCGGGGTCAAATCGGGACGGTTTTTAGCTGCCCGGCTTGCCGAATCAGCCATAGTCTCAACTCCATCATGATATCAAATATGGCATCTGGCATGCATTTCCTTTCCTTTCCGTCCTTGATCTAGTGGAGAGCATTAAAAGGCAATTGTAGGACAAGTATGGCCAATTCCGAGAAGCAAACCATTGTGGTGATCGGGTACAGTACACGTTTTTCAACGAATGCTATGACTTGGAACACAATGTCGTTCACAGCTATTTCACTAACCCTCCTGGATCCCTTTGTAAAAACTAGGGCAGGGATAATTGGAGTGACCTCAGCATTGACCCTCCTCGAGGCCCTTCCACGTCAAAAATACCACATCCTCCTAGCTTCCGAGTACTTCTCTACAGACGATGGACCTAACCCTTCATATGCAACCACACTTTCTGGTGCTCATTACCGGCCCATCCCAGCCACAACACCACAGCTGAAATATGAATCCCATCTGGGAAAACGAACCTACAAACGCTTTAAGGACCTGGCCGCAGCGCACCCGGAGTTCGGTGTGGAGTTTATGGAGGGCATTGAGTATGTATCGGGAGAGGCTACCTCGTCCTACAGAGCTATGTTACCGGAGTATGTCGGGATGGACGGGTTCCGTGTCCTACAAGCCGATGAAATGCCGGAAGGTGTGGAATTTGGAGCTAGGTACGAGGCATACACAGTTGACCCGGATGTATATATGATGCACATCCTGCGGCGGTTTAAGCTTGGCGGAGGAGAGGTACGTCGAATGCGACTGAAGTCTGTCGAGGAGGCATTCGAGATCAACGGGCATGAAATAGTAAAGATAGTGGTTAACTGCACCGGAATTGGAATTGATGATCCGAAATCTTTCGTCATTAAGGGTAGGTTATCTGGTATCAAACTAGCCGTTGTATTATCATTTCCGCCGTCAGGTACAGCATCTGGTTCCCGAGGGCAAAATGGTCTTTTTCTTTTCTTTTTTCTTCTATCTTTTGATTTACTGGGGACCTAAACTAAGCTACACCGTATTCCAGGACAAACATGCCTTGTTTCGAACCCTTGCGATAAAACCATAACACAGCAACTGGCGGACGGCACTTGGTCATTTCTCATACCCCGCCCCTTAAACGGCGGCACCATTGTGGGCGGTACAAAACAGCCTAATGACTGGAACCCGGAGCCGTCTCTCGCTGTTCGCGAACAATTGCTCAAAAACGCAGCGAAACTATATCCCTCTATTTTAAACAAACAGGGCCAGTTCGATGTAATCCGGGATATTGTGGGACTCCGTCCGGCAAGACAAGGCGGTATGCGCCTGGAATTAGAGACACTGCCCGGTGGCAACCGCAAGATCGCCCATGCATATGGGCTTGCTGGGAGAGGCGTGGAGTTGAGCTGGGGAGTGGCAGAGGAAGTATTGAGGCTGGTGCAAGCTGCGCTGGAAGATGAAGGACTTTGCCTATGAGGAAAGCCTAGTGGCCTAAGTGCAAATGGTATCTGATTCTAAAAATCAATGTTAGGATGGCAACCCGTGGAAAGCCTAGAGTATATAGTTCTTGGTACTTTGGTATGCATTGCCCCGCCATTCTTCAAGCCATTGGGGGCTAGGGCATATGATGGATAATTCCGTGCTTCTTTCCGTGTTTCTGGCGTCGTGCGCTACATTCGCAGGAACATAGTAATGAATCTACCATTTGGAAAATCTGATAAATCCTGATTCTCTCGTGTATTTCTTTTGGTCGTCGTCGGGGATTCGGCCGTCATTCAACCAAAGCTTGGTTCGCTTAAAGGTATCGGGTCGTTGTAACCCTACCTTCGTACCACCTGTTAATAGTTGCTTGGCCAGACGAAACAACTCAGAAACCTCCTTGAAAACTATCTTGTAGCTATAAATACTAATCGATACTCAAGCACTACACGAACCCCTGGTTCATCGAATAAGGCCATTCTCCGCGCACCCCGTAAACTGCCTCTCTTTCCAAAACCGACGTGGGCCCGTTTGATTTACTATCGCAATGGCCCCTCTCAAGGCTGGAGACTCTTTCCCCGCAGATGTCAAGTTTTCGTGAGCAACCCATCTCCCCAATTACCAGTGACGCATCTCAAAGAGTGTGTGGATGGGCCATTGGCTCATAGGCTATATTGATGGGCAGATACATTCCTTGGAGCGAAGAGAAGGGAGATATCACTGCATGCGGTGTTCCCCGGACATACGACGCATCGAAGGAGTGGGCAGATAAAAAAGTTGTCCTGTTTGCTGTTCCTGGTACGTCAATAGAGATCCTAAGTACAATCCCAGCAGTGTTCATTTGCTTCCAGCCATTGTGTTCCGGAACCTCGAAGTCAACGAGCTATGTTCGCTCAGCGACCCAACATTGATCAACCCAAATTGATGATGAGGTTTCCAAATCAGGTGCATTCACACCCAGCTGTTCCGCAAGCCATCTCCCCGGTTATATTAAGAACCTGCAAAAACTCAGAGCCAAAGGCGTCGATGTTGTTGCCGTCCTTGCCTCCAACGATGCTTTCGTGATGAGCGCATGGGGAAAAGCGAATATGGTAACCGGCAATGATATTGTATGACTCACTTATACACTCACCTTGTTCCATTTTCTTTTTTCCAGAGATGCAGCGCAATCTTGGGTGATTGACAAACAAAATGGCTGATACAAAGCTTTTATATTGTTTCTAGCTCTTCCTAAGCGATCCAGATGCGGCGTTCTCCAAGAGCATTGGCTGGACCATGGGCGAACGGACTGCTCGGTATGCCCTCATTCTTGACCATGGGAAAGTGACTTATGCTGAGAAAGAGCCTGGGCGGGACGTAACGGTATGTTCGCATTGTGCGGGAAGTGCTCTTGGAAGTCTGTGGCAAAATTGAGATATGTAGAGCTGACTAGGTGATTGTTGAATTTAAATATAGGTGTCCAGTGCTGAAGCAGTCCTATCCAAGCTATAAGCTACTGGAATATACGGAATTCTTGTGGTTGCGGGGGGGCTAAAGTAGACAAATAAAATACTCATATGGCTGAGTTTCTGTCTCTTTGATATTGGCGGAGGGGATCGCTTGACAAAGCTCTTTTTGTAGACGGATAAAATAACAATAGAATTCAATTCAATTCGGGGTAGTGCAAGTCGGAAGAATTCATATAATTATGATTCCATAGAACCAAGTTACTTCAACACGCAGAGAATTTGCGCAGCCAACTCCGTCAGATTTTAAGAACAATGGACATTTGGAAGTAAAAAGTGCTCAATAAATAATAAGCCTAAAATATGATTGTCATTTTTTTGCTAAACCTATTTTAACATGGGAGCTGAGTGACCAACACCAACGCCAAGCTCCCCCAGCCAAACAAAACTGATCCAGACATCGCAGGTCATCAACCCAGCAAAACACCACCAAACTCCTCCGCTGCACGCGCGCAGACGCCCCTGGCACTCAATGGGCCCAAAACTGACCCGTGCCGCTACTTCCGCCCTAAGCACAACAGGAGCAAAGCGTAAAATACCCCTCTCTGACTCCTCAGCGCGAAAGCGCGCCAGAACATACGATGCCCGCTCCCTTGCCGTACAGGGCTCTGACGCCGCGCTCTCCAAGACCGGCGAACTGGATGTGTCGGCCTTTGTAGCGGCGCGGGAGTTCGAAATCCGCGCGCTGGAGGCGGGCATCCGCAATTCGAAAGCGGCATTGGCGTCAAGGGCCTTTCAGCAGGTCCCGAGGAACTTGAGGAGGAGGACGGCTAGCCATAATGTTAAGAGGGTGCCGAGTCGGTTGAGGGCAAGGGCAAGGAGGGAGGTAAGAAATATATATGTGTATATTGTTGGTTGGTTGGTTTTGCGTGTGCTTGAGAGGATGTTTGGGTGTGGGTGTGTTTTTTCTGTGATTCACACATATACTGATACTTTTATACTTGAGAGAGGGGAATTAGATGATTGAGGATAATACACCGACAGTCACAGCTCGGCGACGCAAGCCTACGAAGCTCCTACGCTTGCGATTAGAGACTGCTAGACGACTTCAGAATCTCAATTCCCGTTCCAAAGCTAGACGGGCCGCGAGAAAAGCTGCAGGGTTGTTTCAAGATCCCGCCCTTGAGGTAGAGGTGGAAGGGGATGGGGGCAATAAAAAAAGAAAACCCTGTCATGACATAAACATAGCGCCCCGCATACCCAAAATTAAGAAAAACCGACTCTCCCATCCCGAAAAGCCGCAGTCGAAGTTCAAAAAGCGCCAACGGTGCAAATCTTGGCTTCCAACCCATATGTTCCACGCTAAGAGAGCACACATGACAAGCCCCAAGGAGCCGCTGTGGAGATTTGTGGTACCACTAAGCCCCACGGAGAAGAGTTATAGACCTACGCATAGGGCTAGTGGCGCGAGAGGTGCGGTTGTATGGGACATGAGTTATATCTCGACGATTGGCTTGGAAGGGGTCGAGGCAAGCTTGGAAGGACTGTTTAGGGTTTTGGGTGTTTGCGGGGAAGAGGCATGGGGAAATAAAGGGAGGAAGTGGAGGACTGGGACGAGAAGCTTGGAAGTTTGGCTGTTTGAGAGGGAAGTGGGAGCGGAAGGGGGGGGAAGCGGAAGACCTATTGCCCCTGTTACTCTTGTCTGGTGCGTGGAGAAGACAGCCAAGACGAGCGGAGATGGGGATGTCGAGATGCCTGATGCTGGGAAGAAGCTGAAGAAGCCTAGGCGGAAGATGTTCTTAAGAGTTCATCCGTCAGCTTTCTTGCAAGTGTGGGAGGAGTTGTTGAAAGCAGCGAAACTACAGAACCCGCAAGTTATGATCGAGGATCTTAGATTTGATATTGGAAGTATCGATGTCACTGGGCCCGCTGCAACGGAGATCTTGCTTGCCGCTCTCAAGCCCATACCACCACCCGAGGGGGAAAAATGGCCTGAGGGCTCTCCTGAAGCAACGTGGGATTCTCTTTCGGGTCTCACGAATGCAGCGTCACTTCCGCAAAACGCTGTCCTAGCTTTCAATATATCCGACCCTCGCCTCCGCCATCCCCTTCGAACCATTCAGCCTCCGACTTCAGAGTCCTGTTTGAATGAACTCGCGATCACCCTCTCGTCATGGACACCTGACTCTACACAACTTAAACCAGACATATTTTCTCGCCCCGCGCGACTAACAGCCTCCCGGCTTCTACCTAGCCAAAAAGCTATAAACCGCCGGAAATCCCTGGCTAATCCGGGCGAGTATCCCTCGCCAAAACCTACAGATCCGTGCATTCCAGTCCTTATCCTCGCGTCACGGCCAAAATCTTTATCCAACGGAGGAAACTCCCAGGGTACCTACACAGTGCTCTTGCCGTGGAAATGTGTTGTGCCTGTCTGGTATTCGGTCATGTACTACCCACTATCCTCTGGTGGGAACCCTCGTTTCGGTGGCCTGCTGGAAAAGCAGCAACTTGCGTTCGAAAGTGGAGAGCCTTGGTTCCCAGGCGACTTTCCAGGGACAAACGCAGGATGGGCATGGGAGATTCGTGAGAGGGACATTCGACGCGGGGAATGGGAGCGTAAACCAAAGGGGAAACGTGTCGAGTATGATAGCATCGACATAGGAGGTCTGAAGAAGGGAGAGATTGGAGAGGGTTGGGCCTGCGATTGGGAGCGGCTTGTTAAGCCTAATATCCCTATATCAGACGGGGAATGTTCCAAACCCGACTCCACTACCATTGTTGAAGTAAAGAAGGATGCCCTGACAGCAGAAGAGACCAATCAGCGGGAAACAAGCAAGGGAGAGGGCAAGAAGAAAGAAAAGCGGAAGAATACATCCACTCCGTCCACTTCCACCTCTACATATACACACACCAAGCCATCACCGCCACCTCTCCACATCCACCACCTCCCTTCCCTTCTCGCCTCTACAATCCTCAAGATAAAAACTACCCAAAAATCTCCTGCCAATCTCCCTGCCCGTCTGCAATCCCTCCTCATCCACCCCGCCCTCGCCACCGTAAACCTCACCCTCATCAACCGCGGCACCCCAATTCCGCGAGCCCGCCTCTACCGCCTCCCAACCACAAATCCCTCCCTGCGCAACGACTGGCTAGCCCTCCTCGACCCCTCCGCGCGTACACCCAGCGCCCAGAAACAGAGCAAAAAGCAAAATCAGCAGCAGGCCATCCTGGCGCAAAACAGCAGCAAACTACTCCCCACCAATCTCTCTGCTGACCCAGAACCGGCAGCCCACCTGCCCATGCCGGGTGAGGAGGATTTGATTGGCTTTGTCACGACGGGGAATTTTAATTTGGGGCAAGGGAGGGGGACGGGTGTTGCCTCTATTTTGGTTCAGAGGGTGGGTGTTTATGATGGTTCTAGCTCTAACCTTGAGTGCACAGCTGGCCCTTCTTCCGGAGATAGTGACATTAGTGGGATTACGCGGGTTCGGATGAATGGTAAGGGGACAACGGGGGTGAAGGGGGTGAAGGGGCGTATGTTCTCCCGAGAGTATTTGTCCAGAGTGTGTATTGTCCGATCTGCGGGAGAGAGGGTGGGGAGGTTGGGGGTTTGGGAGGTAATGTGAGATTTCTACCAAGGGATCGATATAGAGTAAGGTTTTAGTGAAATTGTTTTTGTATTTGTATTTGTATACTAGGATGTTATGAGATGAAATTTATGAAGCGTAGAAGGAAAGTTAACTAGCTACTGTATAGTTTGCAACGAGCGGTTTTCAATTCCCCTTGACCGACTATATATAGGAAACGTATATAGTTATCTTATTATACATTTATTTTTCACTTCATCAAGAGACGGGAAAAGCACGCGAAATATCGTCATTTTCTAAACCGTTTCCTGCTAAAAGTGAGCAGGAACATGTGAAGTCGAAAAAAGCCAGCAATCAAAAACATTATATATGTATACATTTCAAAGCCAGAAAAGAATAGTCTCTTCTCCACTCCAAAAACAAATTCCCGCACCAACCGCCACTACGACGCTTGGTCATCGAAGCTCACCTATCATAAAATACATTCGATCACAAAAGGTCCCATCCGCCTACCCAACAACTTTCTCCACCCACAGCCTCTCCAACCGCCCAACCTCCCTCTTAAACCCCTCAACCTCCCTCCAGCAGTCCAGCGGCCTCTTCTCATTTCCCCTCAAACACCTCACGACTTCCTCCCGCGCTTTCTCCACCCCTGCATCTAGCTCCCGAACCCTCCGTCTCTCCGCTAACTTGGCGCTCAGTGCCGAGATCTCCTGCTGCACCTGCGCGCTGCTTAGTTCCTTTATCGGTACGCCGTTCGCGGCGGTAACTGTGGATTTTGGGGAAGACTGGAGGGAGCGCTCGGCGGGGGAACCGGGGCCAGAGAGGGGGACGCGCGGGGCATCGAGTGAGAGGGATGGGTCCGTGTTGTGGGAATTAGATTGGGGTTGGGAGATGGCGGTGTCAGGAGGGGATTGATCTGCAATGTGCTTTGCGAGGTCGGAAAGGGTCTGTGTTTCGCGGGCACGGATGCGCTCGAGCTCTGCAGCGATACGGTTCTGGATGTGGAGTTCTATCGTTTGTGCACGGGAGGAATCGGTCTGCGGGGTTGTTGCTCTGCGATTAGTCTTGGGCATATAGATATTTGGGATTTTGCTGCATTTAGGGGGTGAGGTGTTGTTGCTCCGGGATATGTGGGGAGGGGGATCTAGATTTGTTGTTAGGGATACGTATCTGTACATACCTCTGAGCTCGCCTGCAAGGATTCGACAAACTCCTGTGAGAATTGAATTGGGGTGCCACTATACACTCACCAATTCGCATGGTTAGCTAGTTGCGCCCTTTCCTGACCACGACAAAAAATCATCATCCAACTGAAATATCAAGTTCCGGGGCGAAAAGCAACATCATGATGAAGCAAGCATTCAATTCGCAAGCATCGTGGTGATACAAATGGCCAGCAACTGAAAATCTCTCTTCTCTTTCTTCCTCTTATTGACCATCCGCCGCCCAAAAGAAATAAAACCTCCTCCTCCTCTCCGCACAGCTAGACAACACAACGTAGCCCACAAATCCAAAAAATCCCATCAAAATAGCAGTGTCCATATCCAAACAATCGACACCCAACACATCCACGAACACGAATACAAACACAAACACAAAAGAACTAAGCGAAGCGCAAAAAAGAAAAAGAAAGAGAGAAAGAAAGACACACATGTGAGGAGAACAACAACAAGCCCTGTATTTCAAAGCAGAGAGAGCCCCCAACTCACCTCGAGAATATATGTCTAGTCCCAGCCCCCGTCGCTGTCGCAGGTTTCGATCCGCCCGCTCCCATCTCGTCGTCTCGACAGATAGGTATAGTACAAAACGTGTGTGGGATGTAATACGTCGCCGGGATTTGACAATTCGCTCTCGGGGGGGGGTTTTTTTGTGTTGCCGGGAGCACGGTACGTGCGGATGAAAAACCGGGGGAAGAGCCAAAAAAAAAAAAAAAATGAATAGTCCGGGTAGGGATCGGATGGAGAGGAAGCGGCGTGTTCGGTCAATTGGGCTTCCAGCACAAAAATTATAAATAAGCCCGTCTGGTTGAATTCAAATAGAGTGGGAATGAATTAATGAGGATGGAAGCGTTGAAGATAGCCATGATCATGTGATCATGGTCATGTGAGATAGACGCTTGTGGGAGGATAATGTGGGATGGTTGATCTTGTTATTGTTGTGGTCGCTAGCTAACTATATAGGGGTAATCATGTGCGGTGGAGGGCCACCTGGGCAACTAGTGTCCAACACCCCCCCACATGCCAACATGTGTGATGTGTTCCTACAAATATTCCATGCTAACTATCTTAATCTAGATCATTCCAAAAACATGCTATATACAGAAATTTAATCATTCTCACTGTTGTCAGTGAAAAGTTCTAGTAATTTAATGAAATATCTAAATGCCACTGTGCTCAGAGATTTGATTAATCTATCTGCTATTATATTCTCAGTAAAAATATGATTAATTGAAATAATATCTTTGTTCAGTTGCATGTAAGAATAGTGAAAGCAAATATTAATATACTTGCTGCATACTGTGATCACAGCAATGATAATTAGATTGATTAAATCTTTATTATCTATTCTGATGAGCAAAAAATTCTTTGCTGTAATAAATTCTAGTTTTATTATTATATTGTATAATTATATTGCTTTATATACTGCTTTACTGAGTGTTATATATTCTATCTTATTTAAATTTAAAGAAATACAAGATTGTTTAAATAAACATCATGAAATTGATATATCTACTAACTTGAATATAAAGTCTGAGATAGATTTATATTTACTGTTCAATGATTCTGCTTAATCTGAATCTGTATAATCTATCAGCAGATATAATATATTAAGAAATTCATCAATCTCATTTTTAAGATTTTCATATAAAATGTCTAGATTATTTATTTCTTTTAGATATTATATAATATAGAGAAGAGTTTTTTATATTTTAAATATAGATACAGTATTCTTCTGCATTAATAGAGATACTGTTTATATAATATCTGAATATAATTTGACTATCAGATACTGCAAACACTCTACTCTGTATTGATATTATTTTTTAATAAACTCTTCTTCTTATTCTAATACAGAGGCATTGTCTATTTTCATTCTCTCAAGTATTAATATAAAGACAGAGATGATGTTGTCTAGATGGAAATCTTACACTAAATAATTGATATAATATCTCAATATCAATTTTATAATATTATCAGAGTGATGTTCAATCTTCATACTCAAGTATTTTAAAGATTCTTTCAAATCTTTTATTTCTAATTTATTAATAAGAGTATTAACTAGTCAATTAGTATCTGCTGAATCTTCTACTATAATATAAAGATTGTTTATATAAATTGTTATATAAAGATAATTGCAGAATGTATGATATTATAGAGTAGAGTTATAGAGATTAGATTTGAAGTCATTCTCACAGAGTAATGCTGTAAGAAAATTGTATCAAATCTTAGCAGTAAGATTCAATTTATATAGAGAGTCTATAACAGCACAAATCATTGTATATGAAGTTTTTATCTTAAATTCAGTAGATTGCTGTATATAAATTGTTTTATTAAGTTGACTGTGCAGATAGATTATAACTATATCAATCTAATACAAGTTCTAATCTCACTTCACTGCTACTGTAAATATTATATGATTAGTAGTATTATTAATAATGAGTATATATATTTCTTTACATATGCTCTTCTTTAATCAATTGCTGTATACTATTTATTAAGATTTTTATAATATATCATCAGAATTCATATTAAGATTCTGAGAACAATCTTTTTTAATATAAACTCAGCAGCTGAGAGCCACTGATTTATTAAAAAAGATATCAGAATATGAAATTATTATTCAAATATTTCTTTATTTTAAATCTGTAATTTTATATTTCATCAACTTTTATCAATATTCATCAATCTCTTCATATCTACTAATGATATTCTTATATTCTTTCAGAATGAAATCAGTGAGAGAAGAAGAAATATAGATAATGAATGCTTTTGCTAATTTTATTCATTCAGTATTAATTAATTTGAGAACAGCAGTATTGTTAATAAGATAAGTCACTGAATTTACAGCTTTGAATATTGTATAATTAGTATCAATCTACAGAGTTATAGATTTCTTTACAGAGAAAACAATATCACTAATGATAATTATTTTATCAATTGTAGAACTTCAGAGACAGTAGATTGAGTTGCTATAAAATTCTATAAATTTAAATATTTCTGCTCTGATGAACAGCTTATTGATAGATTTTTGAAATTTATAAAGATATATATAAACATTAACATCTAGCTCTCTAAAATAATGAAGTTGAGATGAGATATTGATTAGTGCTGAGAATGAAATAATATAGAGGTATTATATAGATACTTCATCAATATTGTTGATAGATCAGTATTTCTCATTATACAGAGTGATAGATATCAGTATGTTGTTGATAATTGCAACTACTGTTTTGAAAATATCTGCTCAGAACTTCTTCAGTATATTTATATCTATAAACACTGCTCTAGCACACATTATTATTGTGTGAATTTCTCTCTCAGAAACACTATCTTGATAAAAGGATTGAGATATAGTAAATTTTCAGATAGTGTCATCTTTGATTATTATTATTGTTATTTTATTTGATTGAAAGATATCATCAATATTGATTCTAACTAGTATCAGTAGTATGAAGCTGAGATTTTTTATAAATTGAACTCAGTGAGTGTAAAATTCAATAGCTTGATTTTTAGTGTATAAAAAATAGATTCATCTATAACAGATAATATCATTAGTAATAAGTATATAATATTTGATTTTTTGATGAGATTCTATAGAGTAATTGAATATATCATTCAGTGTACAACCATCATCAGCAAGATTGATATGAATATATTATATTACTTACAACACTTGTAATATAAAAGTTTATAAAAACTTATATATTATATCTGCTTTGATACAGCTGTCACAGAAAAAGTCTGTTTTAGATTTTTTAATATAAATATTAGATAATAAGTTCTTCACTAGTGTGATGATTGTATCAGTGTGGATATACTCTAGAGTAATATATTATTTCATAAGTGTTTTTATCAGAGAGTTGTGATTGCTAGATTGATTACTAGATTTTCTCATAATTATTGACATTGTATTTC